CATTTTGGGATCATTGTTTGTATTTCTTGATTCGGAAAATGGCACTGATGTGGAAACACTGCAATCTAGTGGCGGGATGCCGTCACTTCACGGGTAACATGATCGGCATGCATTATGGGAAATGTAGTCTATGGTCAATGCACCCTTTTGACTTATTTATTATAAGATAATCAGACCTTTTAAACTCTCGCGGGCCACATAAAATGGCTTGAGTTTGAAACATATGGTCTAGGAAGTGCACGGACAGATGCACAAGAAGACGAGCAGAGGGAGGAATCGGGAGCCAGAACGGGCATCTGAGAGGCAGCTGCAGCCCGCGGGTCGGCCCGCTACTCCGCCCTCCGGTCAGCAACGGAATGAAACCCATCGGTTCAGGTCAAGGCGCTCTGCCCGCCTTGTGAATATCCCTTGGGGACATTAGTGACACTCTGGTGGTCGAATCATGGTTTTATTGTTGTGTTTGCTGTTCACCTTACTGTCGGAGATTTTGCTGTGTGTCCTCAAGTGGTCAGTCCTGGGCGTGTGTGATCGCTGGTTCCCGGAAAACTCCGTAGCTTTTCGTTTGGGAGGGGGGAATAATCGGTGTGGGCACCAAACAATCACAGACATTATATTTAATTTTAATTTTAATTTTAATTTCATTTCATTTCATTTCATTTCATTTTATTTTATTTTAATTTGATTTTAATTTTAATTTTGGCCGTTTAGGGATTTTGAAAGGCGGCACCTGAGAAGCAGCCTGAACGTTGAACACGGAGGCATAAGTCAGAGATGACCGGTATTCCGCTGCACAGGAGAGGGGGGGACCGGGACTTTGAGAGGGAGTCTTTTTCAGACAGGTTGGCGAGGTTAAAGACTAAATGACAGGTGAGCAGGTGTAGAAGCAGGTTGGCTGTAAAGTGAGATGATGAGTTTAGAGTGTAATAAACCTCAAACCATCATGAGAGAAAAACTAACATCCCTGAACATCACAGAGAAATCTCAGAGTGACACAGTTTGATATCAGAGGTTTTGGCGTCACCAGACTTTCCAATTTCAAAAAATGGGAAGAGTTTCTCAGTGAAAGTGTCTCTGTGAGTGAAGATGGGAGTCATGTCTTCAGGGTCGTAGAAGGACACCTCCCCCCTGTCATAGTCAAGCTGGACTCTGATCCTCTGGAGACTCTTCTTCACTGTGACAGTCTCACCAACAGCATCAGTGTATTTTCCACTGCGATGTAATAAACACCAGAATCCATATTTTGGTGAAGCATATCGCTCTCCCTTCAGGTTGCCCAGGTGTTTGGCCACATCTGTCAGAGCTCCTGAGAGCAGCTGTGGATCTGACAGTGAGCACTGGGCTCTGGCTCTGGTCTGAGTGGGTTTATAACTGCTGAGGAACGGCACGTTGTGTTTCTGCAGGTCTTCTTCAACAGCAGAGATACTGTCTGACAGAGAGGAGATCTGCTCCTGAATCATCTTCATCTCTCTGCTGATAGTCTTCCCCTTCTGCTCCTCTTCCTCCCTCAGAGCTGCCAGTCTGGACTCCTCTTCCTCTTTCAGGAACTTCAGGAATTTCCTGACCCGAGGCGTGCCTGTTGGCTCCGTCCTGGCCAGGAAAGTGGTCACTACACACACCGTGGGGCAGAGCTCCTTGGCATGAGCCGGTGGGAGGGCCGACCGGCAGGCGGGTGCAGGGGACTGCCGCTGCCTCTCACAAGCTCGTTTTATATGTGATGAGTACGAGAGAACCCAGGACCCAGCTTCAATGCAGGAAATACCGGTCATCTCTGACTTATGCCTCGCGGTCCAGGCCACGGGGAAAGTACTGGGAACCATGGTCTTACAGGAACGAGCGCGGTGGCTTAACCTCGCCAACCTGTTTGACAAAGACTCCCTCGCAAAGACCCGGTTCCCCCCTCTCAACAAAAAGTTGATAAGAACCAGTGTCTTTCTTTTTAACAGTGTAACTTGGGCCAAAGACAAAAAAAGAAAACGAAAAAACCTCCCTTAATGCCTCCACCCACCCGTGCAGTAGCCTAAATAAATCAGACAGGAGGACAGGAAATCACCAGGTGTTCCACAGTTTCTGTCTGTCTACAAAAAGGACAGCCCTCCCCAGTGCTGGGGTCCAGGTGAGTTCTGTATCTGTTTGTAGCTATAGCTCCGTGTATGATCCTCCACTGGAGGTCAGCCATCCGTTTTTCAACAGGAGGCTTATACAGGAGCCGCCAGCAGCCTTTAGAGGAAGAGTCTGCATCAAACACCTCGGTCCATTTTGTCTCCCAGAGTCCAGCTAGAGAGCCAAGGTTCAGGACCTTTATACAGCTGTGATACAGTTGTTTCTTCCCACAGGAGATGAATTTTCCCAAAGTTGGAGTCTTCAGGGAGAGAAGCAGGCCACTGTTCTCTCTCCACTCTCCCACAGCAGGACTGATGATGAGGGAGGGGAACACGACCTCGTGGCCGTCACACCACTGTTCAGGCACCAGCACCCGGTTCCCCAAACAAAAGCCCTCAGTGGAGGCAGACAGAGACTGCCTCACCTCATCTACAAACCTCTGCAGCACTCGGGACGACCTGAATGTTGGTCATCCCCCCCCCCCCCCCCCCCCCCCACCGACTGTACAGGACAACTAAGGACCTCTCCCCACCTTCAGCACACAACACGCACCACTGTACAGTAACCTCACCCAGGACAGGAAGTGCTCCCCAACGCCAAAGGCCTGCAGTGTGGCAAACAAAAAAGAGTGGTCAACACGATCAAACGCCTTCTCCTGATCTATGGAAACTACACCCACATCAAGATTGTACAGATTACATATGTCAAAAACATCCCTCATTAAAAACAAATTGTCCAGCATGGACCTGTCTGCATGGACAGCATGGACTGTTCCGCCCAAATCAACAGGTCAATAAAAACCTTTAGTCCAGCCCCAGCTCACTCCAGGAGTGTTTAAAAAAAATCCGCAGGTAAGCCATCCATGCCTGGAGCCTTTCCTGAGGCCGTTTGGGACACAGCATTGGACCTCGACACAGATTTCTGAGCTCAGGGTGTGGCGCTCCTCCGGACTCAGCTGTGGAAGATCCTGCAACAGCTCAGCAGCAGCGTCCGCATCACAACTCTCAGCTCCGAACAGGTCAGTGTAGAAGGCCACTGCATGCATCGTAATCTCTGCCTGGTCAGAAGTCAGCCTCTCATCAGGCAGGCGGAGACACACCATCTGCTTCTTCCGGGCCACCGTCCTCTCCGGGCTAAAGAAGAACTTAGTCGGTGCATCCATGTTGCTGAGCTGAGAGAAGCGAGCCCGGACCTCTGACACTAATGCCCTCTTCTGTGCATTTCTACCGCCATTAATGTTTCAAGAGGCCACCCTCAAGACCTGCATAGGAGAAGAAGAGAGACAGGACAGTACACAGCAGAGAGGAAACACCCAGTGTTGCATGATCATATTTTTGTTACTTCGAGACTTTCATTTTCTTCAATCGTTTGCCTTTAGACATCTTTAAGTATTGTCTTACTGTAGTTATGTGTTTCTTTAACTGGCAGCTTTTCTTCTCATCCAATAAGTCCAGACCCACAAGCTTTTGCAGAGTGTTCGCTGTCTGGAAGAACTTTCTGGCATTAGGAAAATAATCAGTTACATATCACCAGGGGAGCAGATTCGTGTTGGTTTGTCAGGGTGAGAGCAACTCTGACAGTGATCAAAGCCAAATTTGAGGGGAAAACACATTCAACTGCCATTTTAAAGTTTGTCTAATATTGATTTTATTTCTTTACAATTGTTGCAAAACTTCATCATAAGAGAAAAGTTCATTATCAACACAGTTTTCATACAGTCCACACAGTGTGAGCACGACTTGCCTCTTCCAGTGTTTAGAAACTGAAGATCTGCCACTTACATTCACTTTAAGTGCAATTATTTTATTATATCATTGATCTTTTTGATTTTTATTTTGACAGGTTGTTGGGGGGGGCTCTCAGTACAGTTACAATATATATATATATGAATGTGAAAAGTTCATCCATCTACATTCAGTTACTGTCTAGTGAGAGTAACATACAATATTCTCATTCACATCCACTGTAAATGACTTGACATGAATAAAATGTAGGAATACTGCATATTTTTTAAACAATCAGTTAAACAATCAGTGATAACTTGATAAAATCTCACATAAGCTTTAATATTTAAATAGTTTGTATATTGTTTTAATCAATTTTCTGGAAATAAATTAGAAATTAGAAAATAAATATTTGCCTTCACGTGCTCATCAGAGGTACAACCAATGAGCCAGTGACCTCGTTACATATGATTCCTTTATGACTTGATGTTCAGTGTGGCAAATCTATTGTCAATAATTCTGCAACAACATGAAGGGAGAAAAACGAGTATAGTAGATGTTGACATATAAATGGCAATGATGTCACAGGCGACACAAGTTCATAACAAGACAAAACCTTATTGGCTGTAAAAGCCAAACATCTTCACTAATTCCTTTACTCGCAGTATTTGCCCTGGGACCTTTCATCGCAGATACTGTGTGTCTTCTTAGGATTCTGTTACCATCTAAATAAATTGTACTGCTCTTCTGTTGTCACGAAAGATCCAACATCAAATACACAGAAAAAAAAACAGAGGAAATGTTCAAATGTTTTGTCCTTTGTACATCTAAAACTAAAACTCCTTAATTCTTGTGCTGCATGTTATACGGTAGGTGTGGCTTGTCTTACACTTCACTCCATATTTATTTATGGTGATACCAATATGATTCAGTTGGTGGCCTTTTTCCATAGGAGTCTATCTGGAGAATAACACTACTTGAATTTAGCAGGGAAGTTAATCAGCTCACTTGTTAATAAGCCTCCAAACAACATGGATTCATTCGCTAATAACAAACCCTGACAGCATTCAGTTTGCTCCTGTACTGTCAGCTAACCTGCTTGTCATCCCTTTGCTCTGTAGGAGGATTATTACCAGCTGACCAGCTGTGTCCAGTGTCTCTCATGTCTCGTGTCTCCTGGCAAAGGTAAGTAAAACATGAATCTATGTTTTGGAGATCAGTGTGTTTCACAGATGTTTTTCAGTGGGGAGTCTGTGAGGAGATGTTTCTAAATGAACATCACATAAATTAGGTCATTAAACATTTAGATATATTATTTATTTGTATGTATTGGCAGCATGTTGCGTTTTCTCGGTCAAATCAAGTATCTCAGGCTGTGCTTACTCGCAGCTAAACATTACTGTGACAACATGGAAGCTCATGACTGGCTGTTGCCCTCAGCTTGCATGTGGTTGCTGGACCCTCCGTTGGTCTGTGGGGGCTGTAAGCGGTCTGGGAGCAGCACCTCAACAGTAAAGCTGATTCTCTTGGCCTGGAAGATGCTGTATGTGTTATCAAATCTGAGAACATCTATGGAGGACAAACAGAATGGATTATTTACACCGTCAATCTTTAACAATTCTCCTCACTCAGGCCGACTGAGCAGCAGACTCACAGACTCCGGGGCGTTCACAGGTCAGTGATCCGTCTTCAGGCACTAAGTGGGCGTTGTAGCGCTGGCTGGGCACAACTTCCTGCATCTGAGCCGCCTTCTTCCATTCACCCTTTTTAGCCTTCACAAACACCCCAAAGCCGATGTCTGCCCCCTCACTGGCAAACTGCCACCTGACAGGACAGGAAACAATGGCCTAAAGTCTTTTTGTGGATTTGATTTATTATATATATATTATATATATATTTATCTTGTCGCCTGAGATTTCATTTTAATAACCTTTATAAAACACCCATAATATAAACATTTTATAACATTATGATGAAGTTGCTTTTTGGCCAATCAACTAATCAGTTAATAAAAGAGCTGTTTTAGCACCAGCATGACTTAAATAACTTTTTAACACCATTGCTACCACTGACCTGAGGACGCAGCCTGGGAACAAGATCTCATAGTCCAGCTGTTGGGAGGATCCTCGACTGACGGTCATGCACTGCTCGTAGTCCACCATAACGTGGTCCCGCACATAGTAGGAGGAGGGAACTGGGCCGACGTGATTTATCTGCAACAGAGACCAAAAAAAAAAAAGGGCCAAAATACAGGTGTCAGACACCTGATAAATGAAATGTGAGTGGCTGAAGGGGGAGGAAACGGGGGAGGAAAGACAAAAGTTTCACTTACTGTGATTCTGTGCCATTATAGATCTATGAACATTTATACGTTTTCACAAAACTGTCTTATTAAACATTAAAACAAAAAACAGCAAGGGCTCTTTTCCACTCTCCTGTTTATTCACATAGAATCAAACCTATCAGACAGAGTTTATACTAACACAACTCTCATCTTGTGTCCCTTTTGAAAACTTTAAATAGTTCAACAGAAAGTTCAGTAGTGTTTTGGAAGCCTCGGAAAGTTTTCCGACCTGCGTTGTTGTTGTTTCTGGGAGGTGAGCATTATAATGAGGGAAGTCAGCCTCTTCTGAAACCACTTCTCTAAAAATATTACAAAAACGCCCTTTCAAACTTATCAGTCGTTATTTGGAAACTTCCACCAACAGAAGGAAAAGATACAGACAGAAAGGCATTACTAAAAGAAAAAAACACACATTATCAAACTATATATTCCATTAGAGAGCAACACTTCATCAGGCATCTCCTGATTTCTGTATCTTGACATTAATTATTAAGTAAAAGTGTGAGGAAAGACCTCATATACAAGATACATAAGGCTCAAAAGTTCTTTCCTGCTGCACAGATCCCTGCAACTTAAATCGGACAGACATTAACAACTCCAAAAAAATGTTTCCTGTGATTTGCAAATAAATCGTTTCTCTCAGGCCCGTAAATGATGTTTAATTCTTCTTCTGGTGGAGAGTTAGAAAGTAAGATTGACAACAAGCAGCAGGCTAGCTTAGCTTAGCACTAAGACTGGAAACAGGGGGTAACAGCTAGCCTGGCTCTGTCGTATGGTAACAAATAATGCCCACCAGCTCCTTTGAAGATCAATATTTAGCACGTTATGTCCTGTTTGTTTAATCTGTACAAAAAAAACAAGTGTAAAAATTATTCATTGAGGTTTTACAAAAATTTATGTGCTGGACTATTTCTTGTCTGAGTGCAGTAACTAAGTGAAGTTGTCTCCTGGTTTTAGCTTCATATTTCCTGCTTAGTCATGAGAGTTGCATCAATCTCCTCCTTCAACTCTCGGCAAGAAAGTGAAAAGTTCCTACAATCTAACCAAAACAATACAGTACAATGTCAACGACACACAGCTAGCTAACTAAAAAAAAAAGTTAATTAATAAATTTAAAAAAAAAGGTAGAAAAAAAGAAAACACTTTGAGGCTGTGCATCACAGTTTCCTTGAATCCTGAATGTGGCCGAAAATGAATTTCTCCCCTTCTGTTGCTCATCAGTCCTTGGCCCAATTATTTATCTACAGAAACAGTGAAGTACACACGTCAGTTTACTCATCTAGAGTATTATCTATTAGCGCAGAACTACTCAAGCTGCTGTTTTCTGCTCTAGATGCTCAAAACTACGACAGCATCTCTTGTGCCGAGGCCTTTTGTTCTCTCTATGCAGCGGGGCAGAGTTGCAGTTACTGTATGTTAATGTGGATTGTCTGCAAAAACAGGAAGATATCCTCTGTCATCACCTGTTTATCATTCACAGTGCAAAAAAAAAAAAGACATCCTTTTTGCATCGTTTCCTTGTTATATGGTAAATGTACAGCAGAAAAAAGCTGTGTACAGCTGTATTGATTTGTTCTGCCACAGACAGCCTGTCCAGAATAGTCCTTCCATTGTCAATGACCCACTGTGATCAAACCGGCTCATTCACGTGTAACAGGATCACCTCACGCATCTAGTCCCTCAAGTCGGCAACATTTTATGGTCCAGTGTTATAGAAAACAGCCCTCTGTTTGCAGTCAGGATGGATGTGACAGGCAAAACTGGTGGGATGGAAACTCACATAAAACATAGTTTGCAAGTCAAATGTGAATCCACAACATTTGAAATGCACAGTGTGCGTATAAGCCAGCGCCTCTCTCTCTAAAGCAAAGCTGCAAGCTGCCAAACTGAACACAGGATACGAGCCAGTGAAGGAAAACTACAGGGCAGGAGTCAACATATAAGAAACTACTGCAAAGCAAGTGGACAGTCGACTATTTCAGCTCTGAGTTATAGGTCTGATTACTTTTTTTTTTTTTTTAAACTCTATAGGAGGGCTGATCAGTTTTGGTTCAGACCAGACTTGTGTCCAGTGCAGGACTGTTAAACATGAAACACTTGTTGTTGCCTCATATCATTCAAAACAGCTAATCTACAGTCTGTAGAGCAATCATTACTCTAGACAAGATAAGGTAAGGTAAGATAAGATAAGATAAGATAAGATAAGATAAGATAAGATAAGATAAGATAAGATAAGATAAGATAAGATAAGATAAGATAAGATAGTCCTTTATTAGTCCTACACATTTTGCAGTGTCACAGCAGCAAAGTGGACAGTACAAGAAAAAAAATGCATTATAATATATATAGATATATAGATATAATATAATAAGTACAATTTGATATTTACAAAAATTTGAGCAATGTCATAAAAAGGAATAAACAGATGGATTTGGTAAATATACGTTTGAATATACTTAAATTATTACTTTGGTGCTCAATTTTGCTTTTCCTTTAAATAATTTTAGGACTAAATATCACTTAGGGAGCATACATCTTACTGCACCTGAGACATCTCCATCCAGGTGGAGCTCTGTTGACTCAATAAAGCTAAGTATAGTAAATAATGTAATGTCATGTGGACAGAGTTAAAAAGCTGAAATCTGGATCAGCTTCAGGTCAGATTTTACAGTTAATCAGGATTTCAGTGTCTATGATTAAGGACGTCAAATATTTATTCTCTTGTGCACCTACAGTCATTTCTCACATGCTGAAAATTGATGTAACAGCTAAAGATAATAAAACCACTGGTGCAAGGCTTCACAAGGACACTATGAAAACTTTTTGAAAAACAGAATTCAACAAGATATTGAACAAGATTTGACATAATCAACACTCAGTGGTCGATTATTATTAATTTAACATGACTGTATTAAATATCTTACTTCATAAACAAGTTCTTTCAGGTCTCTTACACTATATCTCAGGGACTGTTTCCTCATGGATACCGGTCTCCTCCAAACTGTCAGCCCTCTTTTGCACCAAACAAACAGCACCCATAGGCGCGCAGGACGCTGAATCACTGACTCACCTTGGTCCGACAGCGAGGATCTCCGTCAGGATCCGTCAGTTTGCCCCCGTATATCACCGGCAGCTCCTCTGCATCGATGTACTTCAGTAAAACCTCCTGCCAGTTAGCTGTCAAAACAGGAGCAAACAGCACGCATTCATATTCGTCAGAACCGGGTATTTGGAGGAAATGTACTCTAAAATAAGACGCGATGATACGAAAGCACGTCTCACCCCCAAGAATGTAGATCTTTTGTCTTGTGTTCTCGCTCAGGAAGTGCTTGACGAGGTTGTAAGCCACAGGAAAGAGTTTGGGGGCTACAGGAGAAAAAAATAAGTAAAGGTGTTGACCAAACGTAAACCAGCAACAGTCGAAACTCTGTCTTTGAAAAAGCAGGACGGGATGACAGAAAACAAGCATTTATGGGGGAAGGAAAATGTACCTTTAATAACAAACAGTCTCTTCAAACCCTCTGGGTAGTTGTCTTCAAACATCTGGAGGATCTGGTGACGCACAGGAACAGATTTTAAGATGCAGACCAACTCATTAGTCTGCTTCACGTCTTAGTTTTGTGAGGTGTGTGTCTACACTGTGTGTTTATGTGTGTGTGTGTGTGTGTGTCACTATACCTCTCCATATGTTTCTATAGCAGGCTTCCATAAGTGTTTCAGACCCAGACCTTCAACATCGTAGATCATAGTGATTGACTCCACATTCCTCCCCAGCTAGATGAGAACAGAGTGAGAGGAAGACAGGGAATTTTAATCTGTCAAACTATAAAATAGCCTGTAAGATAAAAAAAAATACCAGCAGCTTTAGTGCAGGTGGTCGAGTTTGGTTCCCCCGAATCCATGTCCCTTTGTATGAAAGTGTTTGCTAAATAAATGTAATGTAACCAAGTGATAAATTCATCACATCCATCTGACAGAAGAAAAAGTGATTTAAAACAAAAACAATGTAAACAAGAAGACAGGATCAATACAATATCACTAAAAGAAGCCACAAGGGATAATCAGCTAAATGTAATTTTATATAGAAAAATAAACTTGACAAATAAATAGCAATTTAACATAATCACAAATTTGAAAATGAGAAGTCATACTAAAACATACTGAACAGGTGTGACAAGTGTTTTTGCACCTCTTTGCAAAAGCATTACAGATACTGATGTGTTAATGCTAAGTTTAGAATAGTTCAATTTAAATTCAGGCAATATATTTGAGGCAATTTTTCTCCCAGACAAAAATAAAAAAACAAAACAAAAAACTTTTTAAGGTCACATCTGACTTCATTAGGGAAAACGCAGGGATGCATGCTAATGTTTGCTAATTAGCACTAAACACACAGTGCAGCTGAGGCTGATGGGAATTTCATTAGTTGTTCAGGAAGTTCTTCAAAGTTTAAACCAAAGTATCAGACAGACACAACATTACTGACAGGATGACGGCACTAAAGAAAAAGTCAGGGGATCAATAAAGTTATTAATCAGTAAGCTTAAAAAGAGGGATGGACCGATCAAGAGACAGCTAGCTATCCATTAGCCGCTAGCGTGCCTGAACAAAGAGAGAGAGCCAGAGAGAGGGATTGCTCTGTATGATACTATTTCCTGGTTATGGTTTAATACTGAAAAATACTTTAAAATTTAAATGAATTAAAAATGTAATAAGCTTTCTGGGAGGGTTTGGGCTGCTGGATCTCTGTCCTCACCATCTGTGTGCTCTCCGCTCTTACCCTCTGTGATTGGAGGTTACATTCCTTCTGCAGCATCTCACAGTCTCTGATCTTGGACTTGATGAAGTCTTGTTTGGAGGCCGACAGGAAGAGGCCTTTGGGGTCCACCGGTCCGATCACGTCGTACCAGATGGGGCTGCCCTCGCGGTCGAAGCCGCACATCCCTCCTGACAGATACTTCTCTATCACCTGCAAACAGCAGCCATTTTTAATGTCAAACAACTGGTTAATCAGCCACCTGCTGGGTTTTGTCAAGAGGATAGATTTATTTGAGTAAAATATTCCTAACAATTACTCTTAAGTAGACTGAACCTATACTAAGTGACTGTTTATATATATTTTTTTACCTCTGGTGGACGCCACTCAGTGATGATTGTGTCTACTTTCATCTGTTTCCTGAACTCCAAATGCTGCAAGAGAAGATGAGTGCATGTCAAATTCAGCAAAACTATTCATGAAAGGATTCGTGAGTTTGTGGTGAACACAGAAGTATGATGACGCTTGTACAGCAGCAGATCCACCCGAGCACAAGGTAGTGAATTAAGTGGCTTAGGAGGTTTTAGACAGGAGGAAGATGATGTAAAACCTGCTCTGTCAGCAGGAAGGGGATCAGTTGTGTACCGCTGTGTATACACAACAGTACACACATACATGCGAACACATGCCTACGATCACAAACGCACCAAAAGGGAAAGAAATGTTTCAGACTGGCTCACAGGCCAATTCGATAAATAAATTCACACGTTTGTTTTTACCCTGATTAATAGATTTAAGAATTGACAGAAGATAAACCAAACAAGTAAGTTACAGTCACTGTAAACACTGTCCTGTCTTTTTGTCTCTATTCCAAATTGCTGAAAGGCGGCTCAGTTAACTGAATAAAAAGCGTTGGCCCTGAGGGCTCAACACACTGCAAATGCATGCAAACACACAAAACACAAGCAAATGAAGAAAACGTCTTCACCATTGTGACCGCCACATGTGCAGCATTTAGAATTTTTGCATATGTTTCCTTAAGTTTCTTTTTTAGCCTCATCTACTTGTTGACTGTTTGATTTTATGGCACATTTCCTGTTGTGGGTCAGTCTGAGTGATGTCATCAACCCTGTTTTAATACTTTTTCTGTGAACCTACAGAAATGAATTGAAAGTCAATTCAGAGCAACATCTTTGAATTTTAATGTGGATCTATGGAGCGGCTTGTTCTTATCCTTGTACTCAAAGATGCTTTTGCTTTTCTGACATATAGAAACTTGCTCATAACCAGCATATAAGACTGTTTGAAAACGCATCATACAATGATGGACAAAAATTAAAGCCTGCAGGAGAGAGGCTCATAGAATGGGCAGGTAATGAGGAGGAACTGTGAATATTTTATTCACCACCTTAAAGATCCAGATATTTTTCTCAGGAGTTGGTGGAGATCAAATCAGAGCCATAAGGACAGTGAATATTGGACGTTTCATGAGGTGGACGTAAAAACATTACTCATGTTTAAATGAATGTGACCATTGCTGTGTGGCACTGAGCTGGTTAACCAAAACAAGTTGATAAGTCGACGGTATGTTCGGGCTTTGTGTCCGTCAGTTTGTTGTGGTGTTCGTCCACCCCCTCCAGTGGACAAAAATCAGTTCATGCAGCTTTAAGTTAGGTGGCTGTAAATCCTATTGTGTCATCTTAAGCAGTCATTTAATCCCTTTTACCTCTATCTTATCTCCTCAGGCTGCTGTGATGACTCAGTTTCCCCACAGCGCAACGTTATCACACTGCTCCTCTCTAATGTGCAGCCACTCCTGAGCTGATGGACTGAACAGTCTGTGCTGGAGGTAACTGCGCTCACACACACACAGTATAGACTGGTCACTGAAAGAGGAGGCATTATGGTTTTACCTCCGCTTTCAATTCAGTTCATGATTTGTACTGCCTTTCATTTTATACTATATCCTACAAAACAGATAATCCAACATTATTACCTTTCGCAGCATGGCCTCTGACTTCTGCACATTGAAGTTTCTGGCTGAAAGAGAGAAAGGAGAGAGAAAAGGAGGCCAACATGATTAGCACAGAGATCTGTGGTCCATAAGTGATGTGAAATGTGAACAGGTTTTTAACCAAGGAGCCAAAGGAGCCGAACCAGGGACCTGCTGCTCAGGGCTCAATTTGCCTGTATGGTATGTGCCCTAACCACTCGGCCATTGGGTCGCCCCAAATATAAAAGAATCTTAAATTATAAAATTTTCTTTTCATCGCTAAATGCGTAGAACATCCCCCACACCCGCTTCCTCTTCTCTAACAGTATTAAAACCACTGTGTCAGTATGAATCATCCAGAACACAGCAGACACTGTCTAATACTCCGTGTAAGGTGATTACAGCTCTGCAGCTGACAGTCCAGTGGAAAAGCACAACAGAGCTGTTGCCGTGAAGTGAGTGAGACTTACAACTTACTCCAGCAGTGGATTAAACTGTAGCTAAAGCTCCAGTCTGGCACCTGAACTGCAGCCTCGTCTGCACCGAGTGACCCACAATTACAAAAGCACAAAGCGGGATCTGACAGGAGACTGGGCCGCCTGTTATTTTGGATCAGTAATAAGTGTTATTCTCACCACTATAAGATTTTAGATTGATGTTTATTCTGATTTCAGTTCAGTAACCACTAATGAATGTTTAGATCGGCTTTGGTCTCCAATAACCCCAAAGAGGATGATGGGTATGAATGGACACTCCTGCCACTTCCGATAATGTTATCAAGCTGTGATAAAGGTTTATAACGTAGTTCATGGCTGGTGCGAGAACTTCCCACTCAGCTCAGTACCTGATAACATTTAATGACACTGCCTTCAAGCTAGGAATCAGTATCTGACACACTGCAGGTCCAGGTGTAATGAAACCTGGAAGGGCAATGAACTCTGTGATCACCCTGACGGCCCCCAGTTTCAAACTTCTTACACCCTCAGATGAATTTAAACTTAAAATAATAACTTCAAGAGGAAAGCATTTGCATTTTGGGCGACAAAAAGATCTTGTTACTGACTGATCAGGTGCGAAATAGTTTTTTTCATTTGCTCACAATACACAACAGCATAAAACCAAACAATGGAAATAAAACCGATGTGAGAGGAGAGGTGAAGAAGCCACAGACCTCCCCTCAACTCCAAAAAGAAAGGGTGAAAACACACCTAACTAATAAATTACAGAATATGAAGAAAATAAATGAGAATAAGAAACAGACAAAATGAACAGAAGTGGTCACCAGATCAGCAGGTAATAATTGTAGAAAAATACATAGGAATATTCAAGAACTAATTAGACATCATGAATTTATTTTATTTCAGTTTCATGCTAAAATTCCTTTTATTTCGTTATTATCTCTATCTTAGGAGAGAATATAAACCAAAATCAGAGGAAGAGGCAACAGATTCTGTCGAAAAAAAAAGGAGGAAGACATTTCTGTCACAAAGCTTCCTGTCCCTGAAATCTGGTACAAAACATAGACAACATTTTGTCCAGTGCATCTGATATACCATCTGATATTCACAGAATGAATGAGTGTGTCTGTTGAGTTCTGCTGCTTATCTCTCAAGGTGGAGCTCTTTAAAGATAAACGTATTCCTGGTTGGAGTGAGAGTTGGAAATTGTTTGTTTAGTTGAAGAAGAGGAGGAGGGTCGTTGACCTCTGGTACAAGACCCGTCTTCTGTTATTCTGGAGAAGCAGAGTCTAACTGGATCTGTTGTGAGGCCTACTGCACAAGAAGTGATGCACTTAACAAACCGCTCAGATTCTTCAAGGCACCTAGGTTGTGTATCAGTGCCCTGTCTCTCACACAGTATATCCTCTTGTTTTCTGCTGCTCTGTTAGAGGCGCTGCCATCTTTAAAAAACTCAAACATATAGAAATAAATATGGCATAAATAGAAAATCCTTTGACAGAGAAGCAATGCACAGTTTAACTGACTCGTTACACTGCAGCTTTTTTCTCTTCACATCCAGTACAAGAGAAACAGCTGTAAACCGAGAAGAACATTTCCTGGACAACCCACACATTCATTAAAATGCTGTTAGAAACCATTAGGTCTGATATATGGAAAAGCCAAGAGACGATCATTCAAAGGCTTTCATGTGAGTGGTGAGCGGCTCAGCCTGATATTAAAGAGATAGTTTGGATTATTTGACACGGGTTTGTGTGAGGTACTTGGACATAGTCAGTGTATTACCTGCAGTAGATTCGGACCCTTTGAGTTTACAGAAGCAGCCAGGACCAGGGCCATCCACAAAAACATGTTTTAGCCACTTAAAAAAAAATGGCCACAGAGAAAAACAAATTTTGCCATCAAACAGCCTTTTCCCTTTGTGCCCTGTGTTATGGGCACACATGGTAGGAAGTAGATGGGGTCAACCTTTTCAGTGTATGCACTTCTTATTGGAATTAATTGATTTAAATGTATAAATGTTTAACTTCCCCAATTACTTCCCGGAGGACTGTGCATAAAAAGTGCAAAACTGTTCATCTCACATCGATATAAAGAGCCTCAAATTAAAGGTGTGAGAGTCACCGTTTATGTTCAGGTCAAATGTGCTTGAGTAAAATTGCAAACAACAAATACAAACAAATGTGTATATATGAGGAACAAAACTATCCACCATTTGGTTTGATCCAGATTATTATAAGGTCAATCATTACTGCTCACTGTGCACCACTTCAGGCTGTTTGCTATAGATCAATGAATAGGCTATTCCCTCTGCTTGAATGGCAGCCATCTTTACATTCATAATTCGAATCATTCAGAGCGTGCAAACAGGGCCTCACTGTCTGTGTTTGGAGCTGTGACGCCGACCTTTCTGAGAGGCAAAGGGAGCGTTTCACAGCTGCCACGGTCATCTCGTAAGGCCTAATTACAGAGAACAATACTCCCTCACTGCCGCTCTGAATTCTTGTTATGAAACAATTTCTCACTGTTATTAAAATCCAAGAAACTTGAACCCTGAGAGCAACAGAAACACGGCAGCTGAGTGTCTCCTGGTAGACGGGCTGCAGTCCACCGTAGTGCACCTTTAATGTGATTATCCCTGGATTAGATTGATACATGGAGTGCTAGACCTCTGCTCCAGAACTAATCAGAACAAGGCCTCCTTTAATCACTGCCTCCCATTTCCTCAAGAGTCTAATTGCACAACGTCATCCTTACCTAACCAAAGAAAATCAGACAAATTGAGCTTGAAAAGTTTTTAAGATTTCCTGGTTTGTTTTACCAGTGACTGCAGAACCTCAGAGGTCAGAGCAGGTTTGGTTTTTCAGTGGTTTGAGCATCGTGTTCAGAGCTGAAAACCATGTGAGTCTCTTTCTCAACTGCTGCAAACAGACTGTTTACACGTGTTGCATCATGTACATGTGATAAACCACTGCAGCTTCTGCATAACGCACAAGTACAGTGACGCCAATAGGTTTTCCCTGTGGATGCATGAGAACGATTACAGGGAAAATCAAATCATTAATTTACCACAAAGGAGAGGGATTATGAGAGAGCTACAAGATGCAGTCAGGGAGAAGCAGCAGGTGCCACTTGTTTTTTTTTTTGTTTATCTTTATAACTCACCTCTGAGCCAGCGTAACAGGAAGTGGTCATGCTGTGCAGGAAGTTGAGGAAGAATGTCTTGTATCCTCTCTCGAAACTACAGCCAGAGGACGGGAGGGAGGAACAGACATTTGATTGACATGTTTTGCACATGACGAGCAAAGAGGATTTCAATACTTGAAAGAGAATTCAGGGAAATCTTTAATCAATCTTTACAGTTATAGTTATGCAGCCTGGAGATAAAAGGCAGTTTTTGGAAATACAGTGTGGCACTGTTTATATTTTCACTGTAGAGTTTTTCATTTCAGATAACCACGTCTGATTCACTAACTAACTTGTGACTCTGTGACCAATTATTTTACACACTTTAATGGCAATGTTCAACAATGTTTGCCATTTTTCTTGCATGGAGAGAAAAACAGTCAACACCTTTTAGGTTTAAACTGCACTACATGGCCAATTAAGTATCCAGACATTCATGCACAAGGGCTGCAAAACAGTCTGCCAACTATTAAACCAAAGTTTTTGGTTTAAACCAGAGTTTAAAACTACTAATTATATTATAAAGTAAAAAAAAAAATGACCAATGCTTTATAGATCAGTAATATGCCATTATTAAGAACAGGTGACAGTTTAGTGCTGCAACATTTAATGTATTAATCAATTGACAAAAAATTAAACTATTTTGGAAAATCAATTCATTTTAGTCTTTTTTCACGCAAAAATGCCAAACATGCTGAATGATGCTTCCCTTTGTCACATTATTCACTATATTCTGACACTTATAGAGACCAAAAGTGATAGTGGATCATTACTGATCTATATATATTCCTGAATTTCCCCTAGGGAATAAATAAAGTATCTATCTAGCTATCGAGCTATCTATCTATAAAACATTAGTAAACAATAATAATTTATTAACCAATATGAAAGCCCTTAGAAACACCTCACTAGAAAGGGGTTGCTGCGTGGTTGATGTTACAGTGATAGCAAGTAAGGGAACTATAGTGAAGAGATCGTATGGTGACATAGTATCAAGTACGATAATGTCACCATACAAGCTGTGAGCTTCACAACCACAGATAATACTGGAGCATCACTCTGAACAAACCACGTGATAAAAATGAAACTGTCCAGTGAGATAAGGCAACTGTGAAAGCAGCATCACCCCAAGTAAACTCCTTTATAAAACGGCCATTATTATTATTATTATTGATAATAATAATAATAATATTATTGTTGAAGTTGTTGATGTTGTTACAAAACTTACCTGCTCCAGTGCTTCAGCCTGTTTAGGACTGAGGTCTCCTACTCTTCCGCTCATGTCTGCAACCGGATGATAATGGAAAAAGACAGAGCTCCTTCAAAGTCAGACTGATAGACAGAGAAACAGCACCGTCACCGTTAACCGTTATCCGGCAGTGGGTACCTGCCTTAGTCACCTCCCCGTGATGCTCATGCACGGCTCCGGTATCCTGTCCTCCCCGCTGTCAGCTGCCTGCAAGTGAAAAAAATGTAAACACGAGTCTCGCACCGCCCGTTTGACGTCCAGTCCAACCGGCTGACTCGGCCAAAGATAGGAGAAATGACGAGAGGGATGAGTGGCAGATGAAAAAAGAGGAACCACGGAGAGGAGAAGCCCCGCCCCCTGTGCAAGCGTAAGTAACTTCAAGTTTACACACTGTAAACAAGTAATAAATAATTCAGAATAAAATTCCTTCATCTATGAATGGCACCTTAGATGAATTAGACTAAAACCTGCTGTAGAAATGTGAGCTCGGAGTCTGAGAAACTATTCTATTCTTTGGGGGGCACGTTTTTTAACTACCGAGTGACTCCGATTGAAGACAACAGACAATCTTTGTTAATAATCCCGAAAATCCCGCATTTGCGCACTAACAGGAGCATTAAAAATCGTTTTGTTTTTAATTTGATTAAGCGATTGAGTTATTCCCATCAGGTCCTATTGCCGCTCAAATAATAACAAATAATTTAACATATTACAGCCGTATGTCCTGGTTACTGAGCGGTTATGATAGTGTCGCAGTGCGCAAGCGCAAAAAGAAACAGGTCGGAGTCACGGATTTAAAGCGAAGAAGGAAGTACAAGATGGTACTCTCTCAAATTGCTTCATTCTTCTTCGGTTGTATAAACTGGTAGTGGAACATATTCCAATTCTTCAATTAAGCAGTATCACACGACAGTGATGTTGTACTGAATATCAGCACGACTGTGATACTGCTTTTATACAGCCGTTCTACGAGCGTCATATTAGTTAAATAAGCAACAACAGATTATATGATTTGTAATGTAATTTCATCATTTATTTGGCAATGCCAACACAAATAGTTCCGCAACTGGACTGTTGCCAAGCAACAGATAAACATTTTCCTGACCTACACAGTGCACAATAGCTTGCTACTTTGTCTACTCGTTACCTCAGGAGTGCGCCTAAGTATCCAGGCTTCTTTCCTTCCCTTCACCCCCATCTGACAACCATACAACATTTCATACAAATGTTATCTCTGGAAATATATTCATCTTTGCAGTTTGTTACAATCAAAGATAAATAACGACCGCTAATATAACGCTGATTAATGGTTACTAGAACACCTGTGAAGCGGAGTGATAGATGTAGTTAAAAGTCCCAGTTCTGTTGTACTCTATATCAGCATTCATGAAAAAACTCTCGCCCAATCAAATTACTTGGTCAGAATTAACTGTTGTATAATGACTTACATGATGTCTTCATCTTTACAGCGGTTACGTTCACCGTGTAGTTTAAAACATGTGCCGTTGAGCATGTTGAGCAAATATATTCATCTTTGCAAAGTTTGTTACAATATAAGATAGCTAACGACCGTTAATGTAACGCTAATTAGCGGTTAATAACACATGTAAAGCGGAGTGATACATGTGGTTAAACGTCCCAGTGCTGTTGTACTTTAAATGAGCCTCTAGTCAAATCACATTACTTTGTCGAAAATAACTTCGTGTAAATCCCTAAGGTATAATAGAAGACGAGAAAATAATCCGCTCTCGTCTTCCGGTTGGAGCCGGAAGTTGCCTTCGCTTGTTTACATTCTTCGACGGCTCTAGCTACCTTGCGAACGAAAACGCTAGCAGCTTTTCTCCAAAAAATTATGGTTGACAGTTGATTAGGTTTGTGTACTTATTACAGTTTTTAGCTGTATTTGCTTTCTGTTGTCGCTGGGACCATGGCTTCAGCTCGCTGCTGGTGCTGTCTTTGGCTAACGTTACCACTCCTCCTGCTGCGGTGGCCGGGGCTGCTTGTGACGGCGGAGCAGGTCGCTTTGGTGGAGGTTTTCCTGGAGCAGCCACCCGATGTCAGCACTCTGCTCCAGGGGGAGGTGGTGGGGTCCAGCGGGGGCAGCAGAAGCTCCGAAGACCGAGAGGAGCTGGAGGGAGAGCTGGTCCTGGTGAGCCGGAGAGCAGAGGTTATTTTGTGGTCAGGTTTTGAGGGTGGTTGTTCTGGATGTTTTGGTAAATATGGATGAAAACCGATAGATATTGACCAACAATAGAGTACTGAGTGGGTTATTGTCATTAACAGTTAATTTGTGACTAAAAGATCAATAATTTAGTTTAAATACGGCATACTTAAATAAGTTACCAGAGCTGAAGGTAATGACCTCTGCTTTTCCAATTAACCTGAAGTATTCAACATCATGATAAAACTGCAATTGAATAAACAATTTATGAATTAATTTTAAATATACTTACTCCTGAAAAACATTATATTACACTAAATTCACATCTCTGCACGGGAAAAGCATGATACACAGCTGGAAGTAGAAAGAAAGGAAATACAGTGGCAATATTCTGGCTTGAATTCGATTTAGTGGAGTGTTTTTTTTCTTAATGAAGTTCGCAAACGTGGATGGAAAAAGCAAACAAGTACAATAGATCTGCAATGATTATTCAACTATTCAGCTAGTCTATCAAAAGAATATTAATTCCCCAATTTTAGTTTAGTCGTTTAAGTCATTTTTCAAGCAAACATGCCAAATATTGCTGCTTTTACTCTTTTTCTGGTATAGTGCCCTCAGTCAAATACTTTTGGGTTTTGGACTGGGCAGACCAAACAAACATTTAATGATGTCACCTTGTGTTTTAAGAAATAGTGGAGGGCACTGTTGACACTGCTTTCTGATGTTTTCTAGACCAAATGATTTATCGAGTAATTGACAAAATAATTGGCGGATTAACAGAATAACAAAAATAATTGTTAGTTGCAGCCCTTAAATACAACTCTCACCTCCCTAAACTGTCACTGCTGTGGAGCCCCTGAGCAAGGCAACTTCTGCTTTGAGGCTTTGACTTGTCAAAGCAAGGTAACACCCATTTGCAGCACGGGGAAGTTACATGTGACAATATGAGGAATTCCACCCTGCAATAGAAATGTCTAACTTGTCATCTGTCCTCAGGTTCAAGATGAGGAGACGCAGGTGAGTGGAGAAATAAAGGAGGATGACGCCAAAGAGCAGGAGCTGTGGATCGGGGTGGTGCCTGTCGATATGGATGACAGCAAAGCCTCCACTGGGAACCAGGAGTCCTTCGCTGATGCAATGGTCAATAAAGTGAGTTTGGCTGGTGCATGTTGGCAGTTATTTATACCCATGTTTTACTGCCTTTCCAACAACAGGACAAAGATCAGAACAGACCTTCATTAGCAGTGAGATAATTAGTTAAATTCCTGAAACGTAATATTCACCTTTCTCTGTTCCAGATGAAGCGAGCCTTGGTCCTAGGAGCTTCAGCGCTGATCATCCTGGCTCTCAACCAAAACACCGTCAGTGAGGTAAAAATTCAGAAACGTAACTGGAAAATATAGAGTAACTGTTTGGATCTCATTTCTTTCTCTTTGTCTTTTGCTCTGTTCTGTGGGTGTGTCTGTCAGTTGGTGTATTAGTAGTGCAGATATAAGCTTTTACATGAAGATGATTTAGAATATTCTGAGGTGGAGTTTGTCCAGCTCATGTTTGTCATTTCTGCTGCAGATGGACCTTTCTCAGGTGCTTTCCAAACCAATCATTGTGATCCAGACATCTGAAAATGTCACTAAGCTGATTGGAGCTCTGCTCAGGTACATAACACCCGACTGTCACAGATACTGCTGCTGCTTCCAGATGCACCTTTCCCTCATATCACTGATAAAAACAAGATAATACAGTTTATTTAATGAATCATACAATGCTTTGAAATGCACCAGATTTTAGCATTTTAACATTCACTTAAACAATGTAGTTTCCACTGTGTATTAAATTTTCTAGCTTAAAATTTGTATTTTAATGTAGTTCTATGTTGTTTGATGGTAAAGTTCTTATTTTAATCACATATGTAGATGTATTTACCTTATTTTGTCTAAAAATTTTAAATAAATAAACTACGTAGATTATTATAGATATAGCAGGTGTCTGTACACAGCCATGTTCCTTTTCTAGTTAATGTCAAATCAGAGCAATCGCAAATCGAGTTTTGATTAATCCTTCAACTGCCCAAGGCCTTTACACACCTTAGTCAGATGTTTTAGTGTTTTTATTCTGCACATAGTCCAAAAAAATAAGTCATCCAAACATGAAGTGGTGATAAAAACCCACAAGTTCAGGGTGATGTATTTTGTGGAGTTAATCATGTTTCCTGCAAACCACCATACATCCTTTCATACTGTACATGAATCCCATTATCAAAACAAATTGTGCAAACTCAGTTTATGTTTTAATCTTAATCTGGTTATTTGCAGTTATCAGTTTATACTGTGTATCAACTCTAAATATAGTGATGGAGGATTTTTATTGTCACTAAATATCAGTTGATCTCTCCTCAGGGGTCTCCAGGCGACAGCGAAAATCACATACAGGACCATCTTGCAGGACAACCTGGTGAGCTCCATAACAATCAGCTGATCAGTGTGTTTTTCAGTTGTTAGCACCCTCCAGTGGTGAGGGAACAGATGACAGGCTGAGCTGACAGTGAGCACATGCTGCTGTGTGTCCGGGCAGGGAGCCACGCTCACGCTATGGTCCAGCTGCGGCCGATCGAGAGGCGGGCGCTACGGAGAGTGGCAGGGGGTCATCTGCACGGGAGAGACCAACTCACAGGTCCAGGTGGGGGGAGCAGAGCGGACACAACATCAGCTTCATTAGCAGGTTTTCTTAAAGCTGCTGTAGGACTGAGGGAACTCTGCTCTGCTGTGTGTGAAACGTTTATTTTTCTTTAACTGTTTTATCATGATCATGAATCTAAAGGAGGAATTAAACTGACACACAGAGGGAAACAACCTGAAGGCACTCGTACAAGTGAGAAATAAAATGCGTCATGAAATAAATACAAAACTAAATGTCTAAAATTGACACAGAGGTGTTGTTCATAAGTCCTAGTGGAGTCTCTACACAGTGGTCATGTAGATTTTACTTTCATGTACAGCAATGCAGATTTTTTTTAATTCCCTCTGAGTGAATGTTAATGCTCAACTGTTCTCTGCTGCAGCTTTAAGTACCAGTCAAAGGTTTGGACACACAATGTGAAACATTTGACTGGTACAGTATATTTATATGTATAGACAAAATAATCAACATACTAGTTTTCTCCGCAGTTTCAACCACATCTCACAGTCGTCATTAGTGGATGAAGTTTGCTCAGTTTTCATGGAGAACTTGACTGTGAGACGTGGTTGAAAGGTCTGGAAAAGGCTGGGAACCAGGCTTTTGAGTCAAAATGATTTTGTCACATTTTTGTCTAAGGTCAAGAATGAAGCTAAGAATTTAAGGTTTATTGTTTTTGTTTAGTTTAAACTGAGTAATTTATCAGTTTATTTGGATGATTATCGTAGAAATCATATTTCGGAAAAGCAATTCTCAGAAATCTGATTAGTGGTTAAACTTTTTTTAAAGTGAGAACTCAGAGGCTCATTTGCAATTCCTCTTCTCTTTTGCCAGAAGCATTTTCTCAGTTGTGTGTGACAGACTGATAAACAGAGAGGTTTTCAAATGAACTGCAAAGTCACCAGATGATCAAGTACCAATGCTTCTCTCTCTTCTCTCTGTGTCTGTAGAAATACCTGCAGCAGCTGTGGGACACTGTCCTCCTGGTGGCTCTGATCCTCAGCACCGGAGTCATCGTTCAGGCTCGCTGGCAACACCAGGACCACCAGCTCAATGACGACTTGGAGGTAAGGTTAAGGGAAGCGCCCGTGCAGTTAAAGCTGAATAGCATAAATATGTAAAATTAACTTTTGCACATATGTCTTTTTCCCAATTTTATACAATTAATACATTTTTTAAAATCACTTACAAATATAGGAACACCTGAAAATTAATAAATAATGGTTGTAATTTTTGAACGTCTGTGCACAAAGATTCAGGATGTTTTTGAGCCATTTCATGAGATTAAAGCACACTGGTAGAGAGTTTGTTTCTTTATTGGCTGCTGTTCTCACTATTGTTAGAAACATTTAGATGTTTTTGATATGTGCTGTAAGCTGTGAAGTGTAAGTATATTCTCTCCAGTGTTGCACATATAGAACCAGATCATATAGTTCTCAAAGGAGAACTCGTCCTGTAAGTGTAGCCTCGCTCATGTACTGGTGTGAAGTCAGTGTCCACACAGAAGCGCACTGACCTTCAGACATTTCAATAAGACATCATGTGATGTTCTCCTTTGTTGTGTTCTTCAGCTCCTTCCCAAACAGGACGTTCTGAAGACGATGTCGTCTCTGAAGACCAAAACATATCGTCAGCCCAAACCCTGGTGTGACACGTCGCAGCCGCTAGAGACGGACAACTGCGCCGTCTGTCTGGAGCCGTTCAACAACAACCAGGTCAGCTGACACTCCTGACACTAAGCCTATAACAGTTTAAGTGCAGGGTTGACTCTGCAGTGACTTATTTAACTAGATCCCCAGTAACGGCTACTCTTTCTGGGCTAAATAAAAGGATAGCTACAACTACGTATTAATGAAATGAGTATAAATTACATAAATGAAAAGAAAATGAAAATAAGATCACATAAACATAAATAAATACATGTCTTTAAATCTGAAACAGGTAATAAAATAAAACAAGGTACAAATTTCTTATGATAATATATACCCACGACTTTAGTTTCTGTAACCTGCTCCATATGATGACTCATGAATTGTGAATATGTGGTATGATACAAACTGTTGGCTTCACCTTGTGTTGCTGTCGCCCCAGTGTCTGCGGGTGCTGCCGTGTCTTCACGAGTACCACAGAGACTGTGTCGACCCCTGGCTGCTGCTGCAACACACCTGTCCTCTGTGCAAACGCAGCATCCTCAGTGAGTTCACGCCACAGCATCACACACTGCTACACAGCTCTGTCACACATGACTTAATGAAATTGAAGGAATAGTAAAATACTCCATTGCAAGTGAAAGTGTAGAATGATTAGCATTAAAACGCACTGGTTAATATTTCTATTAGTTAAATTGTACTTCAGTTTGGTACTAGAGTAAATGTGCTTAGTTACTTTCCACCACTGTTTTCATGCAAATAAACTTATCATCCGTAACTATACTATCACCTTAAAATACCATTAAAGAGGAATCCTCAAACACAATAGCAATATATATATATTTTTAATAACTAATCCCGTAACAAAACCAAAATCAACAATTTTTTTTCATGTTATTATGATCACAATTTATATCTCAACGGTAAAAGCAATATTGGTTTATGGTATTGGGTTTCATATCATAGAAGACTAAGAGAACTAGAAAATATGGACCGGCTGGGAGCAGTAAAATCTTGGCATTTACAATCAATCAACTATCAAATCAATTACCAAAACTGTTGCAGATTAACTTTCTGTGACTCTCTAATCTAGAAGTTTATATATTGTGTCAGCTCAACATTCAAATGAGTTTCTCAAAATCTGTTTTTCTCCAACCGTCCCCAGGCAGCGTCTGCAAAGACAGTTAACGGTTGCCTCACCTCCTCCACCGTCGCAGCAGCAGCAGCAGCAGCAGCAGCAGCAGCAGCTCTGGAATCGGCTCTCGTCTTCGGTGACACTCCAGTAGCCGTGTTTTTTTTTTTTTTTTCCCCCTTTACTGACCTCGCCGCTTCCTCCTTCCAGCAATGGACTGTGGGAGCCAATCTAAACTTTTCACCGCAGTTGACTGGCAGTCCGGACTGTGGAGCAATTGGATTTTGACCTCTGACCTTCGGATGGGTCTCGCAGGTATACAGTGGTTGTATAAACACAATACTATGAAGTTACTGTACCGGTACTGTTGTGTATGAACAGTATTTCTTCCTGGGATCATGTTACTGTACAGCTGTGTAAATATTTGTTTGTATGTGTGATGTACAGCCGTGAAGATGTGACTCTTCACACCAACACCTTCTGTTCTGTTCAAACAGCTGAGCAACAAATCGTTTGGCTTTTAATCGGTAACGATGACTCAGCTTTTTGTGCACAAACATTCAGTGCTTTCTGATTTTAAAACACGTACGTATTGAATGACTGGCCAGTGTCAACGTTCACTTTAGGTCCAAATGATGTCAATAACCAACTTATTAAGTGGACTAACTGAGTTAAAACGTGACTGATATCATCTCGTGTCCAAACTCATGATTCACAATTAAGTGTTAGTTGTAGAGGTTCTGTAGTTGTAGTGCAGAATTAACTGTGCCACAGTTGGTAGCAGATGTGGGGAAAAAAAAGTCTTTGCACTTGTCCTTAACTTGCCTTATTACTTCAATGCAGACTGAGAGAAACCACAAACACACCTCCTGAGTTATACTTTGAAACTTGACATGTTTATGGAACCGTAGCTAATTCAGTTGTAGTTGCGCTGACAGAGATAGAGGTGTTACACGAGTAGTTTGTGGAGTCTGTGGCCTCAGCTTCGTTGGATTTTCACCTCTTTGATTTATTTTTATCTTTAGGTCTGTGTGAAGAAGTCTGTTTCTGACAGCAGAGTCACACAGACAAGAATGTGCATCTCATATCATGTGACGAACATGATGCGTTCTCTTACTCCTCTGACATAAAGCTTCACAGTTGATCATAATAATTGAAGTTCAAATTTTGTACTTGAAAGCAACTGCCTGATTCCAGTGCTGAGTTTCCATTTAAAGAAATAAGAGCAAATTAACAAATTTCTCCAAAAACTGTCAAAATATCAGAATTTTGCAGAAGGATGTGTAAACTATATGTTTACATACAGTTAAGAATCTACATCACAGCACAGGAAAATTGTGTGAAATCGGAGGTAATTTTCTGTCAAATGTCCTTGTGCAGGACAATTTAAAACTTACCAAAGGTGGGTCAACAATCAAGATAAACAATTGTCATCTCAACATTGAGGAAAATAATTTAAGGTCTAACTGTGCAGCTGTACATTGAAGTCAACACATTCTACTGCTAAAGGAAAAAGTCAAATCCACTTGATTTTTTTTTGTTTTTTGCATCCTGTGAGTGATGAGCCAAAGACAAAGGATGTCAAAAACATAGTATTATGGTATTTATTTTATGGTTTGTTTTTTTTTTGTTTTTTTTTTTGCAATGTCAACTCCAAAAAGCAAATTACATGTGTGTTTTTTGTTACAAAATGCTCCGATAGATCTGTTCTCTTCATAGAAAATAGTCTGTGCATGGCAACATGTAGGTGGTTTCCCTACAGCTAGTGTGAGAGACGCGAGGCGCCTCTGTACAGCATGTGCTTCCAAAAACAAACACCACAGCATCATAACGAGATGGTCATAGCGTCTCTAGACTATTTTTTGTTTTGGTTTTTGCGAAGGCTGGACAACAGTGGTGTGAACTGGGTGGATGACATCACATGCATGCAATTGAACGTTACATGCAAGCAGCTGTCACACAAGCTACTCGCACAGAGTGAGTAGTGAGAGCAACACAGTCTGCCGCTGATGTCCAGACTTGATCACCAGGTCAGTAATTGTTCTTCCAGCTACAGAAGGAACGGCAGTCTCTCTAAAACCCTCATCCTTTGTATTCCTAAGTTGTCTACTTGATGATGATGATGATGTCAAAGAAACTTCATTCAGTCACTCTGGATCTTAATAATAAATTGATTTGTTACTTGGCAAAAATAAAAGGTCTTACTCTTTGTCCTCAGTCCCTGGCTCACACTCAGAACTTTGGTTTTTAATCAGCTATAAAAAGAAAATCATTTAGTCCAAAGACTAAAAGTAGATGTTCAGAGTCTCTGCTTGACAACCTCTGAAAACAAAAGGCTAAAGTGCCAAAGAAAGTCTGTAAACTAATTCAATTTTTCACCAGCAACTGAAAACCTTCAGCGGGCTTCCCTTCTCAGGCAAAGACAGTGACCTCAGGGCTGAAGCGTGATCGACCCAGAACAACACCAGAACCTGATTCACTCAGTCGACACACATCTTCCACCTTCCTGCCATCTCTCCCTTCTACCATCAGTCCGGTTGGTTCGAGCAGCAGGCCGTCACACATGTCATGAGGGGATCATGCCTTTGTTCCTCTTGCGGTCAGCCATGGTGCGCCGGTTGTGGTTGGACACGCGGCTCTTGTTGGCCTCCTTCTTGCGCCGGTCCAGGAACGTCTCCAGGGTTTGACCTTGGCCTTTGGCTCGGCCGACAACGTTACTGCTACGCTCTGGTCGGAAACTGGGAGAGAAGAATGAATGGAAATCAACAAACATTTTTAAAAAATATAAAGGAAACTTCCCACTGAATTTTTAAATGTCACAATTTTCTTCTGAATTTAGGGGAAAAAAACACATTTAACATGAAAAATAACAACATTTACGTTTCCTTTTTCCTTTATATTATAATGGACAGATCAGACCCTGTTCACTCAGTTCTTTTCTATCTGTTAATTGCAAAATTTCTTTAAAAAACAAACAAATCTTGTTTCATTACCATTAAGTTTTTACCATTTGATATACGATACTATACAATATACACTTTCTAACCTTTAACCCTCAATTTACAGAAGGAAAAAGTCCACATGAAACAAAACAGGCTGGTAAAATGTGTAAATGTGTCATTATTTTTAGCAGAAAAAGCTTGAAGCTAAAGAAAGCCAGATGAGTTCAGTCTTTACCCTTTCCTTTGCTGCATGGCAGCTCTTCTAGCTTCAGCTCTCTCCCTCAGCAGAGCCGGGTCCTGCACAAACTGGTCCCTGTTTACGTTGTTCTGAAATCAAATGGATTCACATGTAAACACACAGTCCCAAAGTCACAAAGGTAAACAGACTACAAAACATGCACACCGCACATTTGTAGCTAAAGTATTTCATTCCAAAAGATCAGGATCACAAAGTTACCTGAAACTTGTCAGGTAACGTTTGAAAAACAAATATTCTCTGCTAAATATTAATTTGGAAAATGTAATAAATCTTTACATATGTAATAACTTGGCATAATAGAGGTTCCCTTGTAAAATAGTCCGAATTTCCAACTGAAATCAATGACTTCTCATGAGGTGAAGACAAGCATGCGCTGTCCGCTGATTGAAAATCATTGAGAAATGTGTAATAAAACTGTTTTAAGTGTTTTATTTTTAAGTGTGTTATTCAAAGGGTTTCAATTCAATCTACAAAAATAATCTTGTAAATAATCCTGAAACAGTGGTTAAAAATAAATAAATGTTACAGAAAAAACCTTATCATGGGTCAAAAACACTGTTCTGGAACAATTTCAGTACCTGTAAAGTCTCTTCCTCCTCGTCATCTTCACCCTCCTCCTCATCCTCTGGTTTGTTTCCTTTTCTCAACACCTGTGGGACTGTGAAAGGCCTGCAGGAGAACGGGAACACAAAGTGAGAATGAAAAAGGTGAACTGAATGCAATTAGCATCCTCTACAAGAGGAATTCCAAATTTAGAACAGATCCTGTCAAAATTAAAAGGTGCTAATTAAATTCTACTTTGTTGTGTCATGATTAAAGACACAGACACCAAAAACCCAACTGTGACTCACCTTCTGTTCAGTAAGCTGTCTCCGTCCAGGTCGTTAGCTCCCACTTGGTTCATGTCGTAGGTGTCGTCGTACTCGTCGTCGTAGTCGTCCAGGCCGTACGTGGCTGCAGACTCCCCGGGTTCAATGACGACCTCGTCCACCACCGTCTCGTAGGCCTGATAACGAGCTCTCTGCTCCGCTATGTGCTGCTTGTCGTTGAGCATCTCTCGAATGTTCTCACCTTTCCTGCAGGAGTCAGGAAACATGGAGACTCGACTGAATACGATCTCACCTGTTCTTCACTTTCTTTTCAAGTTTTAAAGCTGAGTTTAAGGCAAATTGTGCAACCGCAAGTACACAAAAGGAGTCCAGGGATTTTTAATTTTTGATTAGTGAGCATATCGTTTGTGCTTTTTACCTCCGGCCCTTCCAGATGCGGGACATGTCCACCTGGTCCCTGCGGAAGATGTCAAACTCATCATCATCAAACACGCCGGATCTGTTGCTCAGGACACTTGGAAGCTCCTCCTTCACAGGCCTGGGAAGAGGAAAAAAAAGCACATGGTCAAACATGATGGTATAAACTTTGATAGTATCTGCTCCGTTTACCCGAAATGATCTGCACAGTTTTGTAATCCATAGTCAACTAAAGCTGTGGCCCAAAGATACAGAGAGTAAAAACACAACGAATGTTTGTATACAGCAGGATTTGTCAGGTGTCTAGGTTTATCATTACAAAGTGGTGACTGTAACTATGTCTGTATTCAAGAGAAGCTTCTATAGCTTAAGGCTTGAATCATGTTTTTTTAGTTTAGTTACTCAGCAGGATAATGCTGGGTGTGATATGAAAGAAAATGAATAACAGACTCCTTTAAAGAAAATTACTTAATACTGTCACTGAAAGCCGAACAAAAATTTAAAACACTTACTGGAACTGTACACAGGAGAATCTCAGCCTAACTATCCACTTGGTACAAAAAATATATTCCATATTATATGTGAAGCTCAGTGTATTGTGTCACCTTGGCATGGATCGGTCCAGTTTGTCCAGGCTGGGCGCTAACCGGTCCTCCAGGATGTTGTTGATGACCAGCTCAGAGTTGTAGTTGTACTCCTCCAGACAGGCCAGCAGGAAGCCTTCGCCCAAGTCAGGCAGCAGGTCCCTGATACACGACAGCAGAGACTCCAGCTCCGCCGCGCTCAGCGGACACACCACGCCCTGAAAACACACACACACACACACAATGAAAAAAGTACACCGTCAAAGTCGGGTTGAGTCGTCTCTCTGTCTTGTTTTTCCCAAGATTTGTAGCTAGTTTGAAGTCTACACTTATATCATTCAGCTGAAATTTATGGCCATTGATTTCTTCCTGTAAATGCTCTGAAACTATTACTTGTATTCTTTCTTTTTTTATTACGTTTTTTATGCCTTATATAAAAAACTTTCCTGTCCTAACAAACTGCTCCTGTTTGTTTTATTCCTTGAGCCATTTTTTGTCTCCTCACTGGTCCCAGCAGGTAAAACTGTGGAACGGAGATTCCCAACATCAAAACTGTCTGGTGTTTAAATTTTTGTATCTTTTGCAGCTCAGTTTTATTGAGTCTTACTGAAAAGTTTTTCATTTATTCTGCAGTTTTAATGCATCTTAAACTGCTTGTTTGCAAACATTAATTCTTTTTTAATTCAATTTTGTTTAATGCATTTTATGTGTAAAGTACTCTGATGCATGGCAGGTGCTACAGAAATAATGGTTGTTGTTGTTGTTTGCTGCAACATTTTTGGTAAAACTGCATCGATTAGTAGAGCTACAGAAAATCTATCAGCAACTATCTTGACAGTAGAAAAAATTGTTTTAGCTCGTCAGTTTCTTTTAAGCCAAAACTCCAAATTTTGGTTTTAGCTTTTCTTCATCATACATGACAGTCAACTGAACATGTCTGCTTTCTGGACCACTGGTCAAAGATTTGAAAATGTCACTTTGATCTGTGGGAAATTATAAACAGGTGCTTTTCACTACATTCTAATATGTTATAAATACAATGATAAATCAAGAAAATAATCAGATTAATCAATAATAAAACTAACTGTTTTAACTAACTGCCGACCTACATTTTACCTCAACGTATCTTAATAAGCAGATAACATTGTGTGTGATTCCTTCAGCTGGTTACCAGTGAGGATGAATAGAGGACACTGAGCTGCCTGTAATACATTAACTAATAATCACACAACTCACGTTATTTCCTTTTCCGGGAACATCCAACATGGCCTCCGCTCCCTTCAGTCTCTCTCCAGCCCAGCCCACTGCTCCCTGATTGGCTGACAACAACGAAGGAGCTTTAGGCTGAATCTGGCTCTGTGTTCTCCGTCGTCCCACGCTGTCCCAGGCACTTTCCACCCCCTGGAGCAGGTAGGACGTCCTGGTCTCATCACTGATAGAAACCCGGGGTTAAAGAAGAAACTAAGTGACACTACTCATTTTACAGGAATACATTTCTGATTAGCTTTAAAACCATCTCATAGAAAAATTGATGGCACTTTAACAGAGAAGTAGAAGAGGCTCTTCAGGTACAAAAACAATAAATTTATTCCTTTCATGAGTCCCCTTTAATTCTTTCCATGTGATGTGTGTGCTGATTTTGGCTACATGCATTAAATATTATAAATATTATTGGAAATAGGTGCACAGAGTTTACTCCCCATCTTCATCTAGAAATCTTAATTGTAGGTGTCACTTCTTGCAGACTGTTACTAGCCATAAAAATCTGTTTGTACAAAGTTAGTGCTGTAAAGCTGAAGGATACATGACAGGGAGAGCCTGCTGCAGGAGGCTGATGTCGTCACTGAGCGGGAACTGCTCATCGTAGTCCGACAAGAACCTGAAACGACAACCAGCCGCTCAAAAGTCAAGTTTAGCCTGTGTGCATCATAACTCTCATTCTCAGACATTTTATCATTTTATTCTCCTGTTCATTAAGACTCTGTGACAAGCGAAGTCAAACATGCTAATAAATAAGTATAGCTATTGAGCTTAAGTCTGGCACTCAAGCTACAATATGAAAACCAAACAGTCAAGTGGACATGTTCAATACATCCTCCATGTCAGGAATTCCAGATACATTCACATTAGACATTGTGTACAATTTAATGAAAGGGCAAAAACTGGCAGATGCTACTGCTACAAATATGATAAATCTATCTACAACAAATGGCCTCACAGATCTTAACTGGTCTCACCTTTTCTCAGGTAAAAAAGATGTGAAATGTTGTAGTAGTTCCTCTGCAAATGTTTGCATGTTTTCTCTCCTGCAAGGCAACAAACGTGCAGAATTAATATTTGTATTAACGTGTAATGCTAATCCTGCTACGATGCATGTTGAGAGGCTGTTGAGAGCTCACCCCTCCAGGATCGGCTGAAGGCAGGTGTGGTGCAGCAGCAGGTGAGCTGTCTCCACCATCTTGCGACAGGAGTGGGACAACCTCTTCCACAAGTCGTCCTGAAGACTAGAGGAGGGTTTGGGAATTTATTTATCATCAGCCAGTGGGTCTTTTTGGATTGTGCATTTCTCTTTTAACTGTATTTAATGTATTCTCACCCTTTATCATCAAAGTTTCTCTTCCTCAGCGCCTTCTCAAGGTCAGGCACAGTGGTCTCATAAAATGAGGTCAGTCTGCCGGGAGGAAAGACAAAATTATCGTGAAAAGGTTTCATGCAGACAAGGCTGTCAAGAGTTGAGAGGTGATGCTGTCGGTTGAGAGCTACGTTCTCCCTGCATCTACCTGCTGAGGAAGCCGTGGGAGTGGAAGGTGGAGCAGGCTGCAGGGAAGATGTCCAGGAAGGCATGGATGGTGGTAGTCGAGTCACACAGGTACAAAATTATATCTGCAAGTTCCTGGGACAGAAAAGAAAAGAAAAACACATCATCAATGACAGTGCATGAAGCTCCAGTGTCACTCACACATTTACAAACACAGAGAAGTCAAGCAGACATACTCAGGTTAAAGTTTTCCTCCATTTAGAAAGACTTACATAGTTTACATAGTCAAGATTTTGGGATTTTCAAAATTTGAGATTTGATTATAGTGAGTAGAGCAGTTGATCATCTCTCCGCATTTTCGAAAAATGAGACCTGAAGATGTATCTTACATAAAAGTTTAATCAGTATAAGAAAGGTGCGTCAAAGCCAAAATAACCCGTTACATATAAAGACTACGCTGATGTTTTTACCCTTTATGGGAAGATTTCTTATTTCTGGTACAAGCACAGACTAAATCAGCATTATACAGTATGTTTATTAACTGTAGACTGCTAATAAACATACAGATTACCTGTCTGAGGTTAGGATATTCACCTTTAAATACTATACATTTACCTTAAAGGAGAATTTAATGAAACAGGCCAAGTATTTTTTAGCTTAACTGGAGTAGACATTAATATTCAAGAATGGATTCAGACCAAGACATTAGTCCTGGATATTGCTACATAGATGTGTGTGTCTGTCTGACCTGCTGGCTCATGGTCATGGCAGTGGGCTGTTTATGTGCATTCAGCTTCATGGGCTCCATGGCAGTGGCTCCTTCACACTGAAGACCACATTTGTCTAAGACTGAGTCAAACACCTGAAGTCGATGAGGAATAAAAGGAAACAGAAAGAGAGGAGGATAATAAACCATAATCTCAGAGAAAACATTTACAACTTACTCTAAATATTATATCATTTTTGAGTCTGAAGTGTTTTCAATTCACTCTTTGGAAAACCTAAAATAACTCTAACAATAACTCTAACATATCTTTAACCAATCTTACACTTTCCATATAAATATAAAGTTGTATCTTTAAACTTTCTTTTCACCTGTAACACAGTGGGCACTGTCTCATCCAGGTCACTGTAGTATGACGGCTGCTGGGTAAAGATGTTCTCTGAAAGGACATGAGAATTAACAAGATTAACAAACACAGGACATAACAGCTAAAACAACTTTAAATTTCAATATATTGGATACATTTCTTTTCGTAACATACTACACTGCCCAGGTAGAGAGCCTGCAAAAGCAGCTCACCTATCATCTTATGCAGCAGCTGGCTGTTGCCCTTTCCAAAGAGTACACACAGATCCAAAATTTTGGGAATGTCAAACAGGAAGTTGTCATAGATAATTTCTCCAAACACAGCCGGGGTGAGGAAGTTATCCTGAGGGGCGAAAAGCACACAACAACCCACGGGAAGGCAACAGGTTTTACTGTATATCAAGGCTTCACACTTGGAATTCACGCTAACAATACTATTGCTGGAAAAGCATAAAGTTCCCAAGCAACTGTAACGTCAAATCAGTTGACAGATGCTACTATAACAACTAGTAATTGCAGTGAAAAAGTAGATTATTATTTTTTTATGCTCCTACCTTGGACTCTTTATGTGTGGCCATCCTCAGGAAAGTCAAGAAGACCGACCTGTGGACGGAGCGCTGCATCTCCGCCATTGTCGGGGAGGAGGGCAGGGCAGTGAGGTCGAGGCTCCGAGGAGCGTGACACAGGTACGAGTCGAGGCACCTCTGCAGGGACTCGTCAAATACCACCTGGAGGAAAAGACAAAGCACAGCAGAGTAAGGAGGGAGATCATTTACAAGAAGAAAAGGGAGAGAGAGGGAGAGAGAGAGCACTTGGAGAGCAGTTGAATAAATCACCACCAGAATCTCTCTAGCTGTGTTTAGCCATCTCTCCGTCCAAACGTGGATGCGTTGGTAAGCTTTACTGCCGTTTTAAGGATTGTTCTCCCGCACTGGAAGAGTCAAATAAAGCTTGTTTTGACTGAGTGGTTAAAATTACTGACATAAATCTCCTCTTTTGAGTCTTACAACTAATAATTACTAAGGGGAATTATATAAAGAAACATATATAGCATAACAAAAATATTCCTAATAATGTTATAATAAAAATAGCTACCCCATGTATTTTATAATAAGGTTCTATTTTATTTCTACTTTGTCCTGTTTGTCTTTCATGTTTTTTCCCTTATTCTACAGGGTATGCTTGTTTTACTCAAAACAGCTACTACACATGGTCACATTTGTTTTATTCTGTTTGTTGTATTATCTGTTCTTCATTGATTTACATAATATGTTATATTGTGTTGCATTATGATTTTTACCCATTGCATCCATCCACACCATTTCCTGCAGGCTTCTGGTCACTGAATCTAAATAGGATTTTACATTATTTCTGGCTTCAGTAGAAAGTTGTGGCTAAATACCAGAAAAGAAAATACGGCTCAGCGAGATGCTCACATGTTAACAGTCCCTTACCTGGCACCAGAACTTATCGTGGGGCAGTGCGAGCAGCCACTCCAGGTCCTCTATGATGAATCTGGCATATTCCAAAAACTCCTCCACCTCAGCAGGAGAGCCGTCCTCTGGTGGAGGCTTGTAAGGCACAAAACAGCGATCCTCCTTCCGGTCTGGGTGCTGATGTGGAACAGAAAGCACAGGGGTTGATTCTAATAAACTGGTCTTTGTGCGAGGTGGTTGGGAGGTGGCACCGCAGACTGTTGTCGGGAGTCTACTGACAAATTTGCATAGCAGCATGAGGAGAGCTGACTCACCAGCGCAGGCAGTGTGTGGTCTTTTCCCAGCGGGCCAGGCTCAGTCACCTGCTGCTCATCCAGTGGCACTCGGGCACAGGCCATGGCTTCACCTTCTCTAGTTTTTTTCTACCAAATCATTCCAACACAACAAAATTCAAACTAGATTATGCTTCTGTATATAAGTCATTTCAGTGTAATTGTAGGTGTTTGAGGTGCATTGTTTTACATTTACACTTTTTAAATAGTAAATTATTGTACCTGTTCAATCACAGACCACAACAAGCTTTAGTAACTCTTTATAACTAAGGTGCACCAGTAGCTAAACAATGATGGATATTTCCATTACTGATTAATTTCTCTATAAAACAGGTAAAATGCCGATCATAGGTTCCACGGTGAGGTCTTCAGCTCACAATGATATAAAAAAGAGAATAGCAGCAGGCCCACTCATTGGGAAAGCTGGAACCAGAGGACTACTCGACTAGACTTTCTGCTTGAAAAATTATGAATCATTGGCTTCATTTAGCTTCAGTATCGATATGAGTATTGACATCAGTGATCCTCATCTTGGTATTACTAGGTATAAGATCAAATAATAATAAGATAATAATAAGAATATCCTCCCTTCACAGCAGTCTCACTTTAAGTCTATAACGGTGTATAATGTCTCCTGACAGCCTTTTAAGAAATCATAATAAAATTTTTACTGTCGACAGCAGGCCTGGAAAAATTTTCAAGTAGGGCTTCAACTACTGATTTTGATCATTTAGGCTTGAAAAATTATCCAAATAGTTGCTGATTAATCTTCTATGGATTGATTATTTGACTTTTGTAGCTCTATACTAAAGACCTTTTATTAAAGAAAGAAAATTAACATTATCCACTCTCACCATTCTTTCATTGTTTTGGTACTACATTTTTTTTGGAGGGGGGGGGGGCATGACACACCTCACACACCAGTTTCACTTTATAAGTTTATGAGTGTATAAGTCTCCTGACAGCTTTAAAAATCACTTTAAAAATGCTACAGTCGACAGGAGGCTAGAAGAAACATTCAAGGCTTCAGTAAATGAAATTTAAACCTTTTGAATATCTCCTGAGGTCTTTTCAAGATCTGCAGATACCACGTAACAGCAGCCATAACCAACGTCTGAAAAACTTCAGCTACCAACAGCCACTCTGGTTAGTTAGCTGGTTAACAGCTGGTATGCAAAGTCAAGTAGTAACCTGTTACAGACTACAGCTTTCGTAGGTCATTAAGTTTAATGGCGTGTAGTTAATTTGCATATTTCTGACTTAAAACCTGCGTTTTCAGCTGAGGTAACCTGCTCAACAGACGCGACAGCACGTTAATGAATGGAGAGCGGCTAACGTTGACATAACGTGGCTAACTTAACCAGCCGTTGACTTTATAATCGTGTCGTCAGTCTTCTTGTAACGAGTTAATAAATAGTTAATAAATATGCTCACCTCTGAATGTGACTATCTGTGACTCTTTCAAGCCATCTCATCGATGTCGTCGTAGCTTTTCACAGTTTCAATTTCCAAACGTTTTCCTCATCATCTGTGTTGTTGGGAGCGGAAGTGACGCAGGTGCAATAAGATTACACCTGGCTGTGTTTACCGCCCCCTGTCGACACCAGGGAGCAGGGCAGCACCAGCGCGGTGCCTATGTTATCCAAGTGTTTACGTAAAATTATATGACACAAAAAAGAGAATTATATGAACTACCACAGTGAAACTATAATTCAAGCAGACATCTGCCAAATCCATCCCTAAAGTTTCACAATTTTACTCCCTCTCTATTCAAATCACCCAGTTAAATTAACAAAAAGAGTAATAAGCTTTTAGAAAATTATGTTTTTCTTCCCCCCTATCACCTCTGACTGAGTATGCTAATATTGTGTATTTATGTACTCCCGTGCCTGTTTTTCTCTTTTATCTTTTAACATTTTCATTGTTTTTATATTCACCTTTTGTTATAATGTCATTTAAATTCAGGTTTGATGTGCTGTTGCCTTACCTGGATTACTGTATATTTCCTTTGGTTAAAAAAGAAAAGAAAAAGAGACTACCACAGTGAAACTGAAGTCAAAGTCTAGACTTTAGACATGACTGACAAAACTTTATTGCTTCCATCCATCTCCTGCACCTTATCCACAGTGGTGGACAATGAAAGTCCAGTCTTTTTTTTGTTGTTGTTGTTTGGTAACTTCAAACTTTGCAGATTAAGATTAACAATACAAAATATGTCATGTACTATCAATGCACTTAAAATACCAAAAGTAGAAGTACTCATTAAACCGAAAAGGCCCATTTTAAAGTAATATATCTTTTTATTTTGATTATAAATGTGTACATCACTTAAATTGTTCAACTTAACTTGCAAAGCAACTGAAGTTGTCAAATAAATGAAGTGGAGTGAAAAGACAATACTTGCCTCTGGACTGTAGTGGAGTGGTATAGAGCTGCAAATGGAAATACTTAAGTAAAGTGCAAGTACTTCAAAATTGAGTACTCAAGTAAATGTATTAAGTTGTTTTCCACCACTGTTTGCAAATACTTATGTGCTTTTACTTGAATATAATTTTGAATGCAGGACTAAATGCTGACAAATGCTCATCTCTTAGGGTTAGGGTTAACATCTACTTCTGAGAAACATCTCTTTTTGAAATAACTTATCTCCCAACTTTATAACCTAAAAATGTCAATATTGAATAAAAGACCTGAAAACAGATTTGTTTTAACAGAGGACTATATGAAGAGCAGTTCATTTGCACAAGGATATATCCAAGTAAATATCTAATCACATCTTCATTAAACTACTGAGATTGTAACTGGACACAATATCATTCAATAATGACACTTGACATGTGATTTTCTTGGAAAATTATGTTTATAAAAAAAAAAAGGATTCCCATGATACACAGAGAAGGCTGATGAGGATTGACATGATTTACATTAAGTACAATATTCTTTAAAATTATGCATTGCATGTCTGAAAGAGCATCGATAAATTATTAAAATCTTCAGATAGTCAGTCATTGGTTTGCTTTTGGGTTGGTTGGTTGAAGCTTTGCAACAACTAATGTTGCTGTTGTTTATTGTTTGTGTGAGTCATGAATTTATTATCTGGTTTATTGGTTTGTGTCTGAACTGAACACTGCAAGGTTAGATTATCATAACTGACCAGAAACTCCATCTCTCCCTTTGTGTAAATGCTCTTGCTTCAGTTTTTAACATAAAGCTAAAAATGTGCAATGCAATAAGAGCTTAGTATATAATCTGGCAGATGTCCCATTTATTCAAAGTAAAATACTGAAACAAAAATAAATGACGACAAACACAAAGAATGGATTTTGTCTGCTTCCATGGCTTGTGGTGTAAAGCTAACACAAATACTTTCTCTTGGGTGTAAAGCATAAAATAAATATTTTATGGCTCAAAAAACAATAAATAAACTCCCATACATCATACCCATCAAGCAGCAGTAATACTGTACCACATGGTACCCATTTTAATGGCTTGCCTTTTCCATCCAGCAATAACAGAAATCTTTTTTTTTTTTTTTCAGTAGGCCTATATTAAGTGACAGCCAACCATTTCTTCCAGTTTCTATCTCTAATAAATAATATTCTACAGCTCTAATCTATACTGACATTGAATCTAAGTAAAAGTTCGTGGCTTCTGGTAACGGACCACTCACCCTGCACTGAAGATTGAATATTGTACAGATCTGTGAGATATGAGTAAATGTGGACCCACCAGACTTACACTGATGTGTAGTGTACACAGTGGCACAAACTATGATGTAAACGTCCGTTTCATCCTCAACAACACGTGTTAAAGAGTTCACAGAAGTGAAACCAGTCACATTCCCCTGAATGCTCCGGTTAACGATCAAACTTTACAGATCATAAACCGTTTTTCACCAGTTCCCCTCACATTTAAATCATACTACATGGCCAAAGGTATGTGGACACCCAAACATTGTATCAATAGATCAATGCTGAACAACTTATTCCAAAACGTTAGCATTAATTTGCTGCTATAATCCGCCTCCACTCTACCAGGTTTTTGGACGCTGGCTTCCCATTCACAGATGTGGCCTAAAGTTCCTCCACATCAAACTGGGAAAACCATTTCTTTATGGACCTGGCTTTGTGCACGGCAGCATCGTCATGTTGAATCAGGAAAAGAACATTTTCTTGTTTAATTGATTAGTCATCTAATCCATGATATATCAGAAAATAGAAAAAAAGATTCTTGATCATGAGTTCTCTAAAGCGAATACTCAAATGTTTTGTTTTGTTCAATGAACATGGAAAAAACCCCCAAAGATATTCAGTTACTATCATACCCTACAACCAGTAGAAAACAGACAGCAAATAGACATTGAGCAGCTGGAACCAGTGAGCAGTTTTGCTTAAAAAATCATTTCAATATTTACTCGATTTCTGAAATACTTGCAGGTTAGGTTAACAATTAATCAACTAATTGTTTCCCTTTGTTGGAACTACGGGGTCGTAGTCAAACGCAGTCCCAGCGTGCGCCACAACTTGGGGAAAAACAGTTAAAAATATTTTGTTGATTTTGAATCTTTAATGACAATCAGAGCAGCAATAAGTGTTTTTAACTGATCTTACTGACTCTTCAAAAAGATCGCTGGGTATTTATTTTTTTATCCACAACAGATGCTTATTTCTGTATTTTGAATAAATGTTAAGTCCTGAAAAACAGCTCTACCAAAAAAACCCCACAGAAAACGTTAAGTGTGTACAGACTTTTGGCCATACAGTGCAAGTCAGAGAGAACCAGATGTTTGTCAGAACAACCTACGTAGCTAAATACAGTATATAACATGATCTTTCTGTTAATATTAGATAATATTAGATAAGATCACAGATCAGACCAGTAGGCGAAGTGTGCGTGGTTATAAGAGTCAGCGTTACAGTATTCTGTTAAAACTATGACAGGACTGTAAAAGAATAGACAATTCTGGGAAAAATATTCTATGGGATTAATGAGGACCAGAGCTCATGAATACAATGAATAAAAAACAGCTACAACTACTCGATGCTATATTAATGAAGGGCACAGATGGTTAACTATGGAGAAATGCTGCGGTGGACGCTGGGTGTTGTTGCGTCCGATCTGGACAAGTCAAACTTTATGTCATCGTCACAGAAACGACCCAAGCTTCATTAGGAGCTTCTACCTGCATGTCGAGGATGTAGACAAGTCCACACTCAGGAGAATTGAAGTGTGCCCTTCCAGACGTCACTGTGTAGCCCTTCACCATTCTCAATGGTCTGCCCACATTTGGTCTTCAAAAGTCTGATCAGTTTTTTTTTTTTTTTTTTTTCATGATTCTCATGTGTAAAAAAATATAACATCAACACACAAACAACAAAGTCCAGCTGGAAGTCAGTTTGATTAAAACTCCAGTTCAGGTCCGTAATAATTTGTTTTTGGTATGGAATGAAAAAAAGGGAGCGGGGGGGGTTTAAAGTCTGGAACAGAAGGATAAAGACTCAAGAATGTCAATAATACAGCTGCTGTTACCTGATTGTGCTTTTCTCACCTCCTGAGGAAATGTTGTGGGCACAGAGGATTAGTGATATAAATACTCTGCGTCTAATTAATCTCAACGGGCCCGGCTTGAGGCTCAGTGACATCCACGGAGGGAAGGACGAGAGGAGGGAGAATAAGAGCAGGAGCCAAAATGGCTGATCAGCAGTCTCGGGGAATGGAGAGCAGTTTAAGTGACCGGGTGAGTATTGCACGTCAGTTCATGTTCGGCGCAGGGGTCGCACATCTTTAAGTCACCTTTATTGGCTGAATGCTGCTTCAGAGGAGGGAGTAGCTGTTGGGAAAATATTGAAGAAAGAAGGCTGCCCCCCCCCCCTGCCTGGGATCTACTGCATGTGGGAACTGCACAAGAACAGATGACAGACTCAAATATTTTCTATAGAGCAGTGTGCGTACCTGCCGCACAGCCAAACTTCCCAGACTCTAGGGTCCTGAAAACTTAAAAAAAAAAAAACAAAACAAGGAAGATAAAGAGAATAGAAGTTCCCGAGTCCCTCCCTCCCTTCCCCCCTCCTTCCCTCCTCCTGGGGCCAGTTTCCACCAGTACAAACCAGCTGACGTCCCAGAGTCATTCCACACTGGTCACAGCTGGTGTTGGTCCAGAGGAATCTGGCGCTAGCCCAGCTGTATCTGTCCAGAGTAGGTGGTGAGGAGGAGCATGATGGAAAAGCCCGTCAGCAGGCCGGCGTTCTGGATGGCAAAGGTGAGGAGGAAGCTGCTGCCGCCCGCGTCCTCTTCCTCGCGACTCACCTCGTTCATCTCTGGGAACTGAAACACATAAAAACAGAGGAACTCTAGAACTGGATGTTGTTTCTCTGAAGTCCCTGCTGATGCTGTCTGTCCTGTTTTTGTATTTCTTTTTGTGTGAATAAGTCCAATAAAGATATTGAACAATCTCCCACAATTCTCCCACTAATTTAACACGTCAAAGTCAATTTCCGACTATGTGGAGCACTAAATCTTTATGATATGACATATTTTTTAACTGAAAGCCCGGGTTATGAAGTGAGCAGATGGCGTTTGAAAGACGTGGGCATTCACCAGGCAGAGCGGGTATAAAAGATGTCATCGAGTTTCCCCTCACTAGAAGTGGGGGATGCAGTGTTCTTGAAGCTTGACCCTCACTTTTAACTAAACGTCAGGGTACCTCAGCTTCTGTTGCAGCCCCTTTGGAACATCAGTTTGTTGATTTGTCTCTCATGAGTATCCCTGTTTCACTAATGTGCAACACTTAGTCGTTTGAGTGGATCTTTAAATTAACAATTAAATCTAATTACACACATTCACGCCTCGGGGCTTCCAACAGAGCAGTTTAACTGCAGCGGTGAGACGTATCATGTTGTATCAAAACACAACTTCTGGCCAAAACTGAGCAGGATACAGATAACAGCTTTTCTGCAGTACCTTTTAAAAAGCAGGTAATTACATGGTTACATTATTAAACTGTGTGCACTGTGTTCACCTTCTTAAACAGGTAACTCTTCCTTTATACTATATGTACGAGAAGACATGAATGTGGATGTACTGTATTAAGAAAAGAGAGCTCATCAAACCCTTCACAGACGGCTACAACTCCTTTTTGGGGAGTGGTTCTCACCAAACCCAGACGCTGTGACATCACCATGTCATATTTACAGCTAAGTTAAAATGTTTTCACTTTTAAGCGGCTTGCTAAAGGACAACTCAGCTGTAGCGAGTAAAGAGGATCAGAGATTTGTGTTTTTACTTTCTCCAACTAAAAACGACCCATTGCCAGTGCGGGTAACTGGCACGAGGCCTTGACAAGCTCTCATAGCCGTCTGCTGTATTAGGAGACAACCACACCCGTCTGATCTCACCCCCCCACCCCCCCCAAACACTGACCATGTCTGCCAGAGCGATGTAGAGGAACATTCCTCCAGCCAGGGCGAAGATCCAGTTGGGAGAGAAGCTGTTGCCAGCCAGGATGCCAAAGCCCATGCCCAGGTAACAGCAACAGGCCGACAGGAAGTTAAAGAACAGGGCCTGCTGTAAGCTCATGCCAGCGTTCAGCAGGATCACAAAGTCTCCTGGTGACAGAAAGAGAAGAAAATGTATCAAAGGTCTCAGCCAAGCACCGACTTTGCAATGAATTAACAAGAGATTTTTGAAAAATAAATAATGAAAAAGAAAAACTCCAAAGAGACTTTATAAATGCCTCACGGACATTTCAGGAGAGCCGCCCTTCCTCAGCATGTGCACAGGCAATTTCACAATCAATAGACAAAGGTGCAGTTAATTATAGATGTCTGGTTGGCACCACAGGTCTACGCCAGCAGGGGGAGCAGTTTTCATTTTATTGTGAGCTGAGCAAGTTGTATCATTCCCATGGAAATTAAATAAAAAATGACTCCTGAATTTGATTACTCACAGTCAATGGTCAAAAAGAAAATAAGAGCACTGACGTCAGCTGAAACCAATATTAGATAAAAAAACTATTAAAAAGGCAACAAAAGGTCAGTGACCGGCGTGACTCACCCAGCTCGTGGGGGAACTCCTCACACAGGATGGCCACGGAGGTGCTGATGCCCTGAAAGACGGAGGCGGTGAAGGAGGCGCCGATGGCCAAACCGTCGATAAAGTTGTGCAGGCCGTCACTTAGCGTGATCATCCACGCCAGTGTGCCGATGTCAGAGTAGGTCGTCCCCTTCAGCCAATAGCAGCCACCGCCGCTGCTTCCAGACCGCCCCCCGCTGTCTGGGCTCTGGGAGTCCTGGAGGAACAGAGTATGAAACACCCTTTAAAAAGGCAAATACATGCGGACGGAGCAGCAACATGCAAATACCACCCGCTCTTGAGCCCCTTCACGATACACATGCTGTCCGCACCTGAACTGCTTTGATTATGTCAAATGGTTCAGGTAACAATGTTTCAAATGTGCTGCACAAATTTTGGATCTTGCCCCTCTCCATCCTCTGCACCGCCCCTTAAATCCCACCTGTGGCGTCTGTGCAGGGCTGAGCATGAGCTCTCCCTCCCCTGCATCCACCTTGCCCAGAGCCAGACTGCTGGCTTCTCCGTTCTGCTGCAGCTTCTCCTTCTCGCCCTCCTCCAAATCCCTGTCTGGTGTCGAGTAACGATCTGCACCGGGGTAATGACTGTGGCCGTGGCTCTGAGACACAGTGAGAAAGCAGATAGAACAGACTTAGATGGAACCATTACTGCTGGAAATGTCCTTCCTGACAAAATAAATAACCTGAACTTTGGTGAATTTTAAAGCGAAGGAGCAGTGAGGAACTTATGTTCAAGTTGACTTAAAATTGGTCTAAACATAGCGTTTCCTCAGTACATCCTGATCTGCATTCGTCCCATTTGAATTGTACTTCTACTTCCTCTTGGGAGTTTCCTTTTAAATCATACACACCAGCTGTTTTTATTGCCTCTGTGAGGACTACAAAACAGCATCAAGGTCTGTACAGATATAATTTAACACAAATGCAACCAAATGGCCAAATTATCCACACACAAAGGCTTGTGATTTTGACCTATTCCCATAATACACAGACTTTCTTGCCCTGAACTGAGACTCTCAGACAACATTTACTCAAAGGTTCTTCAAACAAAAACTGAAAATATCTACAAAGCCCAGAAGATTCTGTGTGAATTTTTATCTAAGTTTGCAAAAACAGTGACTATAAGTACGACCCACATCTCCGGCAAAGTCACAGGTAAGGGCCAGTTGGTGTAAAACACTATTTGGTGTTTAAGTCAAGGACACTTCACCAGATCTTTGAGTGAACAGTTTCTACACCACAAAAATTATACCCGTCCCCTCAACATTTTTAAAATGGGTTGGTACCGACAGTCTTAGAGCTGTTAAGAGGCATTTCTTTTGCAGTGAAACGTGGAGGCTGACGGCATGGGTCAAAGAGCGTCTGTAATTGGATCAGCAGGTCGTTGTGTTAGCTGTTAATTAGGTTGGCTCAACCATATGGCTCAAAGCAGAGTAACCACAAGGTGGAGCAACTTTCCCACAGTCACCTGCCTACACCACCAACTGTGAATGCTTTTTGTGAATGAAATCAGCAGCACTGCAAGGCTGAATTAACACCTGCAGCTTCTAATTCCAATCAACATAGTTTTAGGATTTAATTAAGAAGGACATCTGCAAGTTGTATCTTCATGGAAGTGACTCACAGATCTGTGTTACAGTTGTTAAAATAAATAAAACCGTTAAATAACTGCCACATTCACTGCTGCTGGATTTATGCAAATAGGAAGGGGAGGCGCAGTCGGCAGGTGTCCAACAACCAAAAACACACATGCAACTCAAACAGATGACACCTTAGTGATGAATGATTGCTCAACACACAGGCATGAACCAGGATTAAAGTCCATCAGTGGAAGGAAGCCATGAATAAAATGACAAAAGAGCATCCTTCACAGACGCATGACTTCAATACAATTTTGTAGCACGTCACCAACTACGTGATCAGGTGGGTTACAGTTACGGTTGCAGGTAATGACTATTACTACTACCATGTTGAAAGCCTTTGTTCCAGGCTTACGGCAGAGGATGCACTTCTTGAGAAGGCTCAGATTTTATGGAGTAAATTGCAAACTTGTGTTTCTGTTTTATGAAACCCTGAGAGTGGAGGTCCAGTCTGCTGTAGTAACCTGGCGGCACAGTTGAAGTCTAAGCTCCCTCGTCTCATACAGACGGCCGTGAAGATCCCAAGGAGAAAAGAACATCACCATCTTCAGTCTTCATGAGAAGACTCTGAACAAATCTAACACACATCCTGAACCCAGAATCCCGGACACTGGCCTCAGGTCGACGGTTCAGGATGCCGAATTGTAGATTGAACAGGTACAATCATCCAGATATTAAATAATAAGAAGGGTTTAAATACATTGTATATCTGGGTTATTATTGAAACAACTGTTGTTTTTATTCTTCTATTTATATCTGGTTTTATTAGAAGAACTATTGTCTTCTATCACAATTTATTATTATACTTGGTCTTATTATTGTAAACACAGTTTTTACCACTCTGTCTCACATTCAGCATGAGATAATAAGAGCCCAAGACAATTCTCCCCTGTGGGACAATAACATATATCTTACTTTTCCTCACCTTCCTACTACAGAGGGGGTTTATGCAAAGTCTATGTAAACACCTGCGGGCTGTGGTGTGAACTTGAATCACAGGTGCACATCGCCCAAACGCAAAAAAACAAAAATATTTGACAATGAGTGCGGGCATGTCAGCACAGAGACTGTGCAACACCCTCATCAAACAAAAGAAACACATTATCATCATTACTCTCTGAAGGTGTAATTCAACGGTCAGATGCGTTTCTGATGCTCGTGTCAGTTACTAAAATGCAAACACCCTGTCCAGCTGGTTAAACCTGCCATTGATATACAGATAAAACGAGTGGGAGAAATTTAATCGTACGTCATGATGATGATGATGATGATGCCTGGAGCAAATACTGATCTGTGGAAAACACCTGCTTGCCCGGTGATGATGTAATGCTATGGTTTGTATTTTTAAGTTAAAGAAACATTAGAGAACAAATGAAGATGCAGGAAAAAAAACAAAACATTTTAATCATCTGCAATGTACACCGCAATACTGAATCTCCCGTTTAGCCTCAGTGGTTTTTGATTAAATCTCTTGTATTTTTGTTTTTAGCAGTTTACTGTTCGTCATTTTGATAACTGATTATGGCAGCTAGAACTGATTATGGCTGGCTGAATATTTTATTTTTACATCTGTAAAGAGTTTTGTCTGATGTAGATTTGATTAGGAGATTAACAAAAAAAAAAAAAAATCGACAACTAATGTGATATTCAATTAATTGTTTCACTCATTTTTCAAGCAGAAATGCCAAATATGTTCCAGGACATGATGCTCTTATGTCATATCTAACAGTAAACTGAATATCTTTGGGTTTAACACAGTTTACCTTGTGCTATGAGAATATTTAACAGGCATTTTTTTTTTTGTATTTTCTTACATTCTACAAACAAAATAATGAATCTATTTATTAAAATGTATTTTTGCATACATTTTCCTTATTGTAATATACAGTATGATATCAGAAAAGTATTTTTCTTAGCAAAAGCATGACAGTGGTTTCATCCATAGATATCAGCTCTAGAGGCTGAGCTTTTTCATCAGATCTTGTAAACACTTATATTCTTCGTCTCCTAGACAATCTCTCCAATTTACAGATTGAGGGGCAGCTTCTCCTCTGTTTTAGACTCCTGGTTTTATTCCCATCATACTGGGTTGTGTGTTTGTGCAGTGATGTTGGATACGAACCGTTTCAGCTGTAAATACCAACTCTGAGGCTCACAGTTTTTGTTGAGACTATGACACAGATGTTGATTCAGATCCTACGCACATCGGTTCTTTTTGTCTATCCCTGATGGTCGACTTCAACTTCAACAACTGTGGTTTGCAGACATCTGTGTTTGGCCTGTGTGGTTGTGATTATCAAGACATACAGTACAGTGCGAGAGGTTGAGGTGCCTTAGATTTTTATCCATCATGCAGTACCATCTGGGAGGCTTCTGATTGCTGGATGACAATGTTATTATTGTTAAAATGTTGTGCTTCACCAACTTTTTAGATCTGGAGCTGGTACTTGCTTCCTGCTCGAAAAACTTGTTTGTTAACACTTCGTAATGACAGATTTGGAAGTTGTTAAATATTTCCTAACCACCAAAAGAACAAAATAAAGGCAAATTTCACATGATTCTTGCCGTGTACTCACCCCGTGTCTCTGCTTGAGAAGCACTTTGAGGACCTTCTCAGTGAAGAAGAAGAGGTAAAAGCCTCCAAACACCACCGCAGACTTGGACACGTAGAAATCCACCATGGGGTCAAAACCAAAGGCCTACCACGCAGGACAGAAGACGGCGTTAGCTTGTCATAAATATTTATAGTAGCCTGACATCATTCACTGTGCATATTTTTGAAAGGAGGTGTTATTTAAAAAAAAAATGTCACAGCTAAGGAACATGATTTAGCAGGTTCTCAGAGTGAGCAATTAGTGTTTGTTAAAGTGTGTGTTTTGAAGTCTAAGGCTGTGTAGTCAGAGGTCTGGAGACAAGAGTGAAGTTTCCTTTCTGTCAGAGGGTGAATGAACATTTTGCTTTGCATTCGCCGTCAGGGTCAGACACTGACCGAGACCAAGTTTATCTCAACAGAAAAACTTCACGCTGCTGTTTTTGTAAGGTTTTGTCTTTTGTCCATCGTTTTATGAGTAAAGTAAACGACGACATCAACTCAAGGCGACATCCTTTTAGGAGACTGCAGCGATATTTCACAGCATCCTCAAATCTGAGAGACATGCTGAATTATGTATGTAATCGTCCCGCATCTAGAAGACACAAACACCCCATAAATCAAAATCACTTCACCTCCGAGGTATATACATTTTTTTTTTACTATTCATCCCAGGTGAATTGATGCTGTGAATTACACAACAGCTCTGAGCAACAGCTTTGAATCTGGCAATGACGGGTGTGCGCAGCGTCTAGACAGCGTTTAAAAACCTAAAGGACAACTGCTCATATTTGGGTTGACTTTGTACTTCAGTGTGTTTACATACACCTTAGCTTCCTTCAGTAAGCTGACTTAGTAAATTTCACACACATGAGAGAAGTGAATTGATTAATGAGGGTAAAAGAATATAAACTGTATTATATTCTGTTGTAGAAATTAGACTATAGCTTTTAAGAGTATACAGACTTTGGGTAAGCAAACTAAAAGTAGTCTGCAGCATCGTCCTGTTTATCATCAGTAGACATATAATACGCCAGCTTTGATGTAGGAGAGACAGCGTGTTACTGATTAGCTGGATGTTCCTTCACTTTCCTTCTAATAATCCGGTTTCTCATCTGCATGTCTAAAGAGGTCAAGACTTGTAGTAAACAGAAGAATTTTATTATTAGACCAGTGTGTTTTCAGATTGTCGCCTTCATCAGGGTCATAGGCAACGAGCCGAAACTAATAATACCAATAATGAAGTTGTGCCAGAAACCACTTCCCCCTTTCCCCCTTTCCTAACGGGTATTCTGTGATTTTGGTTAAAAAAAAATGTATATATATCATCTTTCTACACTGTGGGCGTTTTTGTGGCTGGTGAACTAAACATTTCCTCTCCCCAAACACACATACACACTGTGAGCTGCCTGTCACATGATTAATAGGTCCCTGGACCAGTAAAGACAGTTTCAGTTGTTGAGCAAATCTTCCTCAGTCCCTGCTGTCAATGTGTGAATGTGAATTATTACCCATTACCTATAACTGGGTACTAAGAGTTTATTCTCAAATGCACTTTTGTCTTTTGTAAATTCTAGATGTAAGAGATTATTTTACATCATATCATTAGTACAGGGAATTTTCCATCATTCAACTTTAATCAACCAACTTATTAGTTAAAGAAATCCTATGAGTGGAAGGACTGGGTGATATGATGATGAACAGATTTGTCCCTTTAATATTTCTGACTGTATGAAAACAGTCTTAGTGATGCTGCAAATCAAAGAGCATCAGCTTTATGTAATTCTTTTGCATCAATCTGATGATATAACTTAGTTCATGTATTTATCTCACTGATTCTGATTTGGTTATTTTATCTGTTGGCATTTTCTCAACTGAGTTCCAAGAATATTAGTATGTTTTGCTATTGTAATACAAATTTACACACAGTATACCATGAGTCAGCTACGAATGTATTATATTTTGTGAAGGAGAGCTCACAGCTGACATTGTTTTTTTGTTTTTTTTCCAAATTCTCATATATCTGAACAAATCTAATTTGATAAGTGAAGTGAGTAGAGTGGTTGATTTATGCTCTTCATCCACACTGAACACAGCCCTAATTTCCAGTGACAAGGATTGCTATGCATTTCAAAACTTATTTTTTTTAAACAAACAAACATCAATGTCATTAATTACAGGGGAGATTTTGCCCAGGGCTCAATTCAGTTTACGGCACTGGTGGCTGAGCAATGTGACTGTAAATATGTATTTATATCACAGTAGAGTGTGAGATGACTGAGGTACAACAATGACAAAAAATATGTAGCGACATAAGAATCCGGACAAGATAATCAAATACTATCGATGCTTTTCTGGAGTTTCCCCTGATATGTAAAAATCAATACTCAATGCTCTTTGTATAAACTGCATAGCAACCCTGCACGGAGGCACTGTGAAGGAGACGCAGCTAAGTAAGTCACAGCAGCATCGACTCTACCTCTGGGATGAGCTGAAACAGGGCGTTGGAGTAGAGAGTGCCAATGGCCAGGGCTATGAAGTAGAGAAGCAGTCGCTTGTAAAAGGTTTTCTTCATGAAGGGCACCACGCTCGCCCCGACCAGCGAACACAGAGAGATCAGTGTCACACACAGGATCCCATAACCCCACACTGATCGAATGGAGAGGAGGCACGGAAAAGAAGGGGGGGGAGGTGAGAAACAAAAAGCTAGTTAGTTCAGAAATGATTTTAATCAGATTAATTACCAAGGTGAGGAAAAAATTAGAGAACACCAACCAGTTATCCCCCTGAAAAGATGAAGGTGAATGAAATCAACCTGAGAAAAGAGATTTCAAAAGATACCTGCAAGTCTTTCCAGAGACAACAGGGTCATTTTCCATTGAGAGCAGATTAACAGGAGTGACACCACCTTCCATTTGCATGTGAAGATAATAATTAGCTGTCCTTTGAAACAGTGTGCGAACCCCATGCATTTCTTTTGATAAGAAACAGGATGCAATTAAATATCAAGAACAAAGACACAGACACACACACACACACACACACACAGACACTTTGTCCTAGTCCACAAAGGTGTATCTGTCCTACTGTCCTAGCCTCAGGGTAAACACTAGCTATGACTGCAGACACAAAAGGGAGCAAATGAACTTTAAATAGCCCGACAGTAGCAGAAGGAGCACGGAGGAAGAGGGGTCACATTTCAATTTGAAGGACATCTCAACAGTGCCACGCTCCTTCTCTCCAGGACTGTCTTACACAGACGGAAATGTATGAATCCCTGAGACTAAATTGAGTGAAACTGAGCTGAGTGAAACACAGTCATCAAGCCTGTGTAGCTGTTCTACTTGCTGCTGCGGTACAACAGAGAACTGAACTTTCCTTCCACGAAATTACCTCGTAGCTGGCCTAGATCTCAATGCAAGGTGCAGACACAGACACGAACATACAGAGCAGACACGCACACTAACACACTGCAAGATCACCTGTGACGCAGTAAGGGTAGAACAACACCACAAAGTGTTCCAGTGCTTATTAGAGCCCATGAAAACCAGAGAAGAACAAAGGCAGGAAGGAAGAGATAGCGCTTGGCCAAAGGTGCACGAGTTTTGTAAACAGCACTACAGTGAACTAAAGAGGTTTTAAACCTTGGTGTTTGTGTTTTTATTAAAAAACAAAAGGTTCGTGGGATGTGAAAAGATGTATGGATAAAAAAACATGTATGGATAGATGGCAAACCTCTGGCAGGAGCTGCAGGACGGCAGTTGAGTACAGCGTGCCGATAGCAAGAGCGATGAAAAAGATGAGTGCGTATTTCATATAGCGCGTCTTCATCAGCGGCATGATGACAACTCCAGTGAGGGAGAAGGCATTGATCACTGTCACACTCAGGAAAGAGAAGCCCCACACTGAGGGTTGGAGTGACGGGAAGGTTGGATGAAACAGATAGGAGTCACATTAAAACAAAATGCCATGCATAATGTGTTCATGATGCAGCTGTAACTGCAGCCTGAGCACTGCATCATAAAACATTTTTTCCCTTTCAGTACAAACATATTGGTGATCAAATATGTGCAGTGCTAAATTCTGATACCTAAAATCATCTTAAAAATCAAATGCTGCTCTCACAGCATTTTATCCGTATCAACTTTATTGAAATTTTAGCAAATAAAACAGTATTTAGTTGCACAAATTTACATGTGATTGACGTGATATTGGATGTTAGCTGTTGGTTTAAAAACATCCCAACCAAAGGTTTCGACCCTGCCAAAGGATTGAAAGATAAATCTAGAGGTTCACAAGATGATTAACTAAATAGGAAACATTTCTGCCACACAAATCAGGTCTAATTTTCTGACTTCTTTCTATTTTTCAATCTTGTGAAATATTCTGGCCTCTAAAAACTAAACATTTTGAGAAGGAAATTTAATTGTTTGGTTTGCTTTTAAGGGTCACAAGTCAAAACAGTTGAGAACAACTGCCTTAATCGACTCATGCAGTAACAAGATAAGACTAGGAGACATTACATAAAAGATTTTTGTGCCATTTTTGTCAGAAGCTGCACCACCTGTGTCAGAATGAAAGTAAGGTTAAGTTATGAGTTGTTGATAATTTCTGTGGTGCGAGATCATCTCTTTATGCTGAGAAAGGGGAAAAAAAATAGGTCATAAGGGTGAGTAGTGATGGCAGATGTGGGTGCAACTCAAGTCAAGGCAACAGAAAGAAGAAGTGAACAAACAACACTCTACAGATTGTGATAACATTAAGACTTGGCAAATAACATTATAAAATATATATCAAAAAATTGTAACTCAATTGTAATACAATCACAAATGAACCCTTGACTCTTAGCGACAGATGCAGTGTCGAAAGATTGGGCACCAAGTCGTGAAATGAGGTTCTTTCTTTTGGCCTGTGCCCAGACAACTAAAATCTCTGTTAATCCTTATTTAACACCAGAAAATTACTAATTTGGGTTCAGATGATCAGGCAAAGCAGATGTATAGAGCTGTGTATCATCTGCGTAGCAGTGAAACCACATTCATGTTTGCAAATGAAATAACCTCATGACAAACAGAAAAGATTGAGCCCCAGGACTAATCCTTGGGGCACACCACAAGAAATATTTACTCTCTGAACATAATACAAGTAGTCTCAAAGTTGGTAAAACCAGTGGCCACTGGAAATCAGCCAGCCTGCAGGGAAATGTTGAAACTGTATTATAGTTCTGCTGATAAGCAGTCAAAGACCACCTTTAAAAGCTGCCAGGCATCAGGCCAATGGCACAAGACTTGAGAGAAGACACAACTAAATCATCATCAATGACAAAATTTGCTGGTTGTAGGAGAGACAGGTTTGACTTCAACATGATCATATATTTGATCTAATACGTTATTTTATCTCTGTAAAAAGCGGCAACAGTGTTACATTTAGATAGCGAGAAAAGGTCAGGATATATAAGTCAGTGAGATCTGCAGTAGGGATGAATTTCCAGCGCATCTGCCTCCCTGCTGCTGGCACATCTCCACAGCCTAGGCAAAGAAAAACAGCTCTCAAGCCAAAATAAGCTGCCTACAGGGGCGAGTATGAGGCGAGCTAAGGGCATATGAGTGGATGATAGGGGAAAACAAATTTGTCAAAAAGATAGAGTCAGAGCTCTGGGCCAGTAAACCATTTCTCCTCCACCTGCCAAGGATAAGATAAACTGGGTGAAAAGTAAGAGGTGAAATTGGTGAGCTGGCTTAGCAAGGCCACAGCGCGTCATTAGTTTAAAAAGAAGATGAAGACTGATGCCCACAGACATCACATACATAATAAAAGCTGTTATCTTTCTCCTTGTAGAAACTGAAGCTGTGCTGCTTTTGGATGTCAGTGGCGCTGCAGCCTTGAGGGCAGAAGATCACTTAAGGTCACCAACTTTTCCCAAGTCTGTCATTAACTACCTTTTTCTATTCCTGCCACATAGTCCAAAGCCAATTTCCATTAAAATGGAACTCAAAGGCTTGTTAAACAACAGCCTAAACTGCACTGCACATTTCCAAAGCTTTAGATTCAATGCAGATGCCAAAACAGCTTCCAGGGATCTCAAGGACGTCCCACTGGGTGTGTGCAGTCAGCAGTCTGTATGGAGTTACAGTGGGTCAGCAGCCAAGGAAAGAGGAGCAGTTTGTAGCCGAGATGCTTTCCAGTCCGTACTGTCTTTACCTGGATGAGATCTCTGCTGCAGACTGGTTATGCTGACTGAGGCAGGATTGTGGAGTCTAAAGGATGTGTTGCTTTTTAAGCCAAACTGAGAAATGCAATCTCAGCCTTGGCTAAGCCTTGTGCATGCTTATTTTGGCTTTGATCTCCTTTGGGGACATCATGATATCACTATCTCTAGGCAACAAAACACACATTTGGAGCTCAGATATGATGAAGAAACCTGTTCTCAAGGTCTCTAAGTTTTCATTCATCTGTAAAAACAGAGCGCAGGGAAAACCTAAATGGAGCCACAAAATGTCCTCACTGTAACAGGAGTAAAATAAAAGTTTATCCCACATACTGCAAATATACAGACAGATAAAGAAGCTGCAATAAGACATCTCAAGCAAGTTCGATCAACAGACAAAACAGATCCCGCCGCAAAATGTAAAAACGTTCAACATTCACGCACCATCATATATTAACATCTGAATTTAAAATGTGAGAAATACCTTCTGTGTTAATAAGACATTGACATAGCTAAAGAAATTATATTAACCATGTGTAACAAGTCAGTCCTCACCTTCAGCGTCTGAGGGCCTGGGGGAGGGGTCACTGTTCAGTGTCTCGTCTTTTTGCCCCCTGCAGGTGCCGGCGTCCAACTGCTGCAGCATGGTGGGGCAAAGCTCCTGGAGACCCTGGCCATCCAGGTGTGACTGCTCGCTAATGCTGTAAATAGCCAACGTGTCTGCAGGCAAGCACTGGAAGTGAAAACATACCCACCTGTCAGTTGGCGAAAAGAAGTTTGAACTTCCGTAAAAACAGCTGAATTACCCATGATGCGTTCAGTGACAGGTCAGGTGACTTTCAGTTTTAACAGTGACAAAGATCCAGACTTAATAAGCAGCACGCACAATACAGACACTATTAGAAACAACAAGATGGAATGATTCATTGATTAAGTGATTTGTTGACAGACAGAAAATTGTATCAGAAGATGTTTAGAGAAAAACTTAATTCTTAATTAAGTCATTGTTCAAGCAAAAGTACCAAGTATTCTCTAGTTCCTGTTTCTCAAATGTGAGGATTTGCTGCATTTCTCTGTTTTATATATTGTCAGTTGAATGTCTTTTGGTTTTTGGATTGTTGGTTGGAAAAAATAAGACATATGAACACATGACCTTGGGCTTGAGTAAATTGTGACGGCGACATTTTGACTGTTTTCTATGTCAAATTCACAAGCTCCACAACCAAATACAGAATCGTGCTGTAAGTAGCGTAGACGATGACCGAAGTGTTTCCAGGGAACAACTAAAAATTGATGAACCCGGCTGGGGGTTTCTAATTGTTGGGGGTTTGCCATCAGATTGCTTGCGATTTAAAAAACAATACTAAAAAGAGAATTTAAGAGTATAAAAGGTTTACGAACAATGTAAAACTGGACAAATACAGATGCCCCACAGTCATTAAAATGCCAACACATGAAAAAAAAATAACATCATATCTCAGGAATCAAAATCTCAAAAAAAAAAAGGGTCACATTCAGAGAAACTGTGTCTATGGTAAATATGTCATTCCTGTATTATTACACAGAAGCCAGTTTGAATTTCATTTCCTGGGGACAAAAAGTGAATCTGACTCAAACAGAAGTGGAGCTTCTGACAGTGACTCACTTACATAATTACAGCTGATTCATCACTTTCCAAAATGTTAACAATAATTCAAGCCTATCATAACAGAAGGAAACATATTCAACATGCCATTCATTGATGTGTGAACTGTTCTCTCCACTGTGGCAGCCATGAATACGACACATTTGGTGAAAGGTGTTTAACAGCATGCAGGTGACACACGTGACTGAATATCTGTGCTTCACTAATGAGGGACAGCAGTGATGGCTGTTGGCCAAGAGCTGCACTTTTACTACTGCTCTCCAAGTCACACACCCACACAAAGACAGACATTTCCTGTTTCTATTGTTGTATTCATACAAAACAAATAAATACAGAATCCCTCCTGAAAGTTATCTAATCCAACATCTAAACTACATGTGACCCTAAACCTCTGTTCTAATCAATTTCTCAGAAGTGTTTATTACTTTCCCACAATCGCTCAGGGTAAAAGAAAAAAGCAGATCAGCAGGTGAGTCAACCATACATGACACTAAGTATGGGAAATATGTTAAATATGTCAGCTATCTGGCACCGGTGGCTCCTGCTTCTTCCAGATAGGACTAAAGCTGGATTTACCCTTCTGCTTCAGGGTGTTTCAGAGGCTCTGGGGCTCTGCCGGAGGTGTTACCCCCAAAAAAAACCAACATGTGAATACCGAATGTGAATACCCATTGGGACTAAAGAGTTAAGATAAGATAAGATATTCCTTTATTAGTCCCACACTGGGGAAATCTGCAGTGTCACAGCAGCAAAGTGGACGGTACAAGAAAGTAATACTGCAAAATGCCAGTAAGAAATATTTAGATAGCAGCATATGAGGTATATTGCACGGATGGTGTATGCTACTTGAACCACTCTAACGCTGGTGGAGATGGTGACTGTGACGAGAACATGGCGCAAACTGAAGAAATCATTCTCCATGTTAGTTAAGATTCTGTTCAGGTCAGTCCTGCCTAATGTCTTTAGCCACACCTGCCGAACAGAGGTTTGGAGTCAAATAGGACCCCACTTGTCTGGGATCAACGTAGTGTGACAGGTGTGCTTGTTTTCTTTGGTTTGGCTATGTTTGGTTTGTCCATTGTCATTACAATACCACTTATCAGTACTTACAGTTCTCATGAATCCATGACTCAGCAACTCACTGACTGCAGCTGAACCATGCCAACAGAATCAGACCCTCCCCAGAACCAATTACACTCAATACAGTTTAGACCTGCCCAGACACTCTTGATGAAACCAGCTCAGCAGCTGCTGGAGGTCAAAGTCAGGAGCAGTTATAAAAAAAGGAGGCAATAAAAGTAACCTATAAACAAAATTTTAAAACCGCAACTCCAGATTGATTTATGAAGCTGTTTCAGTGCACTCTGGATTCAGATGTGAGAGAGATGTGACAACACAGAAATTATGCTTACATTGAAATTATATGGATTTGTTGTCACAGCCATCCCCATTTCTATCCATTCTTGTCACTGTTGGTACAGTGTGTTCAATGTACAGTATGTTCAAAAAAATGTTTAATTGACACTTGTAGGCAGGTTGCTCCATGTGCATAGATTTTATTAGCAGCCACAACAGAGCAACCTATCAGCTCAAAGCGCTAACACAAGGTAAGATGACGTTTTTCTTCTCACCTTGGACCTGTTGGATTTGGGAGGTGTGCTTGTAGGTGTCTCAGCCACATTGCTGCTGTCGTTTTCACCTTCACCCTGGCCCTGGCTGAGGAGGGCCAGCAGAGACCGCAGCTGGGGCACTGTGATGGTGCTGTTGTCGCCATAGCGGGCCAGCAGGTCCTGGAGCACCTGGGCAGGAGACTGGGTCTGGCTCTCCCCCTGAACTGTCACCAAGCCCAAGGGGCAGAACAGCAGAGCCAGGGCCAGGATGAACATCAGCTGTGACTGGAGGACGGTGATGGTGGTCCTGGTACGGCCATGAGGAGACCAGATAAGCATTGTTTCTTCACTGGCTGAAGGACGTTGATCTGCGGAGGGAGGAGGCGGCATGAACAAAAAGAAATAAAAAGACTCTATAACCTTTGACAGATAACCTCTATTCTATAAACGCTGCACTTTGCAATATTGCTCACTGTTGGCTCCCATCAGTAGGCAGATTTAATTGTTGTTGTAAACCAACTTAAAGTGCGTGACAAGGAGGGGACCCAAGCCAAGTTCAAGTGCCAATGAATGTTTTATTTTAAATAAGTAAACTTAAGGCTCCCTGAAAATCTGTGCTGACTGCAGAGAGAGAATAGGTGAGGGCCTTGCATAACATTAGTTTAATTTCAAATTATGTCAAGTTATCTGGGCTCAGCATCACCAAGAAATGCAGTAACGTACCGACAAAGGCAGGAAAGAAGAAGACTGCTTGCAAGCTAAAACGTATGTTAACTATATAGGTTATAAAGTCCTCTCAAAGTCAGCTCTGTGAAGCTTTTATGGAGGAAAGAAATACATTGAAAAGATTAAGCCTCAATGATACACACAATGCATTTAGGTGAGACGCACTGAATGTAGGCATAACTTTTTTCCCCAGAAATAAAATGGGTTTAAACCCATCTCAACACATACAACTTGATAACAGCATTACATAAATAAAAAACAAGGAAAATATTAATACAGTTATTACTTGAATTAGGGAAATCTGATCAAATAATGAATAAGTATTTGGTGCCAACGTCTGGTTCTGAATACTGTTCTGAATACTCTGTGCTGTGGGTTGGTGTCTTGCCCTAGTGGGGACTGAATTTGTTTTACATGGTGCAGCTTTAGGTATGTGAAAGTCCAACTGTTTAGTAGATAACAGCAAATTAAGCACCTAACACACCAGTGTAATAAACCTGCAAAGGAATACAGAAACACTTTTAAACGCAAACCAGACATGCACTCATTAAATCGACCATCAATAATCAGTACAGATACTGTTTTAAAGTGACACCAGCTTCATTTTTTCTCCCCAATTTTACACAGGAATTACAGAAATTCATATTTTAAAATCAGTGGGAGGGAAAATATTATTCAAGCATTTCAACTACATAAAATCATAGGGCGTTGATTTTTTGCGTCCCTGACACAAACTTTCATGAACACACACACACACAAATACCACACACAGGACAAACTGTAATTTTCCCATCCCCCTGCTCCAACACATAGAGCGCCGATTCATCTCAGTACAACCAGCAGCTTCACATGCCACGTTGAGGTGAATAAACACACCCATTCATTTTTGTAAAGAAACATTTTTCCTACCGAGCCTACGACGATAGCTGGCGCATAAAGTGCCTGAGTCAGTCTGTCTGCCCTGAGGCTCGCTTGAGCTCTGCTCTGAGTGATGCCCACAGGTTACCTGAGAGCAGCGATGGAGTTGGGGGAGTAGAGAGCGGAGAAGAAGAAATGCCTGACGAGAGCGGCGGGCTCCTCAGGAGTGCAGTGGACTGTGGAGGAGAGAGAGACAGAGAAAAACCAAGGTTACGGAAATGGGGAAGGATGGAGGAAAAGGAAAGAAGCAGTGAAGAAGAAAAGAAGCCTGAAATGGCTTTCTTAAAATTTTAATTTGACACTCAGGGCACAAAATCCAGCCCCGAACCCAAACCCACATCATTCATTTTCTAAAACTGCAATGACAATTCCCTCTTGATTCCCATTTGGATACACAAAGAGGGGGCCACTCTGTTGGCTGCCAGTGGCATCGCACAGGGAAATACTGCAGCTGCAAACATCCAATTCAGCTGCTGTAGAGGAAAACAAAACACTGCCAGCCGATATGATCCCGTTTCACTCCCTGAAGGCTAAGAAACCAACTCGTGACCAGAAAACTTCATGCTTAAAAAAAAAACAAAAAAAAAAACACCACAGGCCACGAGAGCCAAAATAACAAGATACAGAACTCCCCCCTCCACCGCTGAGATGTCCTTGAGCAAGGCACTACGCTCCAGCTGCTCAGTGGCCGACAATGCAAATCTGTGTCTGTGCCGGGCAGATAAACTACAACCTACTTCTAATTTGTGTTCAGACACCAACCTTCCTCCATCTGTCTCTGCCTACGCCTCTGAGCCGAGGAGGCGAAGACTTTCCTCTTCAATAAGTCACCCTCTCCCCAACAAATTTGTTCCCTCTGCCCCAAATCTTCCTCCTCTACTTGCTCTAATGAGACCTCATTCTAAAGCACAGGGAACAGAGGTGAAAACAAGTTACAGAAAATAAGGAAAAAAAAACCCTCATAAGCTTCTTTAGCTCCTTTTTTCAATTATTTCTTTCTCCGATACTTCACCTCTTACACAATCCTTCTAAAAGCTGCAGGAGCTCTGAACCTTGGCCTCCTTCCTGCTATTGTTAGTGAAACACAGGCTGATATTAGAGGTGGGTAATGATGCTTTAAATGATTGGTTGATTGGGAATATAGAGAGAAGATGTAAATCACTATGATCTCAGAGTAGGTAGAGTCATATCAGCCAAGCCTACTGGATCAGATCATTAATCGTCAACCGTTTTCATTTATCAAGCAAAAAATGACAAACATTTGCTGCTTCCAGCTCTACAAATATGATGATTTACTACTATTTTATGTTTTAGACGACATCAACTTGGGCTCTAAGAAATGTTCACTGTTTTCAGACTTTTTAAAAGACTTAATTAATTGTTCAATCAAATAAATAACTCAGATTAATCTGTAATGAAAATTATTGTAATAATGTAAAATTATTGTGCTCAGTGTCAGAATATGCTTTAACACAACCACAAATATTAAAAGGATTATTAATGTTTAATTAATCGAGGAAGCTGATAACCCAAACCTAATGCTAATGGAAGATCTTTGGAAGTGATGATGGCATGGTCTAGTATTTTGTCTGGCTGATTTTATATTGTTTTTTATGCTACGGCCTTGACCAGGCGTCTTCATATTGATGGGACTTACATGGTCAGATAATGGGTTAAATAAAAAGATAAATATAAAGCTATCATCTCAAGAGTAGGTAGAGTCATTTCAGGAAAAGCCTACTTGTAGCTTCTCGTAGTGTCGCTGTTACACTGGTCAAGAGTTTCACAAGTGGATGAACGCACAACAATAAGCCCTGCTCTGCTCGTTTCCCTGCAACACGCAGGAAAGCTGCCAGAGAAACAGTGATATCTCTCTCTCTCTCTCTCTCTCTCTCTCCTCTTCCACATTTATTTTTCATAAGACAGAGAGGAGACACAACGAGTGTGAGAAAATATTTGGGGTGACAAGAGGAAGCAGCACATAAGCCCTGGATAAACACGCACCTTTGTAATTTGTTTACAACTATGTTGCCATCTAACACATGGCCCCACACACACACACACACACACACACACACACACACACACACACACACACACACACACACACACCTCAAAAATCCATTATCGGCCTATTCCAAGTACATAGCAATACAACAAGTGAATAAGAATAGCAGTTACATTGCTGTCTGTCATCGTGCTTTTGTGGCTGTGATAATAACTTGGTATGGATACTAAATATACACATGCACTTGTGCTGCTAAACAAGTCCTTTTTTTGCTCTGCAGAGTATATAGAGCCAAACACATGAAACACAATAAACACTGATGGAGCCTTCACTGGCAGACCTTTGCCTCGGCCTCCATGCAGCTACAGTCCAATCAAAACAAAAGGAGAAACTGCTTTTAAATGTCAGCATGTCAGGTTAAACCAATGTACGTGCACACTCAGACACACACACACACACACACACAATCAACATGTCCGTTTTTGTGATGTGCATGTGTGCCTTTAGAGTCCAAGGCCTATTTTCAGCTGTGGAGATAAAGGGTGCTGAGAAGAGACGGGCAGTCTGCTGCAGACATGTTAGTCCTTCAGCACGACAGCGAAGGCCTCTGCCATGACGTTAAATATGAGGTTTACAAGGGAGCTGGCAGCAGGGGAGAAAGGAGGGAAGAGCAGGACGGGAAAATGTTTAGTCACAGTCTGCTGGATTCCAATCCCAAAGGCATGCAGCAGCTCCTCCTCTGCCCATCCTTTCACATCCTTCTCCATTCTTAGAAAGTCACCAGTTTGCCCTGCTTTGTCTATTATTTCCTTCTTCTATGATAAAGAAACCTACAAACAAATTGGCCCCAAACAGATGACGGGCAGTCGAGCCACAAGCAAACAAGTAAATATCTATCACCAAAGTCACCGGGAAATCTGAGCACCGGGAGTGAGTAACTACCTTGATATCTTGCAGCTCCAACACCCATGTGTAAACACAGCTCTGTGAGAAATTTCCCTTGTCATCATCAACTTCACCAGCTGACGGAGCAGAAATAAAATCTTTGACTGGTCACAAGTCTACAAAGAATGCAGGCTGAAGCATTATCAACAGGACACACTGCCAATTCAAACACCACCAGGTTGTGAACGCCACTCGGAACAATATCTGAACGCAGGATCACACGAGGGGTCGCTCACGTGTTCAGCCAGGATTTATGAATCCAAACAAAGCGTGACCACTCCAAACCCACACCCTTTTAATAAAGTAGTGAATAATTCAGCACAATGGTGAGCTAAACAACACCCTCAAAAGTTTCACTGTCAGCATGAAAAAGTGCTTTTATTAGTGCTGTTAATCAGCCCTCCACAGTTCTGTAGAAGGAACAACAAACTCATTCAAGGCTGATAAAACTGCTGATGGAAAATCTTTAGTTGCATTTGTCACTCTAAAATAAACTTGCATCATACTTTCAACTGGTGGGAAATAACCGAACATTTATTTGACTCTTCTAGTCTAGATCACTCTAGGTGTCTCTTTGTTGACAATCAATCACGGCTTATAGGCTCCCCCAAAAACCTACTCTCAGTCTTAACACACTTTGGACTCTCAAAAAGAAGCCAACCTCATTTACTTTCTACTTTGCATAAACTAAAATAGCTGCGTATGTAAAGATTCTCAGGCTGATACATATAAATCATTAATGTGCTGTGTTGGAGGACAGGTGAAAGGTATCCAGTGATTTCATGGACAGGTCTATAGAGCATCTCACCTCACAGTTTTTTTTTTACTTCTGGTATAGGAACTTAATTTAACTCTCCATCCTTAGAAGTCTTAAAAGTCAATGTTTGAAAATGGAGTCAAACTACACCTGGATGAAAAGAAGTGCACAGAGCTGCATTGTAATACCATGTAGTGTATCAATATATCATATATTTTGTTTACCTGACTAAGATTTTAAAAGTACACAAAAACTTACTCAAAATACAGAGTACTACCTTGAGTGCTGTGATCTTGTGAATGTGTGAATTAATAAAGAGGAAAGTATAACTGAGTTTATATTTAATTGTATTTGATTTTATGTATATTCTGGCTACTTAATAATCCCACTTTGACTGGTGCAAGACAAATAAAGAGATTATCAGATAAACACAAATTTTCCTATGAGGGACAAGATTTGCAGTCGAACAGGATAATGCATGAAAAATTACTCAGAACAGCAAAGCATTTCGAATCTCAACGATATAGAATTTTGACTTGTGCAATGATAATACTGCAACTGATTTATTAATTAATCATTAGGTTATTAAAATACCAGAAAAAAGGGAAAATGGCTCCCAGAAAAAACAATTCAGTGCACTATAAAGACAAGGCAGAGTAGCAGCTAATTCTTTTAGCTCTATTTAATGATGATTATGAGAGGTCTGATCCCAACTCAACAGGAAGTGGTCGACTACGTCACTGCAGCATGGTCACCTACACACACTCTAAACAAAGCAAGTATATCTGTTTCAGATTCAGACAATTCTCCTTAAACTTCCTGTCAGCTTTTCTTGGTTCTGTTTCTCTTGCTAATTCTAAAGCATAAAGCATCCCGTACCTTTTATGACCGGAGACACAGAAACAGCAACTTCTCCTCGCTAGATCCTTCTTAATTCAAAGCAGCTTGTCCCTCAAAGCAGATTCTGGTTTGTCCTCTCATATCCCCACACTCACACTGTCTCATCCCGGGTCACTTTATATACCTCTGAGGCAAGGGGCAGGTTAAGGTGTGCATTGACTCATCATCCTTCACCCAAGGCCCCTAATTGCTGTTTTACTCAGCCCTCAGGGCTGATATCATCAACGAAGACTGTCATTAGATGGGAGAGTGATGGCTGTGGGTATGATGTTGGTTCACCGAACACATTGTCAATGTGCTTCACTCATCCTGAGTGTACAACAAAGGAGCAGTAACCATAAAATTAAAGGGTTTCAGACATGACTTGGTCTTTGTCGACCCCTCACTTTTACCCACAGGCCAACTTAGAGGTCTCAGAGATCCAGAAGTAGAGAGCCACAGAGCATATGTACTGAAGTAAGTACCATATCTAAACATGACTTCGAAGTGCTCATTAATATTTCTTTCCATTTTAAGAGACGAATATAGGCACTTGACAAGCTAAATAAATTTAACAGCTGCAGAATAAACATATGATAAGCTCTGGAAATATAAACAAGCCAAGGCAACAGTCATATGTGGAGAGGTTGAAACACTCACAAAAATTTAAATACTATACCCCTGAAAATTATATTTTTTATGTTTGGCTGCATGAGCAACGCATTTCTAAGGGTTCACACATATTTAAGCCGGTGGATTTCCACAGCTTTTCCATAGACTTCTCCATGAAAAGCAAGAATAATGTGGCGTCAAATTTAACCATGATAATTCCAAATTCCATTTTTTTTCTTGCATTACAGAAGGTAGTGACAGGCACACTGACAGAAAACTAAAAGAGGCTCTAATGAGGCAAAACGTACATTTATTTCATCTGTAAAAAGTGACACAGTGAAAAAACATGGACTTCACGGTCCTTTGACCATCGTGTAGGTCAGTTGTCAGCACAAGTGGTCCTTTTATGTCCGTCAGTATGTACAGGTAGTTTTATACCGGTGGTATAAAGTATAAGATACCCATCAGAAATGTACTGGTAGAGAAGTATAAAGACGCATAAGATGGATGTATTCAAGTAAAGTACAAGTACCTCAAAATTATACTTATGTACACTCATCTTACTGTGTGTACTTCACTGGAACTGGATAGGTTGAGTCATTCAGGGTGATTGTGGCAGCCTTACAGCGCTATGGCTGAGATTTCTCATTGACAATGTTGCTCAATTTTCTATCTACCGGTTGGACGCACATGTTTTAGCGCACATGCTCTGAAAAAGATACAAAAATGACAGTAAAGATTGAACGGACAAGTCTCAACATTTAGTCTGATTTGATTTAGCTGCTTTATGTTAGCTTCTATAGCAAGTCCTTGTTTCAGTTCGTAGTTAAAAAGGTAAGATGAAGCGAAGTCCTCCAATGTGTACATTATTATCTTAAAGGTTAAATATGAGCCGGTTTCAATGGTTAGATAACGTGTACAGGGACACACAGAATAGCTTCTTGTTAGCCGTGTGACAGTTAGCTTACCCGGTGATGCTGTTGGGGGCAGAAAAGCAGCCTCGGCGTCGACTCCTCTCAACAAACAGCGTCCCTCAGTTTCTCACAGACAGAAAATCTCAGGATGTGGGCAGCGGCAGAATGTCTCTGGTATGTTCATTCATTCACAGAAGGACGGGAGAAGATTTTTTTTTTTACCATCTGTCGTCCCCCCCCATTCAGATTCAGGCGAGCCACAACACAGCAGCGCCGTGGAGGCTGTGGTCAAGTCGTCGGCAGTTGTGACGTCTACAGCTCGGTGACTCGGGTTTTTAGAGTGGCGGTGTCTCCCTCAGGCGGCCAACAGTGGGTACTGCAAAACTACGCACCACAACGTTCTGTGACATATATAATCAGACTATCTGTATGTCTGTTTTAAGGGTCGGCGCATGAAGTATAATTCTTCAGTTGTTATTGTCCCATTGAATGAAGGGTGAAATTCAATTCAGCGCACCAAGCTTGTACAATAAAAATTGAGCAAAAAAAAATGAAGAGATGACATAAGGTATGGTGCTCCATTCCTCCAGTGGAGTACCAGAGACTTTTAGAACCAAGGCCAAGGAAGATTTAAGCTGGCCTGACCAGTGGCGCTTCTAGCTTGTATGGTTAAAAAAAAATTATATTCCACAAATAGATTTACACACTTAAGGGAACTTAATTATTACACTATTGCACACTTCAAATAAGACACACAAATTTTAAATTGCACCGGTGTGTGAAACTACAGGTCTGTACTCACATTATTCACATTATGGTTTATTTGGTAGTTCTTCCTGCTGTGACTGATTTTGCTAATTGCATTAGTACTCTGCAGTGATAGAGGTGGCTATTTGATATATTACCCCACTCCAAAGGGGAGAAATATGTCGGCAACTCGTTTTCCCTCGACAAGTAAGTCAGACTGACATGAGATCCTATTGTATCATAGGAGGAGACATAACCATAGAGGTGACATAACATATGTCTTTGCATAACATGTGACTGCATTATTCTAAAGACAGGGCTCGTCCGGGATTTGAACCCGGGACCTCTCGCACCCTAAGCGAGAATCATACCCCTAGACCAACGAGCCTCCCCAGTTAATACATTTATGGCATTAAAGATCTCAACTTTTATAACCATTACTATTAAGTGGGGAGCATCAGTAAGGCTTCAGTTCAGTAGGAGACCTATTGTGAATAATTCCCAAAAAGTTTGTTCTCCCATTAATCATCTTACGACTCTCAGTTTTATATTGTACTTCTTGTAGATACTAGTTTTTCTGAAGTACACTTTTGAATGCCGAACATTTTCTTTTCATCGACTTTTTCTAAAATGCTGTAATGGTATTTTTACATTAATTTTTTTGGGTTACGGTTTTGAATACCTCCTCCATCACTCTTACACATATTTTTCTAACTATAATTTTTCAGAGTCCTGAGATTTTTGTGTTATATTCATTTACTTGTTTATTCATTCACTTATGTATTCGTACTAACATTTACAGTTTAGACACGTACACAACCAGAACCCAATCATTCATCGAATGCATGAGGGATTCAACTTTTCATACACATTTACATATACCTCATTACATTTGTGAACCCATCAATTTTGTCATAAACGTGTAACTTTAAGTGTTACAAGACAATTGATAATTCCGTTTAAACTCGTCTTTTCTGCAGTGGGCTTCAACTAAACGACGGGCTCGTCCGGGATTTGAACCCGGGACCTCTCGCACCCAAAGCGAGAATCATACCCCTAGACCAACGAGCCATATAAACTTATAAAAGCTTAGACATATATCGCAATTTGTCTGAGAAAAAAGGTCCTGGAAGCAGACGCTGATTCATTAGAGTACAAAAGAAACGGAATATATTACCTGAACCTCTGTGTGTGTGTGTGTGTGTGTGTGTGTGTGTGTGTGTGTGTGTGTGTGTGTGGTGTGTGTGTGGTGTGTGTGTTTTGATTTTTTGTAAAACTTAATCGATCACACATCATATCGATATCATCTGGGGCGTGACTCGTTAGGCGGAAGTTGTTGTGACTGCGGAAGTGAAGAGATCAGTACGGACGCTGGACTGAGACGATACGGTTCGGGACTTTACTGTGCTCTGGTTTCGGTCTGGTCTGTATGTAGACCTCTGTCAGCTGACCGGTTTACAGCTCGATCGGGTAAGAATGAACAATAAGTTCCTCGGTGGTCGCTATAGCTACTTCACCGTTTTAAACTCATAGCCTGGCTTTGCTAAGTTAGCCGAGTTAGCACAGCTAACGCGGAGTAGTACACAAACAGTGAGGGGTTTAAGAGGACACCAGGAGCCTGAAATATACATTTATCTTTATCATTTCCCCCAGAGCACATCAGTGGACAGGGAGGTTTCCAAATGAGGTTAATACACGCTGTGTCACTCAACATTTGAGCTGAAAAGGGCCCACAGTTTGGCATTTTGTCTGTCACCACTGGAGTGACAGTTAGCCGAAGGTTCGTTGGTTTTTAAGGCAACTCTGACTCCACATATTGTATTTTACCCTTATCTATCAGCTTATATTGGTAATACGTGTAAATATAAATATACATACAATAGCTTCCAATTCGGCAGTAAGTTTTCCCAACCACAGCACGTCAGATCAGGTCCAGCTCAAAGACTTCTCTTCTCACACTTGTCAAATTTGGTCCAGCATCACCAAGAATCAAAAGGCAGTTTAAGATTTGTCAAACCCTTTTTTTCTATTAGTGAAAACACGAGATATTTCACCGCCTTACTTACAATCCAGACAACATCACTATACCTAGACTTGTAAATAAATAAGTTTTAAACGGCCTTCAGCTTCTCTGGGTTAATCTAGTCCTGATTTGACAAATCCAGGTGGTTGACCTGGTATGATGTCTTGTGGATTGGAAAAGGTTTCTACTTTTTCTATTTTTAAAAAGGTTTAGTTAGATTTAGTTAAGTTGATGGACTTGACAGATGATGAAGAGGAGGAGTGAATACTCCTCAGTGTGAACCATGCAGTATGTTTCAGGTAAGCGCTCTACACATTTATTAGGTGAAGTTTAATAAAATAGTATTTGATAGTTTATTATCAATTTAAACATAGTCTAGTAGGAATTATCAATGTATAAAGGAATGTTTAGTTTAGTATGTGCTTTGGTTGCTAAAGCATTTGTTTGTGTATTGTTTGGCAAAAATTAACAAACCAAATTGTTTTAAGAAAAGAAGTACACACATATTATCGGAAAAATGTAAAAACGGTATCAAAAATCACAAATATTTATTAGGTAGAATGGCTTCTTTTCAAGTGTTACATTATTATAAACTGGATTATTATTGATGCATTAATGTGTAAGCAGCATTTGAATGTTGTAGCTGGTGGGGTCTAGCTGATTTGAACTATAATATATAGACTACTGTTGGTTATTTTAATCTATAGCCATGCATTTTATAAGCTGCTCTTATGTTTTGGTTGTAAAATCTTGATCTTTAAAGTACCAGAGTGAAAAGTATAATATTTCCATCTGAAATGTCGTGGAGTAGAAGTATAAAGTATCATGAAATGGAGTCACACGAGTAAAGTACAAGTACGTCAAAACTATACTTAAATATAGTACTTGGTTACATTTACTGTTTGTCATTAACTGTTGTAATTCAGAGATCTGTTCAGAGTTATCAGTCTCATGTTTTGAAAGGACAACAGCAGAGTTAAGAATAGAATATTTTACTTTGGGGAAATATGTAAATGTCCAGTTTGTGATCCTTTTGTTGGCTAGACTAATGGTGTAACATCTTAGACTAAAAAAGTTTCTTTGACAATTCAAAGAAAGAAAAAAAAAAAAAAAGCATAAACAGCTTGCAAGTGTGTTCACCTCCCCTCTGTCTTTTTATCATTACCACTCCTCTGTATCTATACTGGTAACTCTTTCAACACACTCTGTTCCTGTGGGCTGTACGAGCAAGCCAAGAAGCCGTCATGGTCGAATCAATGCAAGCTATCTGACTGTTAGTCAGCATGCTGATGAAGTGTTCTCACATTTGACTTCATTTGATCAATATAGAGTAGAAAACCCCAAGTCATGGAGCCTCCCAGCAGAGTCGCTGCTTTTTGTCTAAATATACTCAGCAAGTGTGTTTCAGACTGAGCTGTGGCCTCAATACAGGGTGTGAAGAGAGGGACACTGCCTTCTTGTTCTAGTTTATACAGGATATTAGATCATACTCATACACATATTCAGTTTGTAATATTTTTTGAATGTGAATATTTTGGCATGATTTGTCGGATTTCCAGCAATGTAAGTGTGAATTCTTAATAATGTGATAAATTCCTTTTTTGTTGAAAATGACTGAAATCCAACTGGACAAGGCCTAGATTTTGTTGTGTTTTTAAGATTTTTTTTTTTTAGCTGTTAACTTTTATTTTTAATTCTATTGGTTAAAGTTCCCTCAGGACTGGAGTGCTTGCTCGTGCCCAGCAGTCATGATGGAAGCAAAATGTTAGTTCACATTCACAACAGAGAAAACACAAGCTCTTAGTATTGTAAGGAACCATGATTTCCTTATAGGAAACTCATGTGAATTACACCATTGAAAGTGATTGAAAATGATTGAAAATCGAAGAAAACGTTTCTTATAAACACACACGGTGTTTGACGCCCACTCTAAGACAAATGCAAAGTCCGTTGTCTGCTACAGGTGCTTAAAGGGGCAGTTCACCCAAATCACACACCAAAAATTGTGATTCCTGCAGAGATTTTGAGATCCTGCTTCACTTTTGGATGAAATCTTTATTTAAAAAACAGTTAACTGTATTTTTTGTGCGTAGAGAAGTTAATTTCACCTCCATGGTAGCAGAAGTTTTAGAGAATGAGCACTCAAATTTTCAGCACTTAAAACTGAAAATATCTCCATGGCTATACACTTTGAGGAGTGTACTTTAAAAACTTGAAAAACAGAAATGAAAACATTTTTTTTTTGTGATTTAGATGAACAGACACATTTATTATGATTTATTTATTATTCTAAGTAAGGAACAAACCAAAGCTGCCAAATAATATGGCATTCAAAAACTTTCTGTCAGGCAGTGCACATGGTTTTCTTCAGGTTTACCAACACATCTTGCAGATTCCACCGACAGCAGTGTTAAATATTTGGCTTGTCTTGTCCCAGTGTCCCAGGTTGAGCTGTCGTGATGGCGGACCACAATGATGTCAGTCTGCAGCCGGAGGAGCGAGTCCGTGCGCTGACCAAGAAGGGAAGCACGGTGGAGGTTAATGACGACGTGCCTCCACGCCGCTACTTCCGCTCAGGCATGGAGATGATCCGCATGGCGAACATCTACACAGACGAGGGTAACATCGAGCACGCCTTCGTCCTTTACAATAAATACATCACGTAAGTATATTTATTTGACTGTATTTGCTAAATTTATTTAAGTATTTGTCAATTTGTCCTTCAGACTACTTTCTCACCTCTCGCAGAGTTTTAGGTTACAAATAAACACAATAAATTTGATGTTTGTCAAGTTGAGAGGAAATATTCAAGATGGTTAAGACGCCTAAGAAAGTTTAAGACATATAGAAATATTCATCCAATAATAACAAGAAATTCTCTTTTTACCAAGGCTCTTTATAGAAAAACTTCCCAAGCATCGGGATTACAAGACCGCTAACATCCCTGAGAAGAAGGACACACTAAAGGTATGTAGTGTTTATACTCTCTTAAACTCATATTTTAATTGTTTTCCAGAAAATGTTTAAACTTAACATTTAGCTCAATTTTCTCTCTCCTCCAGAAACTGAAGGATGTTGCGTTTCCTCAAGCAGAGATTCTGAAAAAAGCTCTTTTGAGGAGATTTGAACAAGAATATGCACAATATGTTGTGAAAAAGGTAAAAGTGTCTGTCAGCGCCTCAAACACTATCATGTGTTTTCACTTAAATTTACTTTCTTGATTTGAAGTCTCACGTGAATACACACGGAGGGACAGAAACAATAACTACTGCGAAGAGTATGCAAAATGTTTGTAACACACATTTACAGTGCAGCATCATTGTACTCAGATTTTACAGTGTGTCTTCTATACTGTAAATGGGGTGAAACATCAACCAGCACCACAGGAACTGCACACCATGGTTGTAACGACAGGAGGCAGTCATTCATTATCCCACTAAATGGAGGCAAAACAATAACACTGACCTTGAATAGTCTCATTGTTTATTACAGTGAATGAAACTTATTCATTTCCACTTACAGCTCACATGAATTATTGTCGAACAGATCAGCTTTTGTCATCAAAGACCTGCAGGAAATCTCATGTCACACAATTTTTTTTTGAATGTAATTCCACTGGCTGAAACTCAAACTTGTATGTATGTACGTATGTGATGTGCTTTCAGAAAGCGGAGGACGCTGCCTTGGCGCAGGAGCAGTCCAAGCAGCGAGCGTTGGACGCCGAGAGGGAGCGCGTGGCCGAGATGCAGCGGCGGCAGCGGGAGCAGGAGCAGTTCAGTGCCTTCGAGGAGATGATCCGCCGCCAGGAGCTGGAGAAGGAACGCCAGCGCGTTCTCCTCGAGTTCGCCACGCCCGCAATGCCTTCCCCCGACATGCCCCTCATTCCAGGCATCCAGGGCCCCCCGCTGGTCTCCCCCACCCCTCCACACAGCCCGGGGGACCTGTCCAGTGGCACCAACAACCAATACAATCACCCTCCCACATCCATCGGCACACCTGCCACCGCCCCACCCAGCTTCGACCGGTCGCTCAAGCCCGGCTCTCTGGTCAGCCCAGGGAACAACAGTAAGTTAATCTTTTTGTGACTGGAGGGGGCCGGCCCTCAGAGGATTTAAATACTGCCCCACTCCTGCTTTAAAGTATTTATTCTTCTGAGCTGATTTCTTTCCCCCTGACCTACTTAATTTCCTGTTTTTACACCATGCCTTGTTTCAGAACATCTCCAGAATCTAACTTTTCCATTCAGCTTTTGTCTATTCCTCTACATGGTTTGCGCAGATACAATGGTGGATGCCCTTCGGCAGTTGGCCGTTCCCGCTGAGCTGTGCCGGAGCTTTCTGAGGTTGGCCGAGTCCAACACAAGCCGAGCTGTGGAGACTTGTGGCATCCTGTGTGGCAAACTGGTAAGACTCTGGAACAGACTGTGCGTGTTGTACCAGTAATGCTGAATAGATCTGTTACAGGAAGTACAAAAATTAGATGAAGAATAAATGAGAGGTTAATCATGTTAACCATTAGTGAAACTTGAATTTTTGTGTTGTTGATTTCAGTCAGTTGAGATTGTTAAATAAAGGAATTCTCTGTTCCAGTGCTGATAATAATAAAAACATAACTTGCTGCTTTAGGATCTTGTCCATGATTCATATTTATCAGGCTATGAATGTGTAAAGAATGTGGGTTGGTAGATTATGAATGAAATGGAGACATCAGCTGACCTCCCACCCACGGAGGAGTAGAACTCAACCTGACACTTCTCTCACTGTCCCAGATCTGCCGTGGCTTTTGTTTGACATGTACGAGGCTCATTTGTGCTGGTCGGCTTAACTTAAAGCTCTTTTCACTTTTTTATGAGCATGACTGGGCGTTTTCACCCGCAGCGAACCAGCCAGCGCGCTGTTAATTCAACTCAGACAGAGTCCTTGGATAGCTTCTTGGCAGGCAGCGGCTCTGCATAATTTAAAGGAACGTAATAGTGCAACGTTTTTTTTTTGTGTGTGTGTGTGTGTGTGTGTGTTTATTCCAGACCAGAAATGCGTTCACCGTGACCCACGTCATCGTACCAAAGCAGAGTGGCGGACCAGACTATTGTGACACGGAAAATGAGGAGGAACTCTTCCTCATACAGGACCAGTTTGATCTCATCACCCTGGGCTGGATACATGTGAGTAAAGATTACAACACTGGCAACTTAAGCAGCAACTGTCCTGCTGCTGTTCTCAGAGGCACAAGCTGATGCTGCTCTACCTTAAAGGAAAAATCCAGCAAAAAAAAAACAAAAAAACATTAAGGGTAATGAAGACGTTGTATTCCTGCTTTGAGAAATTAAGATATTCTAACTGCTGCTACAGTGGTATTTGACTGGAGAAGCGTTGCCATTAAACAATAATGTGATACAGGAACATGATAGGTTGTGTTTTAAATAAACAATTCATGGTTGTGAGAATTAATCAAACTGATCCATTGCAGTGAATTCAAAAGTAAATTAGACAAAACTCTTCACACATGTAAAACAAAACGCTTCTTGGTGCAATATAATTTTGTAAAATTATGACATGATTAAATACTATTGTTATGATACAATTCCACAAATGTTAATATGCAAAAACATTGAGCTGTTAGCTATTAACTATTATCCAGCCCTAGCAACCACAGGGTTTGTGTTGCTATAATATCATATCATCATATCAGTATATGTATATTTAGACGTAACACTTGTACAGTCAAGGTCTGTGGTGTTAGTGGATCATACAAACTGACAAACTTGTGCAAAATGTGGTTTGGTAATCCAAAGGCTCACAAGAATAAGACATCATGTTGAGTTGTCTTAAACTTTTGACCCTGTTTTTATCTTTTTTCTTTTTTTTTTTTAACAGTAACTTTAAACCAACGGAGCGTGAAACTAACTGAACTCTGGGCTTTTTCTTTGCAGACTCACCCCACACAGACCGCCTTCCTGTCCAGCGTCGACCTCCACACACACTGCTCCTACCAGATGATGCTGCCGGAGGCCATTGCCATCGTCTGCTCGCCTAAGTTCAATGAGTGAGTCACAAACCTGCTGGTGTCCTCTCATTATAAAATCAGATGTGGGGAGAGATTTTTTTGTCCCCCACAGCTGGAACCAAGGCGTCGATTGTAGCCCGGGGGTCTCCTTCCCACTGTTAGCTGTGTTTGTCAGTGTACTGCCATTGTATTTTCCTAAGTCTCTCTATGTTGAAGTGTGACGGTGTGTGATTGTGTTTGTCCCAGAATCGGCTACTTCAGGTTGACGGACCGAGGAACAGACGAGATCTCCACATGTAAACAGAAAGGCTTTCACCCTCACAGCAAAGACCCCCCTCTATTTACAGTGAGTACACCTCTGCTGTGAGGCCAGTGTGCAGTTCTGTGTTTTACTGAAATATTTTTTTTTTCTTCAGAAAACATGTTGAAAAAAACATGTTTCTTATACAAACTGGTTTATATTGGTAATGTAATAGTCAAGTATCATTTTCTTGATACTAGTACACAATTTACCTGTCTCAAGGGAAACTGCACTGGGAGCAAGTCTGATAATTGTAGCTTTGTCTCGTCACACAAATCCCCAAAAATATCTCATCCCACTTACTTCCAGTGGCCTATCCAGGTCCAGCTTTTTAGTAGAGTCCACTGACGGTGAATTAAAATTTGTTAATGATGTTTACAGTATTGAAAAACTCAACAATAATATCTCTTTCCAGAAAAGTCAACCAAAGTCAACCAAACAAACAGAAATCAAATTTTTTGTATAGTTTGTGGACAGATGCAAGAGGAGACCTCCTCGCCATTGATTACTGTGTCCAGTCATGAACTAATATCCAAAAGTGCCAGATTTTTAAGGTAATTTCACAAAACAGAGTAAATATAACGAGTAAATCTTGAGGGTGAATTCACGCAAATAATCTCAAAATCCACTTTCTAAGAAGAAATAATCCCTTTGAAGTCTGCAGACAGGATGTTCTGTAGGTCATGTTACTTTAATTAAATATATAATTAGGAATTATTGTAATGTACTGCTGGGGAGTACTGAAAAAAGCTATATTATAGTGATAAATCCTAGAGGCTATATTGTCCCCACTGGTTTTGTATCATACTTTCATACGACTGTGAAGAAGCTATTAAACTGTATTATCTATAGTATTAAATCGGTTTTAAAAAGTCTCAAATTTAACCTGTTAGTTAGATAAGTTCTTTAAAAAAGAAAGGGATTTGTTTTGTTTTTTCTCCTTTATTTTCTTTTCACTTTTTCAGTAATGACCAGCATTAATCAGTGTTTATTGTAGCAGTTTCTTCCGTCCATGTGAGTCTGACTCTAACAACTCAAACCTGTGTCTCCTTCTCAGCACGCGGGACACATCACCATCACCAATGACACTGTGTCCATGATGGATTTGCGGTGATTTATTTCTTTTTCACCAGAACACTCACAGACTGTTTTATCAAACTGGACAAAACACTCATTTTATTTTCAGGACGGTACTGAGCAAACGCCGGCCACGAGTTTACCGTTTATATGGACTTGAGTTGTTCTCAAAGGGAACAACGTTGTGAACTTTTTTTTTTTTTTTTTTTTGCTCTGTAAGAAAAATTCTACATATTACTGCACTTTTCAAGCAAATTGACTTCTATCCACTTAACGGACTGGCAAACATCTGGCTCTTCAACCCTGTTGTTTTTTGTGAATATGTGCTATACTTCCTTCCTGTTCAACTTCTGTTTTTGTCATTGATTAAAAAAAAATGTATGTTTGTCAGTAACCGCTAAGTGTGTGGCTGGAAACCCAGCCTTTGTTTCATAAATGTCAAAAGTTTGGTTCTGCCTGACAGATAAAGTGCCAAGGATGAGAACATTCACCTGTTGTTGAGTTGTTCATTGTGCAACATGAAGTTAAGTGTGAAGTACGTCTTTGTTGTTTGACTTGGTGTGTTTCCTTCATAAGCTGTTGATGTGCTACGAGTGGAGAGAGAAATGAAAACCAGTTGTAACTCAGGTATGCAGGCAGTGTTGCTGTTGCTGCTCTGTATTATATTTTTCTATACAAACACCATCACTCCACAGTATCCTTTATCTTTACTGGGTTTGGATTGAAGTTTAGAAGTTTAATTCTGCTTATGATGGATCCACCACCTACACGTTTTTTAATTTTCTTATTCTTTGTTTTTGAGGGAAGGGGGGGGGGTACCTGTAATATTTGTCCCTCCTTCAGAGGACATGTGTGCAACAGGCAAACTGAATGTACCTTCTGCTACACATTACTACAGATTACTAACCACCTGGACATGGTCATGCCTCTAACCGTATTTTGTTTGCTCGCTTCTCTTGTTAGAAGAAGTAAATGATTAGCCATAATTGTGAGAATACCCTGAATGAATCAAATGCCAAGAGAAAATAAATGTATTGTAGATGAATTTATTCTGCAATGTTTTGTTTGTCATGTTTGTCCAGTTAGTGACGTGGTTCCAAAAACTAAATATCACGGGATTAATAGTCCCCAGTGTAGACGATGATGGTAAAAATTGATTTAATGATAAATATTACACCCGTGTTTGGTGTGATTAATTTGCATACCTGCAAATTAACAAGAGAAAGAGCCAAGTGTGCGTGTTAGAAAGCAAACTAATTGGTCTACACATGATCAAAGACAAAACTTTCAAAGATCAGACAGGATCAGATTAAAAGTTTTCACAGGTTTTATGATTAATGACATGTTCATGATAAATGAGCATCTCATACACGGTATTTAATCAAGATTATTTTCATGATTTTCAGAGGTCATCTTGTGCAGGTAGAGAGAAGATACGAACATTAAGGTAGTGACAAAGCCCCATCCCATGTTTAATCCATTTTATTTTAATCTAAACAATTTGAATAATTTCAATCAGATTTTTTTTAAATGCACCACTAAAGTACAATGTCATCTACATCTTGTGGCCCCTCTCTCATAGAGGGATTCAGTTTTATTAGCGGTCCAAGCAGTGAATGCTGAATGCTTTTTTAAAATTTTCTCAAAATTGTGATTTTGATCTTTGCTCAAATGGTCTTCTGTTCTAAAAATGCTAAATTTTTCAGCCATTTTGGAAAAATTTAACGAAAACCCAAAACGAATTTGTTCATCTGATTCAGGAAATTTGGTCTAAATCATCTACTGACAACGCTGATGAAAAGTTCAAATTGCTGTTTTTTTCACTGTCGAGTAGTTAAGGCAATGTAGTTTTATCCATCATAGGTGTACTGTAAAGCCTCAACCAAAAATGAATAATCATTAGAAATACATCTGATAATTATTTATTTTTTAAATAATTTTTGATTTTTTTTTTGTCAGAAAACAGTACAAAAGTCCCATCACGTATTCCAATGTCTTGTTTTGTCTGACCAGCTGTCAAAACCCCCAAATTTGTTTTTTTTTTACTGTCATAGAAAAGTGGGAACACTGGCAAACATTCACATTTTAGAAAGATGCTACATGTGAATTTCTACCTTTTTTAAAAATGGACTAAAATGACAAATCAGTTATTAAAATTGTGTACACTTAATATTCTGTCAATTGACTAATCATTTAATCCACTTATTCATTTCAGCTTTATCATACGGTTTGATTTCTGGGTACGTAGGGGGGCTCTGTGGAAGTAAACCGTTTAAATCATCCCTCCAATAGGGGGCAGCAGAGTGTTGCAGTTAAAATTGAACTTCCGTTACTGAGGACGACGATCGAGAACATATACAGGAAAGAGAAAAGGCGAACAGGTTGTGTTTGTCTGTCGTTAAAGTCTTTCGTTTTCCCTGATAATCCATCAGATCCACACAAAATTTCAAAATGGGGAAGCGACAGCACCAAAAAGACAAAATGTGAGTATTACAGTGATACTTAACAATACACAGCGACACTGTAATGTTTGTTGTTGTTAGCATAGCAAGCTAATGCTGTTCGTAAAGTAGCTAGCGATCGAACTCTACTTTTACTTTACTTTTACCTAACATCGTTTCTTTGTCTTTTATTTGTGTGTGTATGTGTTTTATTCCGGCAGGTACATCACTTGTACAGAGTACACAAACTTTTATGGAGGGAAACGAACAGGTTCGTTTGTTTTTTTTGTTATTTCTCCGACGTTCGTTCGCAGCGGTTTGAACGTTACCTGGTCAAAACAAACGTGAACAGTCACAGCTGTGCTAAAATGAAATAACAATGAAAAGTAAAAATATTAATTAAACAGTAATTAAGCAGCACTTTCCAACTTTAGCAAGCTTGCAAACACTTTCTGTAGCAGCTGAGACTCTTTGTATTTTGACTCTTCCTGCAAATCACTTCAAGTTTTGAGATAGTTTTGGTCTGCATGTACACACAGCATGTTTAGGATCGATCTACTGAATTTCAGATACCAATAGCTTCGGCTTGTGTTTCTTGAGGTGGTTCATGGTGGATTTTGAGTGCTACTCTGGATCATTATCCTCCTGTTTAAGCCTTCCTCTTTAGTTTTACTCTCATGACTGACCGTAGGACGTATCCATCTACAGAATTTGCTGATATTCTATTCAAGCAGTGTTTCCTAATATTTCCATACCCATGTTGTGGGTTGTTCATTTCATTAAACGCTGCTCTTTTTTTCTTCTCTAAACTCACCTGTAGTGATTGTAGCCAAACAGCTCAGTTTTAACTCTGTCTTATCCAGATGTTGCTTTGTAGATTTCAGATGTTGACATTCATGATGAGGTTGCTTCTGATGTCTTTTCCATGTAGACCCTGTTTGTGCATTAGCGCAGCACAGTAGAACAGTACACCACCACCCCTCCGTCAGTTAAACCTTCCCGCAGCTCCTTTGCAATCATCTTGTTTTCTTTTTTTAAATATAAGTTTCATTTTATGTTTTTACTTTTCAGTTATCCCACAGGCAAACTTCAGACGGCTTCCATTTGACCACTGCAGGTGAGAAGAGTCTTGTTTTCCATCCTCAGGAGATTTGATAGATTCACTAATACACTACTAACAAATTCTGGCCTTGCTGGTCCATGTTTAATAGAATACTTGACAACAAATACTGTATATTGCATAGATGTGGACAAACTGGATTGGCACTAAGATGCATGGTGTATTTTTGCTGAGTAATTGTAATTTATATAAGATGTGTCTCACTTTGATATAAATGTTTTCTCTGAAACATTTCAGCTTGTCCCTTCAGCCATTTGAGTATCCTGTCTGCACTGAAGAGGGAGTCGTCTTTGACCTTCTGTAAGTAGCCTGACTATAAGTGAAAAAGAAGAAGACATTTTTAAAAGGAGCTCTGCCTGACTATAAGTGGCCTTTTGATTGTTGGTTGTCACTGGGTATTTGGGTTTTTCCCATGAAGGAAAAACGAGGAACACTGGTTGTGCTAATCTTAAACTTGTAACACAAACCAAACAAATACCAGCTGTGTTCTAGTGCTTGTTTTGCCCTGCTAGTGGTCGGACTGTGGGGATGACTTTGATGGTGGAACAATGTGGTTGCTTCCTGCTGGTTTGACCGTAACAGTCACTTCCTTTCTACCTTCTGTTTTAGGAGCATTGTTCCATGGATTAAGAAGTACGGTACTAATCCGATCTCTGGAGAGGTAAGAAAACAAGAATTCTCAAGAAATCTTTATTGGTCAAAATATTAAGCTGTATCATAAAGTTATTTCAGAATATTGCTGAAATGATTCGTCACTTGAACTGAAAACATATTGTCAGCAGTTTCCAGCTCACCAAATGTTTTATGTCATTGTAAACTAGACTTCTTTGGGAGCTTTTTACAGACTGATAGAGAAAATAGTTTAAAAATTCTCAAAGGAAAGTTTCCAACATCTTCTGGAATCCATGCCACAAAGAACTAAGGCTGGTTGAGAGTAAAGAGAGGAACTACCCAGTATTAGTATGGTGTTCCTTATAAAGTGCTCGCTACATGTAGATGGCACCATATCATCAAAATTTAAATAATCAAGAGCATGACCTGTGTGAAATGCTCTCGAGATGTCGTTCTCTGGTAAATAAACGTCCGTTTTCATTCTTCCCCACAGAAACTGGAGGCAAAGTCTCTCATCAAACTCAACTTTGCCAAAAACAACGATGGTAAATATGCACATGATTCAGTGTGATTAAACCTTAAGATCCACATAATAGGTCGATAATGACATTAGGGTTGAAGAAGCTTAATTTCCCAATCAGCAAGTCGTTAGGAATAAAAAGGTCAAAGCCACACTGATGTTACTGCAGCACAGCGTGAGAGCAGCTTGTAAAGACTTAGAGAGTGTTGGATGGGAGGGACAAGAGCAAATTAAAGCAAGTGGAGGAGGAAGATGTGGGAGAGGTGATATAATTCATCAGGGGGCACATTACATGAGGTACTTCTTGACTTCTGGGGGAGATGAGTTTCCAGCAGACTGAGAGTGACTCTGCTGCTTTGCTTTCTTCTGACTTTTTTTTTTTCCTTCTGATTTTGTTCCAGGAAAGTATCACTGCCCTGTTCTGTACAACGTCTTCACAAATAATTCTCACATCGTTGCCAACAAGGTCACCGGCAATGTGTATTCTAATGAGGTCGGTGAACATGCACACCTTCCGCGCATTGATCCTCATACAAATAGTTTTTGGAACAGAGACCAGTGTCTAAAATTACACACACACGCAAAGAGCTGTTATTGATTTTGGTTTCAGTGTGATACAGTGCAGATGCTCGGCCCACATGGTCACAAGATGCTGCCTTGCATCACATTGAATTAGTTAGATACATCAAAATGGATTATATATTGTACAGGACAAGTCCCTCGGGTTTTACACGTAACTTTGACCAAGTAGAATCTGCCTTTTTAAAAACATGTTTTTCATAATCATCTAAGCTAAACCGAAACCCGAGATGATCTTCATTTTCCCTTTCACCCAAATTAGTGACGAGAGCTTTTTGTTTTCTAAAATATTTCACTCAGGCCGTTGAGCAACTCAACATTAAGACCAAGAGTTTTAAAGATCTTCTGACAGACGAACCCTTCACCAGAAAGGACCTTATAACACTTCAGGTGGGTTGTTGCTTCATTTTGGTATGCCAAAGTTTAAAGCACCTTATTTAGGGAAAATCAGCCTTTAACTCTAATGGTGTATTTGTTCTGTTTTGTCTTCATAGGACCCCACAAACCTGGATAAATTCAATGTTTCCAACTTCTTCCATGTAAAAAACAACCTGAAGGTGTTGGATCCAGGTGAGTTATTGAATTGTTAGTTGTCATTTGTAAATTAACTGTTTGTGATTTAGAATTCTCCTTTTTTTTGTTCAGTTCGAATCAGGAATCAGGGTTAAAATTAATTTACAGATGCTTAAACAGTGTCCTTCCTCATTCTCTTTTTTTCCCCCTGGGACGGTTCAGATGAGGAAAAGGCCAAGCAGGACCCAGCGTATCACCTGAGGACCACCAATCTGGAGACCAGGGAGACCTTAGCCGAGCTGTACAAAGACTACAAGGGGGACCAGCTCCTGGCTTCCACCATGAAAGAGCCAGAGGCCAAGAAGACAGACAAGTTAAACGCTGTAAGGAAAAACATCATGATGCTATAGTTATTGAAAATTGCAAGATATGAAAAGAGGGTAGTGAACTGAAGGAAAAATATAAAACATATGCACACAGACTCGCAGCTTAGAGGGGATGGTGTCCTTGCAATGGTAATGGCAGCTGATCACATGATGACTCCCGGGTCAAAACCCCAGACTGTGTGCGACAACATTTGATTGTTATATTTGTCTGCTCAGAGACCTACATTAACATTGAAATACGTGGGGAATTCTGTAATTCGTCTTACGCTTGAAGAAAAGTTGAACGAGAAGGCGCGTGTGTGATGTCTTAAAGTTTTCATCATGAACTCTCAGTATTCTTCGTTAGATTTCTCAAAAATCACCACTTCCCGTTGACGAGACAATCGGGTCAGATAACAGACGACCTCGTGGAAGAGGGAAACTAAAAAAAGGAGCATTGGCTTTTCCCCATGTCACACGGCCTTTTGTTTTCTCATTTGTCATGGAGACGTATCTGTTGACGTGCCAACTTTATTGTTTAATCCATAGCCCTTCTAGGACGTCTGGTCCACAGTGGCTGAAAAGTTTAGCAGCAAAGATCAATTTTGACTTTGGGAATTGTAATTTTTACAAAAACAGTTCCGTCTTAAAATCTACTTACTGACTTTTTCTGGAGTTCTACGTCAAGCCGCACAGTGTCCAGGCGTCTTTGCTGTTGGATCAGAGAAATCCACTTAGATAATTTGAACGAGAATAATTTTATGTAATTTCTGTGAATAACTGATTAAAACGTGGTTTGTCAGATTTAATCAGTTCTGCTGCAGCATTTCAAGATGGCATTTATCTGGTGAAGAAGTGCAGTTCGTTCTTTGTACACAGGAGGGAGCCAAACACACATTAATAGATTAACAGTGTTGTTGGCAACAAGACAAAAAAACAGAATCCAGAAACATAACAAAGAATGTTTACAGTGCTGTGAGGAAGATGAATCACATTTCACTCTTAGAATTCAGGATTTTAAGCAAATATTAATGAAAATATCATGTTGGCCCGAGTGAGAGATGAAATTGGTACGAAGGTCTCCTTAAATGAGCAGTAGGTTTATATTATTTATTTAAAAACACCCTCTGGATATTTGTGTGTAATTCCAAATAACTTTATTTATCCATTAGGAACTTCATTTGTGTAACAGTGTCAGTGCATACACAATAGGTGAGCAGACAAACAGCAAACGCAATATAGGCAACATTCACGAACAGCTTAGAACAGTTTAAGATGACAATTTTAAATGTGCTTAAAGATGATAAATCAGTCCACAAATAAATGGCAATAAATGAATAAGGTCAATGAGTGTTAATAATTATTATCGTGTCGTATTAATGAGTGTGATGGATGTAGGCACAAAGTTTGACGTGGCACGGTTTGGCCTGAAGGGTATTTGTAGTCCTTTCACTTTAGTCCATCTGGTGTAGATGCTGTTTAATAGTTTGTGCTCCAGTGATGTTTTGTTTTTTTGTTTTTTTTTTGTTGTTGTTGCTCATTCTGGTGAATTTGTCCAGAGGATTAAGGTGGGTGTTACTCAAAGCACCAAACCAGGCCGTTTAGTTGGCGGTGATGATTGATTCAGTGAAAGTTAATTGAACTGGTGAGTGGAGCTGGAGTCGTTTCACTGTTAGGTCTGAAGGTTTGTTAGTGGTCAGTTGTGCTGCCGAGGTATTAGAAATGGTTCCTCTCTCTCTATAGCTGTTGACCATCAGTGCAGGGATGGTGAACTGTCCGTGACCGGCTCCTTGGTTTTGGAGGCCTTAAGGTCACACCACCACTCTGAGAATATGCCTGTCTCGGCTTGTAACCGCCCTCCAGAGTTAGTGGTGACTACGGTGACCGGGTCATCGGAGTATTTGATGTAGGTTATTTCTGGGTCTGAGCTCCTGCGGTCATCAGTGCCCCGCGTGACGAGAGCCCTGTCCCCGTGGGGCTCCAGTGGAGATGACCATTTCCTACAGCTCTACACACAGATGTTTAACAAAGGTCAGTTGCGGTCATGTTACCACCGTGACTGTGTCCTTGAACAACCAGGGGGGAGGGATGAAATCCGGTTCGCTTTGAACGACACCGTCACTTCTTCTCTTATCAGATCGCCTTTGATGCTACGCCGTGTCTCGTTTTCACGCCAGAGCTTCTCCTCGGTTGCTCTGCATCTCCAGTTCACAGTTGAGGTGATGCTCTGACAGCATCTGAAAGAACAGGGAATATAGGTCAGACAGAGCACACAAGGTAAAGTCTGTGCTTTCATGCGTCTTCACAAGAACTAGAGCAGAAGAATGCTAAACCAGGGACTGTAGAATAGACTTTGAGCTTTAGAAATCCATTTTCATTTCTCTGCTTTCATCTTCACTCAGTTGTTGTTCTCTTGATTTAAATAGCTCTTCCAGTTCCACTGCACTGTTTGTGGTATTTCTAGGTGAACACTGCTATTTAACAAATGTATTCTGCTATAATTTAAGCTCAAACAACCTTAAAGCATCTCCAATGCCCCTTAATTATGAGATGGTAGAAATCTCTCTAAGCTGAGAAAGGGGGGGGGGGGGGGGGGGGGCTGTGCTCTTAATCATACAGAAGCAGCAGAGGCTTTCATTAAACTGGTTTGCACTTGATGGACCACCTAGTGCAAACGAGGGGAACAGCCAACTATTTGGCTGGAAAGAAGTGTGGAGTGAAGAAGGTTGTTCTCCACCTGGAGGATGAAGCGCTTCAGGCCCCTTTTTTAATGGGGAAGTCTCTGTCCTGTTGAAGCAGAAGACATGCAGGGCGTATTTAGCTGATGCTGATCACCGGTGGAAGATTTCACAGCAGGGATAAATACACAAATACGGGCTGAAAATGATGATTATTTTAACCATCTATTTACCTTTCACAAACTTACCAGTCACATGTTTTCAAATTGTCATAATTGTCATCTAAAACCCAAAGAAAGAGATCCCAGAACTAAGAAGAAAGCAGCAAATCCTCACATTTAAGAAGCTGAAATCAATATTTGGCCTTTTTTGCTTGACTTTAACGATTTCTATGAGTGAGTATTACAAGTCAATGTTCCTTTCTTCAACTGATTGCTCAAACAACCCAGGTCAGTGCTAATGCAAACCCATTATTACACTTAAAAGAGCATTAAATAATTGAGCATGAAAGCTATGAAAGCTCATTCGTAACCTTGTAGATAGATGTCCACTTACTGGCTTATTCCAGAGCTTTGAAGTATATCCCAACCATACGCGACCCGCTGTTTTCAACCGTCTCACATGTTTAGTGCAGAGGCCACATGATGATAAGTGAGAACTCCGTCCACCGGTGAAGATCATAAGATGTGGTTCAAAGCTCTGGAGAATGGCACAGATTTAAAGAGGACCCAGTAGATTTGATTTTGTGGGGCAGTGAAATAGCGCTGATAAAAATTCATAGGAATATAAAACTTGTTAAAATCTAATATGAAGAGATTTCTGCTGTTCAGAGCTTGTAAGTAATAGATTTTAAAGACCGTCTCAACAAGTTAACGAACATCATCAACATGTACATTAACAGTAGAAATGGTGTTTAAAATCTGCCATTTTTAACTTTTTATTCTTGTCTTTTTATTTTCCCCAGGCTCACTACTCCACAGGCAGAGTCTCTGCCTCCTTCACGTCCACGGCCATGACTCCTGCAACAACACACGAAGCAGGCAAGTGAACATCTCTCTCTCTCACACACACACACACACACACACACAAAAACGTCTGTGGATTCCCAGCAGAAAGTAACATTCACCTCTCCTTACTTTTACTTCTTTAATCTTTATTTATCTGGGGAAGAGTGGCTAGTCATGCCTCCTCTTTTGCAGCAAAGTGCAACTTCGTGCTCGCAGAGTTACATGCAGCTGCAAGTGGGAGCTGCTCGGTTCGACTGTTTGCTTCTCCTGTCAGCCTCTGAGCTGCTCCATGGGAGAGATTTGCTGTTATGCAACAGTATAGTAGGTTCAGTACACTTCAGAAGAGGACGACAGTTTTTGGATTTAGTGACCTAGTTCAGGTTTTTTAAAACAGGATGACATGCCATATATTTAAGGAGGTGTGGTCATGTACTTTCTATATAATTGGAAATGTGTTAATATTCATATTTCAATCATTTGCCTCGATTTAAATTTTTGTCAGATTTTGTACTTTTTTAAATATTACTCTTATATAAAGGTGAAACAATAATTAAAAAAAAAAAAAAAAGCTATTTGGATTTAAGGAAAGAGAAAAACACTTGCGTGATCTAAATAACAGCCTGCACTGAAGAGGTTCTGAGGGTTTTTAAAGGTCAGGCGTCTCACCTGCTGCTGCATCAAGCCGAGACTCAATCACTAAACACTCAATAAAATCTTAAGATCATTTTTCAAAATAACAGCCCCTGTCTGATTTATTTATTTTTTTTTTTCCAGTCATAATCTCACAGGTTGCCATCCGTAAAGACGCATCACAATAACTGAATTTGTATTTTTCTGTTATAGACGCCATTGCAGACGACACCGTGCGTTACCAGTACGTGAAGAAGAAAGGCTACGTCCGTCTACACACCAACAAGGGAGACCTGAATCTTGAGTTACACTGTGATAAGGTAATGACATTCACACATTCATTCAATATAAAGTCATTAGCCTAGCAAAATGGCAGTTAGACATGTTTATCTTATGTCTGAATAAGCAGCTGTGTCACTTTTACATTAAAGTCATGGCAGCAATGCCTTAATAACATTTTCATGACACTTCCAACACATCACACGTCTGAGCTGAATACTGTCACATTAATGTAAAGGCCACAGCAGCACAAGATTAAATGCACACACACAGAAATGAAGAGATCAGCTTAATGAATAATGAAACTGTCAGTTAGCTGATTTTAAGTTGTTGAGGAGATTGTTCTAATGTCAGATCAGTCTCTTTGATACTGTGAAAGTATTAAAATGTTCAGTCCACAGAGAAATGCACACAGCCCATATTCAGAAACTGTGACTGTGAGAGTTAACCAAGCTACAGTGGGGGGCTACTTGTCCTAATCGTGCGTGACTCAGAAAACGGTCAATCAGATCCGGAGGCTCAGAGAACAACACAAAACGCCCTCTTCTTGCTCCAGACAGAAGCCTGAGAGAGGAGATGTAAAACTACATTGAGATTGTTTTTGGTTTTTAAAACCATAAGTATATCTTCTCATGAATCAACACTTGGTGTAAAATATGGCAGGGAATGTTGGCATGGTGTTGAAAAGATAAAAACGTATAAAAAAGCAGTTTAAAACGATACTTAAAGCACAGAGGAGCTGATGTCATTTTTATTGAAACTAAAAAAGTAAATGTTAAGAGATTGGTAATGCTGACCCATACCATATATATAAAATATATATTTTATAAATGAGGCCTGACACTCCAATTCAGACTTGGCTGATTTAACTTGCTGGTACAAGGTTCTCAAATAATGTTGTCGTGATGTAGGTTTTGCCTGAGCAGGTGGTTAAATCGCAATGAGGGAGAATCATCCAAAACATTGAAATCAGCCTTTTGCAGAGTCTGTCCCCCAGGTTGCCAAGTTTACATCTTGGCAAAAATGTGTTTCTTGTGTGCCTCCTCTTTAAGGTTAGATGTGGGGCTCCAGAGAGACAGCGTGAGTTCCAGGAACACATTTCTGCCCTGGTAACCAGGCACTTCGTGTGCTTGGTTTTCATTGGCCTCTGAGCCGTCGAATCAGAATAATGAGGGGAAAGTGGCAGCGGTTAGACAACCTGCCCTCTGTGCCCCACATCCTCCCCCTCCCCACCTTCCTCCCCAGTGGTTTTCACACAGGATTGCTGCTCTATTCGTGGCCTGCTGTTTATGAATTAATGAGCGCCGCTTCACTGTCACATACACTCTCAGTCACACAAATCCAGAGCCCTCCTCCCTGTAAAGTGCCCATTTGCTCGCCCGGCTTTGGATGTCTCAGCCGCCCCTGCCCTCGTTGTCCCCGACTTGGATGAAATGTGAGGGGGCAGATGTTGGAGATCAGATGACACAGCCTGTACCTTAGTCACACATAATGTGGAGGAAGGTCCAGCTTCATTATAGTTGAAAGCACGGTGGATAAATAGGCTTCACCTGAGTGGGATAAAATGGGATGACTGTGTTAGATTTCAAAAGGGCTTGCATGACTAAGATATATATTTAGATACAGGCAAATCCAAATATTCCAATTATTTCTTTGAGATTGAGATTAATATAAAAAATATAAAAAAAACAACCTACAAATAAGAATAAAAAATGTGCCAAAGAGCTTTATTGATGACCTCTACCTAAATAATATGAAGTAGTTTATTCCTCAGATGCTCTAATGTTAGATTTGGGTGAAAAGAATAAAAACATGAAATTAAAGGAAGTACAAAAGTACGTACATTAGGAATCTCATTAAATGCACACAAGAGGAAATGTTTAAGTTAAAAATACATTTGTATATTTTCACATCAATTGAATTATTTTTAGTTCTACCCCCCCCCCCCCCCCGGGAAATCCTTGTAAAACAGAAGAGCCTGTAAGCAAATGTGAATTGGGAGACTTTTTTTTTTTTTTTCTCCCCCCCCCCCCCCGGGAAATCCTTGTAAAACAGAAGAGCCTGTAAGCAAATGTGAATTGGGAGACTTTTTTTTTTTTTTTCTCCCCCCCCCCCCCCGGGAAATCCTTGTAAAACAGAAGAGCCTGTAAGCAAATGTGAATTGGGAGACTTTTTTTTTTTTTTTCTCCCCCCCCCCCCCCGGGAAATCCTTGTAAAACAGAAGAGCCTGTAAGCAAATGTGAATTGGGAGACTTTTTTTTTTTTTTTCTCCCCCCCCCCCCCCGGGAAATCCTTGTAAAACAGAAGAGCCTGTAAGCAAATGTGAATTGGGAGACTTTTTTTTTTTTTTTCTCCCCCCCCCCCCCCGGGAAATCCTTGTAAAACAGAAGAGCCTGTAAGCAAATGTGAATTGGGAGACTTTTTTTTTTTTTTTCTCCCCCCCCCCCCCCGGGAAATCCTTGTAAAACAGAAGAGCCTGTAAGCAAATGTGAATTGGGAGACTTTTTTTTTTTTTTTCTCCCCCCCCCCCCCCGGGAAATCCTTGTAAAACAGAAGAGCCTGTAAGCAAATGTGAATTGGGAGACTTTTTTTTTTTTTTTCCAAAAAAAAATTTTTTTTTGGAAAAAAAAAAAAATTTCAGAGTGCCAGGCAAAATGAGCTTCTTTGAGTTGGTGTTTTGTAATGATTTACAAGAAGTCTAATAGTTTTTATGACCCAGTATGCACTTCAGCAACAGGGAAAATCCAGATGTCTGTTTCTTTTAATAAAAAAGAAAAGAGAAAAAAACCCCTCATTGTTGGAGCGCAGTACTAAACCTGGCTTCCAGCTATAGAGATATGCGAGACCGCCTCAGGCAACAGTTGAACTCCACTTGATTGCAGACTTATATGCATAACAAACACTTTCCAACAGGTCAGACAGAGTTGCAAGTGTGTGACTCTGTTTGTTTACATGAATGCAAATCTTCATGCTGTCAGTCACCTCTATCTGGAAGTTTGAAATATAACCTGTATCTTCAGCTCAGCACCTGTTCGGTGTCTTCTGATGCCGCTTTCAGTCGGCAACTGTATGCAAATAAGATGAGAGTCAAATGGCAAGGTCATCCCTTGTCTGTGTGGGTATGAATTAGTGAGTGTGTTATTTAGAGAATCACAGATGAACTACAAATCAGCACTGGCTTGTAGTTAATAGATGTCTTTTAATGATGCTTTCGATCACCTGTATAGGTTCAGTGTTTATATGCAGCAGCTTCCTGTTTTAATTTTTGTTGTCTACTATGGGTGAGAAATTACCTGGAGATTTTAATCAGGGAAATCGGGTAATAACTGTCATGATATGAACACCTCTAGCTATCAGGGGCCCTTGTTTACTCAGCGATTTATCCGTCTGTGGTAAGTTTGAAAGCAGCGAGGAAAACCAGTCGCGTTAAATTTATCAAGCTCCCTCAATCTCTCCACACCCTGAGGGCTTGTTATGTCGTTTCTGACCGTGGAGCGAAAATCTTATTGAAAATTTTATTTGTTTTCAAACACATGGTAATGATAGTGAGTTTCCCCAGGCAGTGGGCATGGATAATGTGCCAGGTGTGTGTTCCAAGTCACATTGCTTAATTGAATAAGTCCTTGAATGATGGGCAATTTGGGGTTTTTGACATATTAGTATTTGTCTTTTGTTTGTTATTATTGGTTAAGGTTAAAAAATGGTTAGTCACCAGGCGAATGGTTAGGGTGTCCCCGCGAGTCCCTGGTTCAACTCCCTGATTGGATCATTTGCTGCATTCCATACTCGGCAGGAAATAAAATCCCTTTGTCAGGCAGCTGATGAATGCCATGACGTACACGGATGAATAAGAGCAGCATGTTTGTAATTTATGTTACAAGAATTCATGTCTAATATTGTAGATGTATGCAAGAACTGATGCTCCTTTTTTTGCTTTCCTCCACTTCTCCAACCAGGAAAAAAAAGGCTTTGTCAGTCTTAACCTGTCTTTTAATCATACTTAATTAAAACGGGATAATGTTTTATATGTCTGGTGAATATTAGATGACATCAGGCGAGGCTGTTGTAAACATTAAAGCAGCATCAGACAAGTATTGACATTCACTATCCAGTTTATCTAAATGTTATGTTTGAGTGTGGGTGTGTTACTGGGTTTATCAAAAGGTCTCCTCCCATCAGACATCCGATTAATTTCAACACACAACATTCAGAGACGACTCAGCAGTGATTCCTGACTACACTGTTCTCATATTTAAATTGTGGTTTCAATGCTTCTTATTAATTTTTTTTTAAGTCACTGTTTTCAGTAATAATAAACTGATATTATTGGCTGTCAAGAGCCCAACTGAGACACTAATCAGTGTCAGGAAATTGTTATCATGGGTGTTCTTATAAACAATCTCTGTGTGCTCTTTCCTCCAGGTTCCCAAAGCTGGAGAGAACTTCATCCGTTTGTGTAAAAAAGGATACTACGATGGTACCGTCTTCCACAGGTCCATCCGGAACTTCATGGTGAGGAATTAATCCAGATTAAAATGCTTTTCTTCTTTTCTACTTCCATCTAAAGCAGGTAGCCAATGCAGAGATGCTAAAAGAAGTCTGCAGCATTTATAACTGAACGTTTGGACAGGTTATACTGGGTTAAACAGGAATACAGAGAATTGCAATATGCAAGTGAGATGTAATAAAAGCATGAGTGACAGTTTCCAGGTTCGTCGCAGATAAAAAAAAGAAAAAAAAGATCTAATCTTTGCAATTTTGCGAATGGGTTGGAATATTCTAGTGTCTAAGAGACAGTCCCGTTACTGGAAATGTCACTGGTTGAAAGCTCACGACAAACATGTATGTTGTCAAGACGGCAACATGCTGTTGAATAAAGGTGGGTGAATTACTCTGATTATCCACCATCACAAAAATCTATTTTCAGATGAGCATGGTTTAACTTAGCTCAGATTCTCCCTACTGTGACATTTCATATGAAAGTAAGTGAATAAAGTTCATATCATGAGAAACCAGGGTGACCGACGAGCTTTAACCCAAAATATCAATGAATTACACAGCGTCATTCACTGTTACCTTGTCTTTTGTTGAAATAGTTATGTATTTGAGTGTTTCCTGCTTCAGAGATGAGTAAACGCACACGCTGCATCTCAGCTCGCCTACTTCCGTACTTCCACCTGCTGTTTTGACAGTAAGTGCGGCAACATGCAGTGCTCCAGAAGTACCCAGATGGTGCCCTCAAAACAGTCATAAAGATGAGTGTGAGGCAATGGACACTTCTCACCCTCAACGGTTGCCATATTGGCGTCGTAGCAGAAGTGCAGGGACCACTTGTGCAAATGGCGGCTGAGGAAGGGAGGACACATCGCTGTCTCCGATGGTGGCGAAATTTCCATGTTGCATTAAACCGGGGGCTCACGCAGGAAAGGAAAACGTTATTCTTAAGTCACATGTGCAAAGCAGCCGACATAGCAACAGTTCTTTGTTGTAACTCGCTCTCCAACCGAAGCTTCTTAACCCAGACTGAGAATTTGAAATGACAGGTCTCTGATCAGCAGTTCGTCTGTGTATTTCGCAGCTTCCTCTCCTCTAATTAAAGTGGCTCTGAGTGGACATCTGGTCTCAAGAGGATCCTTACCTTTTTTCCATTCTGTCCCCTGGTTTTCATACACAGTGGCAAGCTGTGAATTGTTTATCCATAATTACTGTGCCACTTACGCCTTCGACTTATCCTCCGCAGCTCTAAAGGAGACGAGGATGGCCTTGAAGAGAATATTTTCATAGAAACAAACATGAAACAGTTTCTTAATGGGAACATAAACGTGGCTCTTGCTTCCCTTAAAACAGTTTATCAGGACCTGGCAGATCAACTGTGTTTCTGTCCAATCACATAAAACACCCTTCTTATGAATACGTCAGAATGGCTGCTGGTTTAATTCCATGTTTACGTCATCTTGAAGTTACCTTTTGGATCCTTAGATAGATGGATGGATAGATAGATACTTTATTTATCCCCAAGGGGAAATTCGTGTAATGAGATGTGGACATTATTTCAGACCCAGTGTTACTTGGATTTTTATACCACACTGTCACTAGCTACAGTGTGCTATAGAAGAACTTAAAGGTCCCATAAAGCAGGTCTAGGTTCTATAATAAATCGAAAATGAGCCATCAGGACTTCTGTTACTTTGTGATGTCATAACAAAGCAGTCACTGCTCTCAGCCATGCCCCAAGCCCCGCCCACCTGGACCCGCCATCCAACCTTGGAGGATTTGGTTTCTCTGAGTGTTTACCTGAAATCTGCTGTATTTTTATTCAATCACTCAGAAAACAGTCAGCCAATCAGAAGTACAGGCTCATAGCCTCCTCTCTTCTGATTGGCTGACTGACCTGTTTTTACTAGAGCTGGAGAGATTTTTTTGTTTCTTAAAACTACAAATATGTTTTTATGGATCAACATTTCAAATTAAAAACACAGGAAAAATGTAAAATCCGGGACCTTTTAACTTGTCCAGTAAAAACTATATCAACACCATGTTGGTTCAACACCTTGTCTCCACCTTCAGCTTTGTAAAAACAAGAGTTTCATCAATGTTTCCATCTTTTCTTGCTCTTTCTCGTCTTGCTGTCTACAGTGATTGTCCTTGCTTTCTTCTCGCGCCACTATACTGTTGTTCTGGTGGGAAAATACTTTCAAAATAATCAGCTGCCTCCTCTCCTGTTAGCAGGAAGGATTTTTTTCAGGCTTGTGCTCCATACAATCAGTACAGGAACTTACAGAAAACTTGCTCCGCAGCAGCACCAGTGGTGAAAACCAGCAGAGTTTGAGAGAAGTTCTCTTCCATAGAAACAATAATAGGAATGTTGAGCTTTAACAGTGAACAATGGAGGCCTGTATCCTGGAAAGCTTTGACATAGGATAATAACGATTGCAGAGGACATGACTTTCACAAAAGGAAATAATTGTACAAAAGTATTGTTTGACCACTTTACAGAAACTAAACATTTTCCTGAGGAACAACTCCTCTATTATCACAGGCTTTTCAATGTGCAGTACAGGCGGCTAATGTCACCCAAACCTAACAGGGCTTTTTATTTTTTTGTTTGTTTCCAGATTCAAGGAGGGGACCCCACTGGCACTGGCACAGGTAAGATGAGGACTGCACTTAAACCACATTTTGAATTACATAACACCCCTCTGTTAAATTATTGATGGTTCCTTTTTGGAAGCTTTGCGTAAATACCGCCTGAAATTCACGATGCAAGTCAAGAGTGTTACTAAATATACTCTGCAGAGGCACATGGGAGTACAGAAGACTCACACACACACACACACACACACAAAAGTCTGAGAGATTACGTGGATGGAAGAGGGCTGAGTGTACAGAATGTGGGTGTGGTGAACAACCAATCAACCAGCGTTTGGTGTAATTTCCCTGTTTTGAAAAGCCAGTTTTAAAAGGCAGCTAAGTGTAATTGACTGCGAGGCCTCATACATTTAATTTCCTGCCGTCATGGCGCTGTGAGAGTTTACAGCACAAAGTGTGCTTTGTGTCCGTGGGCGTCTCTGAACACTACGCAAAATGCATCCACCATGACAGATTTATGAAGGTGCAGAATTCCTGGCCTGTGGGTAAAATTCTCCTCCTCACCTGGACTGAGCAGCGTGTGCACACAAATCACGAACAGACCTTCAACTGGCTTTTTAAAAGATCATTCCTCCTTATTGCAGCCCCAAAGCATACACTAGTGTGGGTTTTGGCATGTAATTTGTATGCCTTTGAGAATGTCAGCGTATGAATGTTGACATAACTGCTCTAAAACACGTGCGAACCAAAGCAGGGCTGAGAAATTCATTCTCAGTTTGGTGTTTTGCTTGTTGAAGAGCTTATTTTGCTCACCGTCATTGATCTAGATAAAGACAACAAACAGGAACAGTGAGATAAAGTGACCACGTATTGTGTGTTGAGGAGGCTGATAACAAAATAAGATATTGAAGCTTGACGTGATACTTTTTCTTGACTGTTGAATTTTGAGATTTAAGTGCGAAGAAAATCCTACGAAAATCACCCACTCATTTTGAGCGAGTCCCTGTCTCTCACTGCCTGCACATAAATTGGTAAGGGACCCATCCTGCACACTGCTCACTGTAGCGTTAACAATTTCCCCAAGTTCAGAAGAGGAGCCTCATTTATATGAAATCCTTCAGAAGCAGAAAGAAATGTTTTAAACATCGACTTGTAAATGAAATCGCAGACACGTACTCCAGATATGAAATGAAAAACACATGCTACTGTATTTTGAAATGCCCACATTAGCTTGACCATTGCGTTCATTAGTAGAAAAGCCTCACAGCTGTGCGCCGTCAGTCAGTGGAGTAAATTTTCATTTCCCTTCTTTCTTTCCTGTTAAAACCAGTAGCAGCAGGTTTAAGTTTGAGGTTTTATTTGTGTTGTAAATCAAGGGAATGCTGTTTGATGTATTGGATAACTGTTTGGCGAGAATGAACTTCTCTCTTCATCCCCCTCTCTCTCTCTCTCTGTCTCTCTCTCTCCCTTCATTTATGATCTAGTCGTACTGAGGTAAAATGTCAGCATGTTGATAAATTATGCAAAAATGTCACCAGGGGAAGATGACGGCTGGAGGAAACCTCTGAGGAGCTGATTGGTTGCTTGCTTGTATGCGTTTACACTCCAGAATATACGCTCACATACAGCACCTATATACTGTGTGTATTGCCAAATATTATCATGAGCTTTTAAATGGTTTCTGTTTGGGAAGTCGCAGTGACATTCAGGATTTTTAGTTTGAATGGAAATGTCGACCTTTGTTCAGGCGATTGTGGAAAAACCTGTTGCCATTTTCATTTTACCAAGAAGGAAGAACTTTTACTCAAAATGAATGTTTATTTATTTAAAACCAGCCTCCTTCAGTGTAACATGTTACCATATCATCACATGTAATATCCCACTGATAATGGGAATGTGTGATCGGGTGCGGGTCTCTAAATCATAGAAAGTAATTCGCTTGGGTGGATTATTTATGCGTACATGTGGATGACATCGGAGCCGTTCAGCGCATCACTTAAACATATATATATATATATATATATATATATATATAAAATATATATGTGCACACAGTTTCGTGCATGTACACCAGCTGGCAGGACGCAGGACAGTGNTGAATGGAAATGTCGACCTTTGTTCAGGCGATTGTGGAAAAACCTGTTGCCATTTTTGTTTTACCAAAAAGGAAGAACTTTTACTCAAAATGAATGTTTATTTATTTAAAACCAGCCTCCTTCAGTGTAACATGTTACCATATCATCACATGTAATATCCCACTGATAATGGGAATGTGTGATCGGGTGCGGGTCTCTAAATCATAGAAAGTAATTCGCTTGGGTGGATTATTTATGCGTACATGTGGATGACATCGGAGCCGTTCAGCGCATCACTTAAACATATATATATATATATATATATATATATATATAAAATATATATGTGCACACAGTTTCGTGCATGTACACCAGCTGGCAGGACGCAGGACAGTGAAACACACCTCAGGGCGACAGATCCTCTCCCCCTGTTGTGAGCCAATAATCTCCAACAGTGCATATTCCTGTATACTCATCCTGATGATTCTTAATGATGAAGTCGGTCTAAATAATGACTCACAGCTGAAGGCTCTCAACATGGGTCCGTGTTCAAGGGCAAACATGGTTCACTTCTGCTTCTTATGAAAACACATGATGCCCGTCTCTCTAATGGTGCAGTCATTTGAATAAATGGTGCTGGTAGAGCCGGTGGTTTTCATACAAACTAAGAGGATTATGATATTCCACAGTGGGAAAAGAATTAACATTGTGCACTGTAGAGCTGAAAATGACACACTATATGAACTCAGCCTTATAAGTTTTAAAGTATCTAAAACTATCCAAACTCCCAGATGGTGCAATTAAATGACAGATTAGGACCGACGTGATGATTTCCTTGTTGTTTCCTTGTCCAGCCCCATAAATTCACTTTCTTTGAAGATGTTTAGATCTGAGAGTCTGTCCAAACAAGAACAAGGACATTTTTGTTTGGTACGTTAAAAGTTCTCCTGTGAAGAAACGGTTTTGTTTACATTCAGAGTTTCACAGCAGGATGGATTGTATGTGTCCTTGAGGCCTCACAAACGTGTTAAGCACATTTTTCTTTCTCAAACATTTGCAAAGCTTTTTGAAATGTTTGAAACCTGCATTGTTTACAGTCATGTTTATAGCAGCTACCAGTCGCTTTTCTCTGGTGTTTTTGTTTCTTGGCCTGGTTACCTGTTTATCAGTAGAATAGCTAGCTAGTCAGAGCTAAATCAAATTACAAGTTGAGTGGTGGTGACATTGAAGCCGGTGTGACGGTGGTGGTGTAGTTCGCTTGAAGCCTAACATTAGCCTTTTACTTTCGCCGGTTGTATTTAGGCTTCAAAAATCATGAAAGTGGTGTCGGTTTGTGAAGATTACCCTGCTGAAACAAAACGTCTTAAGTATCATAAACTTTTGTTCGTTACAGATCTTATTTTCTGCAGTAATCTAAAAGCCAATGTAAAAAATGCCATTGGCTTTATATCAAGGGACACAGGGTGGCGCTAAGAGGTGACGGTGCTGTACAAAAATACGTCATCCCTGTGGCACCCTATGGTCCTCAGCATCTTATCACATTGTTGCTATTTTCTTCATGTTGTATGGCTCCCATGCTCTACACATCTGTTTTACCGGCCTCCCTGCAGTCAACAGGAATGTCTATTTTATCTCCCACAGACCTTTACAAGTGCAAGTGCATCCTTGTATTTGTGGTAACAAGATACAAACCAAACAGGCACCTGCTCATCAAAACATTTATCTATTTGTGCCACAAGTGGTGGAAAACTTCACAGTGTGCCTTTAATGAAGATATTCATTTAGTTTTATCTAGATGTGTGAAAGATGGTTTAACTTGAATCTACGGGTTGTTTCACAATTTTTGCCCAAGAGAGATTAAGTACAGAAACACCATATTTTTGTGCCAAGCGTATCAAACTGTGATCCCCACGTCGTACATCATACTGAAATGTGGTCTGAGCCATGAGTAATTTGTTCCCCTTCAAGTGAAAACCCGCTGATAGAAAAGCCCGTCCTGAAGTGTGCTGGGACACTGACACTGACTGCTATGACGTGTCAAAATGCCTCCAGGAAAAAAGCTCTATAGTCTGAACAAATATTTGAGCTTTACCCACAGAAGCACATTATGTCTTCTACTGAAAGTCTTGACAAAAATGCCTCATTAGTGGGAAGGGAGGTGTCAAACCCCCCCCCCCCCCCCCCCCATGTTTCGATGTCTGTCAACCACATTAACTGTTATACTAATGAAATGAAACATTTTGCTGTTTCCCGTTTCCACTCTTTCTGTCTTTCCTTCCTCCCTCACCCACTTTCTCCCATCCCAGGAGGGGAGTCGTTCTGGGGGAAACCTTTCAGGGATGAGTTTCGGCCCAACCTGTCCCACACGGGCCGCGGGGTTCTCAGCATGGCCAACTCTGGTCCAAACACCAACAAGTCTCAGTTGTAAGAAATATTTTTTAAAGAAGCAGTCTTTCCTGAACTCTGAACTACCGCTCTGTTCTAGGAAGTCAGTAAACAGAGGGTTGTTTTGTTTTGGTTTTTTTTTCGTCTCTTCCATCCTTCGATTTCTTTGCTGAGGTCCCGCAGGTGAATAAAACCAGACGTTTAATGCCTCAGGATACAAAAGTCAGATCTCGAATGCACAAACAGACATTTTATGCATTGTGGCATTTAAGTAATTTATTTTTTATACATTACTTAATAATCAATACATTTTTTTTTCCTCCTTTTCAATATAATAAAAGTTGAATAATATAATTTTGTTGGAAATGCTGTACATAAATATCCCCATATGTGCTTAACTATATAATGTCTTATAGACAAGCTGCTTATTTTTCTATAAGTGATTAAGGGGGGAGTTGAATAGAAAATTAAAAGGTTGCTGTTTATTGAGCTTTTTGAAGGTTATTCTGTGTATTTACCAAAACAGACAGCTACTGTAAAGCCGAGGCTGTCTTTGTAAACACAATGTTTACACTTTTCACAAATTAATTGACTGACCCCCCCCCCTTTTTTTTTTTTTTTTTTTTTTTTTAATGTTTTATACTCATGTTGCTTTGTGGTCTGTTTTCTCTCAGCTTCATCACGTTCCGGTCGTGCACCTACCTCGACAGGAAGCACACAGTATTTGGAAGGTAAACCTTTGTTCATTTGTTGTTTTTATTGACTCCACTGTGGCTTAGTGGCAGTGTTTTGTGTAATTCAGCAGCTGAGGCAGGTGGCTTTGAATTGACTGAAGTCCTGACAGACTCTCTCTCTCTCTCTCTCTCTCTCATCCTCTCATATTATTCTTTAATACATATTTGGTTCATTTGGAGCTCCAGACAGAGCCAACAGCTTTGTGACTTCACGTCTGACTCATCGCCAAGAGCAGTGAAAAATTTAGTAGATGCTGAATCTAAACTGATGTCTCTCTCTCTCTGTCTCCGTCTCTCTCTCTCATGCATGATCTCCACTGGTTGTCTTTTCAGAGAAAAACCTGCCTATGGTCTAAAAATATTCAGACTGCTTTCAATTGGCTGATTCCTCACATGGTCAACACACTTAGAAAGCTTCTGCTTTAACACGGCGTCCAGCTTTTCATCCTCTCCACACTGCAGTCGCTGCACATTTAATGGGAATGGCATTGTCGGTGTACTTAACCTGATCTGTACATAATGTGAGAGGAAGGTTTTTCTCAAAGTAAATGTGAGACAGGCCTTTTTTTTTTGTCTGGTTGCTAAGCCGAGTAGTTTGACTGTGGCTCTGTCGGGACCAGAGGTCTTGGAAAGGATCTTCTTTAAGCTTTAAGGCTGCTACATTTCCATTATTGATCAACGAATCAACAGATAAAACATGTTCCTGGAGCCAAAGGTAACGTCTTCGGGTGTCTTATTTGGTCTGACCAACAGTCCAAAATCCAAATATGTTCATTTAGCATGAGAGAAAATGGAGAAAAGCAGGGAACCCTGTCATTTGATAAGCATTTTTACTTGTTTCCCTAATCGATTAATTAGAAAATCGCTTCAGCTTTCATACTTTTTAGTGTTTTTTCTACCTTTTGATAATCTAAACTGCCCGTTTTTATATTTGTGGTGGCCCCTTTATGCCTTTTGATTAGAGAACTGACAATAGAAGCAACAAGATATTTGTTGTCGTTTCACCATCTTTCATGGGGAAACGAAATAAAACAAATTTCGCAATCTGGAGTTCAACCAGAGGCGTTGCAGTTCATGCTCAGCAGCACGGTAAATCCCTTGGCCGCCATGGTGCAACATCCATCCATCCCACTGTTTAAACGGCTAAAAAAATATTCTTAGGCTTGTCAGCACATGGAACCTGCCTCATTGGGATCAAATATCTGGGTTTTTTTGGGGTTCAGACATGAAGCGTTTACCTTTCCAATGGCGCGTGATTAATGACGTTCTTCTGTCTTTCACCTCGAGAGAGAGAGAGCGCCGCTGAAATCGTGCTTTCCTCCGATCAGAATGAGTTGTTAGAGGCAAATTTATCCGACAAATCTTGGCATGAAAACATGTTTGGGACACTGGCTTTGCTCTAGCAGGTAACCTGATAGCGAGTCCTCCTCTGAACATGTGGAAGCAGAGCACATGTGTCTTCAGTAGGATCCCCTGTGAGCTATTGGGTGTAGCGTTTGTATGTATGTATGTATGTATGTGTGTGTGTGTGTGTGTGTGTGCAGCTTCTCACTCTACACATGGTATCAAGGGGCCCCCACAGGAGCAGCTGGACAAAGAGTTTACAGTTTTACAAGAGCAAAGTGAGAGCGACTTCTTAAAGTGCTCTGCAGCAGGGGAGTTGCTAACAGATCGCCTCTTGGCCCTCAACGCTTGAAAGACTCTATATTTTCAGCAGTTGTTTTCTCCGCCGTGTTTACACCATGAAGCCAATGTGCTGATAACAAACACTATAAAACTCCTGTTCATTGTTGTCTGAGGAACGTAGTGAGGTCTTCAAAATCCCTCAGCTGTTAAATTATATACGTATTATACGAGAAGTAAAACATTATAGGGTGAGATGGTAATACACAGATTTGTTCTGATCGCCCAATGGGAACCAATGAAACATCTTGTTAAGTTTAAGCTGCTTGTTCCATTTCTAATCAGCTAGGTTGCAACACTGTGTCTTTTAAAAGGCTTAGGTATATATATATATAAGTTATATAAACAATGTAAAGACAGTGTGACGAACCTCCAGAGAATATTTCCCCTGAATCTGCAGCTCCCTTTCAGCTTTATGGAGCTTTAAAGCAACTTTCAGATCATTGTTTTAGCAGACCGGCTACGACCGCACCGTTTCGGGTGACCCTCACCAATCTCATCGCGTCACACATCAGACAGACCCAGTTAGAGACCAGCTGGTGAACACAGCGGAGGATTTAGCAGCTAAGGAGACAGTTATTTCCTTCAGGAGTTGGTAGAGACCAAAAACAGAGCAAAAAGAGAGGGAATATTTGGACTGAAGGTGTCTATGTTGAATCGGTGGCAGCAGGACACAGTGACATGACGGCAGCACCCAGCTACCTCCAGTCCAACCAGCCCCTACACCACAGTCTGCTTTTTGTTCAGTTACTTGCAAATGGTTAAATCTACTTAATGAGATTCGATAAGGGATTTGAAAGGATTCAGATTTAAGAGTAGATTTGATTCTGGATTCTGATTGGTTAAAAATGCTTTGCTATCCTCCCAAAGTGACGTGGGACCTGTGTGGGGATCCCAGGTCTTATCTAGATGTACTGAGGACTTGTCATAGTAACAAATGAAGGATGTTTTTGTTTGTTTTCTTGCAGGGTTGTTGGCGGATTTGAGGCACTCACAGCCATGGAGAATGTGGAGAGTGATCCCAAAACAGACAAACCAAAGGTGGGAATCTTGTTTAAGGTCTCAGTTGGTTTAATCATAATTTGATTTTACTTTGTTTTAAAAAAGTAGGAGAGAGAAATATTCTTCCACAGGTATTTTTTTTTTTTCTTCTTACATTTCATTTTACACTCCTAATATTGCAGCTGGGCAAACTACAGAGAGCAACTGTGGAGTAAGGTTAAGTTTCCTCTATCACAAACATCAAAAGGAGCTGAGGAGTACAAGGCTCCACAGCAGCGCCATGACAGTAATTTGACCTTTTTACGTGGATCTTCTAAAGATCAGGTGCTAAGATGAGAAACCAAGCGAGGTTATTAGAGAAGTGTTTAGAAAAGCCAGTGATGGGAGCAGAACTGTTTTGTCATTTTATTAAGTTTATATCCACCGGTGAACAGAAATGTGATAATAGAGATCTAGAGATTTGTATTTGATAGTTTATGATTAATATTTTCGATCATTTAGAGATGACACACAATATTTAGTTCCCATCCCACATTTTGCTGTTTTACAGTCAGAGATCAAGATCATCAGTGCGACTGTGTTCGTGGACCCGTATGAAGAGGCCGATGCTCAGGTTTGTATCTCTCCGTCTCTTTGCATCCATCAACAATACTGACTTGATGACAGAACAAGCTTCTTTTTATACGTCCATGCTGATGACAGCCGTTACGTTCCTGTCCCGTTCTCATGAACGTGATATCTCAGGAACGCCTCGAGAGAATTTCTTCAAACTTGGACTCAAGGATGAACTCAAGAGCTCATACTCGCTAATTATGACAAAATTTAACGATGAAGTCTGCAAAAACACTTCTGGCCATTATTCAGTGCTGTAACTCAGGAAGGGGAGATTGGGACCATATTGCAGTGTGTGGGATATTCTTCTTCTCAACACCATTTTTCCTGCAACTTGGCTGGTTGGCAAAGGCAAACAACCGCGAGGCAGTAGTTCTAGTTTTAGATCCAAAGTGAAGACGACAAACAATATCGCAGTATTTATGTCTGCGTGGAAAACCATGATGTCTCCAAATAAACAGTTAAAAGACTATTGATTCTTACTATTTTAAAGTAAAAGAAAAACAGCAAATCATCAAATAAGTTGGAACGACGGATGGTCGAGTATTTCTGTGTGGAAAAAATCACCCCAGCAATCAGTTAATGGAATCATTTCAGTTCTGTCAGAATAAAGATTTTGTCCAGTGTCCTACAAGGCAACACACTTGCATTTGAAACATGGGTTGAGGGGTGAAAGCGTCGACACAAGAATAAGTCTTCCGGTGTGAGCATGGCCTCTGTATCCCCTGATCTGACACACGCTTCTCTGGGTTTGGCATTTCCCTGGTTTGTGTTTTTGCAGATCGCGGCCGAGCGAGAGAAGGAGCTGCAGAAGCAGGAGGAGGAGAGGCAGCAGGCCAGCATCACCCTGAAGAAAGCCAAGGAGGAGCAGGCGCCCAAGACCTTCAAACAAGGTGTGGGGAAATACATCAACCCGTCCACAATGTAAGAGCACACACACACACACACACACACACACACACACACACACACACACACACACACACGCTCGCTCTCTCTCTCTCTGTCTAATTTGCTATTCCACACACAGCACTCTCTCCTCTGCTTTTAAAGTAGTAGTGACTCATCCATGGGCATTGCTGTGACGTATATAAAAGCTGCACATGCACAAACCTGAAGTTAAAGAACATTTATTCTGCTTTGTCTGCAGAGTTCGGATTAAAAAGTTTTCCTGGCCCCCACACAAACTGCATAAAATGTTTTCTCTGAGCGACCTGAGAAACAATACAGTAATGAATGGATGATAAAACATTATTACACAGCAGCACAAAATGAGTAGAGGCATCATGTGCAAAATGTCAATTATAGAGAAGATTACCCTTTTCCCCCCACGGGGATAATTCAGGTTTATTATCCAGAGCATATTTCTGCTGAGATTATGTAAATTGCATTGTATTTTGTGATATTACAAAATATTTCTTTTTAGTTTCCGGTTTATGTCTGTCTGACAACACACACTCAACATGGCCTGCCAGTCAAATATCAAACACAACAAAGACATCCGATCAGATTCACCCATGTCAGGCTTTTATTGTGCTTTGTGGTTTTATGGTATTAAATGGAATTGATTTGCGCTGTTTTTCCACTTCTCCATTGTGTCAAACTTTTAACTTTCAAGGTAGAATCTGTTCAGTAAAGTGGAATAAAATAATGAGTTTACTTTACACAATGTGTTACCCTGTAGCATTTGACCAAATACTGAAATTACTTTCATTATCACAATTAAGGTGCATTAACTAAATTGAAAATTAATGTACTGTAGCTGAAGTGTGTATTAAGAGATAATTAGACTGATTTTTCTCTCCTTGCTGGTGTTTTGTCTTCTGACTGAACCCGTCTCATCCTTCTCCTGTCATCACGTCATGTTCACATGTTTAGTCTTACGAAGAGCGCGTCAGTGTCAATGCTTCCTTGATTACCTGTGCATGAGGGCTGTTTCAGCAGTCGTTAATGGTCCTTTTTAAAGGTATCAGTCGTAGGAAAATGGCTATTGATACTTAGTGAAATACACAAATTTTGTCTAAAATTTGCCTTTTAGCTTAAAACATATGAGTCATAGTAGACATGAGCTCTGAACTGATATGATACAGTGGATCAGAGACCAGGCTGTGCAATTACAGTAACTCATGATTCTGGCTTAAAGAGTTTTTGTTTGTTGTTAAACATTTTCTATTTTGCATTAGTCGATAATCTTGGATTTGACACTTAATCAATTTAACATCTTTCATCCCCTTTTAGCTCATTGGTTTATTTTCCCAGGAGCACCTTGAGTGGTTTACCACAAACAAACTCAAGTGGTTGATGGTCATGATGAACTGTGACTGTCCTGCCAAGCCCGAATATCTAGTTTCCACAATGTTATGATCTAACCCTTGAAGTGATAAAATTTTAGATTGTTAATATTTTTGAATGGTTTTCTTTATATTCAGTTGCTTATTTACACGTCCAGTACACTCTGAGCAAATGTCATATAATATAATTTAGTATAGCATAATATAAAAGGACTTTTGTTTTACTTTCAATAAGAAAAGAAAAAATATCTGAAAAGCTGAGATACTGTGTGTACACAAAGGCAAAAACAACATCATTTACAAAGAGAATAGAGTTGTGAGGGCGAATTCAGACAAACACTAGAACAGATCAGAGAAACCCACAATCTACCAGAAGCAAGACCCACACGTCTGCGAGGAAACAGCTGATTGTGGAGGTCCTCGGTGCGTTGATGTTCTGCTTCTCCCTCTTTCAGAAAACGCTCGGCCGCTGAAGATGAAAGCGGACCGTCCACCAGCGGAGCGGCGGCAGCCAAGAAGTCCAAAGGCAAGACCAGCTTCGGAGACTTCAGCTCCTGGTAGCAGCTGTGTATTTTTACTGGTCAGGCTGAGTGCAGGCAAAATTAATTTCATTCACACTTCGATTTTTTTGTATTGTTTATCATCTCTCAGTAGTTTCGGTGTCTTATGAAACTATAAATTAAAGCTACTTTTTTTCAAAGATAGTGTGACCGTTTCATTTCCTCTTTCAAAGACACCGTGTGACTATTGATTTTGTGACTGTGTATTGACAAAGTTTTGGTGCGATGAAGCAGCAGTGTAAAGATTTCAGCACTTATTAAGAGGAAACACTACTCAGTGTAAGAAGTAATTAATCTTATCTCCATCATCCGAGACAGTCTAATCAATATGTGGGCTAAAACCATCTGATTGATATCTTTGGTCCTGGGCAGTTTAATCGATGTATGATCCAGGACGGGCGAATCAGAATTTGTGAACATGATAAACATCAGACTGAAGGAGAGGGAGAGGCTTTAGGATGTAAAGGTTTATTTTCTGGTAAATAATGATGACATGCAGCCACTGCAGCTCTGAGCCGGACACTTTGGCTCGACTCCCAAGTGTTTTAATGGATGTGCTTGTCACGTTTCCATAATCCTTTAGCACAGAGCTTCACAGGAAGCTTGAGTTGGTGGCCCACACATGAAAAATTAATCTCAAGATTGGTCACTTTATGTCCACAGTGGTGGTTTGGTTATGTTAGGACACACTCTGATTCTCCTCTCCTAACGTAAACCCTCATTGTTCCTTCTCAAAAAAAACAACTTTTTTCTGAGGCGCACTTCAGAGTTTGATTGTTTTACCAGAACAAAGGCTGTTTTTATTCTTAACTTTCATTCCACGTCACTGAACTTAAAAAAAAAAAAAAAAAAGAAAGAAAAAGTGACAAAATCATGTGAAAATGCTTCCAATTTTCCAGTTTCAATGAACAACAATGAAAGAAATTGCGCTATTGTTGTCGCTGACTGTGGCATGCAGTGAAGGGTGGGATTGTTTGCATTGATTGTCGCTCTCTTTCCTTTTACATTCATAGTCTGTATGTCTGTGTTGAACCAGCATCACATCTTTTTTTTTTCTTTCTTCAGTAGTTTTTAGATCTGCTCTCATCCTCTGCTCCTCTGGAGCAATCCTCCCGTCACTGTCAGGGAAATGTTATAATGTTAGACCGCCATTGTTTTTGTACCATAGGAATAATGCTATGATCCAGAAAAGGTAAAGACAGTAGAAACTCATTGTATGTGGGTTCAAGTGTTCAGTCAGTGGCTTGGGGGAGAGCACATTAACCAACAGACTAACCTTTCAGTGGAGCTGTTACACTACAAACAGCTCCCAGTGATCATTTTAAGTCAGGGCCAGCTTTAAATGAGAAGCTGCTAACGTTTCCCTGTTTTCATAATAAAAAACAAGGAGGGATTAAAGATTGTGTAAGAGACCCGTTAGTGTCAGAGCTCAACAACCCTTCCATGTGGAGTTTCCAACTGCCACAATGAACATGACACACATTTCCAAACAATCTCTTGTTCATTGAAAGGCATCACTCACCTAAAAAGAAAAGGGGCAGGTGCTCAGGACAGCAAATTTGAAGTTGTTGTGCAAACTGTTTGGCAAAACAGGCCTTTCAGGCCTTTCCCACACGAGGCTGTGTGGGAGCGTTTCCTTTTTTAGATCCTCATCGCTCTGGTGAAACTGTGGTATTGGTGAATAGCACCCTCGTGTCACATAACCCATAATTTATTGGATGCTTGGTTGTGGCCCTGATGCTTCTCCACTTCTGCCTCATTATTTAGCTGTCCTCTGAAAGGCGCCCTTTCAGTGTCCTCAGCGTCTCCGCTGCCTGAGTGATGTGGAAGCCAGAGGTGAAAAACATTAAGTTGGTGTCCTCCAAAACTGAAGTTCCTGACCTACACAGTTAGCCTTTTCACACATGGAGTGCAAAAAACCGAGCTGTGGCATGGTGGCGGGGAGGAGAGTCAGTCGTTTGTCGAACTGTCCTGTCAGCGCAGCGGCAGGAAATGGGTTCAGACAGGCCGCGGGACACTGAAGTTGCTAATTCAATGAATAATTGAAGTCTGCGGTTCTTACAAGCATCAGATGGGTGATTTGAAACAAGGGAGTCACAAGCAAACAGTAACTTTAGACGGTAAGCTGCTCACATAATGTGCTCAAGTGTTCAAACCAAGACGAGCTGATAAAGCGTCATTCGATGCAGCAGCCGTGTAATAAACTTTATTCTGTCTTTGTGATGCTTTTGCAGGTTTTTGTTTTGTTTTGATGAGATTTCGTGGTCACTTTTATCCCCGTCTTCAGGTGAGATGTAGTTCATTAGATTTGTTGTTTCGACCCAAATGACTTGAATAGAGATATTTTGAATATTGGCCTTGGAAAGGTAAACTCCAGAGCTTTCAACCACATCCCACTGTCTTCCTCTGTGGATGAAGATTGCTCAGCTGTCTGTTTAACGTTTTGATTTTCTCCATTCGCAAATTAGTGTTTTCACTCCTCCTCCTCCTCTTCCTCCTCTTCCTCCTCCTCCCTGTTTGGACACCGAGGGGAATCCAAACCTGTGGCACGTTTGCTGATCTCAAAGACAAAAGTCTGATTTTTTTTTTTTAGGTAAGTTTTTTTTCACTTGATTTTGTACAGTCTATGCGGATAGGTATTAGAAGTTCACTCACATTAATTTGAAAAACTAATTAAGTAAAGTGGCCAGTTTGTGCCCGAGGTGCTGTGATTTAGCATGTGGTGTTTTATCAGCAAGGTAAACCTGAGTTTTTGTCTACCTACAGAATAAAGCCTTGTGAGCCACTGAGCATTTGTAGTTTACAAAACAACAACTTTTAATTAAATAAACTTTTTTTTTTTTTTTTTTTTTTTTTAAAGAAAAATCCTGCGAGAACAAAGTCTGACCACATCTAATTTACACATTGCACAATGGCTCAATTTTAAGAAAAGTTATTGCTAATTAATGCATTAAATGATTAAAGTCTTAATTAGCACAACCAGTCTTTTTTTTTAATACAAATGAAGGTGATTATTGCACAACATTTAAGCACCCCCTTTTTGCTCTTGTCCTGCTCTTTGCAGCTTCGTTTTTTTATACACAGACAGCACTTCTTCTTGATTGGCTGTTTTCCAGACAGATTAAAACTTCAAGTGCCAGTTTTTAGTGTATTACTATAGATAAGTGTGTTTGTTGCAGTGGTCCTGATGCTCTTATTAAAAGTTTGTTCATTCAGTCTCCTCTCTAGAAGACTAGTAATGATTTGTGCCCGTCTCTGTCGGTGGGATATGTCAATACTTTATGAACACATTTGCTTTATATTTGTTGGGCAGATAAGCCCAGAGCCCAACTATTTAAGAGGTGATTTTTGCTAATAAACAAGAGTAATTTCTATTGTTTGCAAGGTAAAGAAATAGATTTAATTGAATGGATTAAACAAAATAGATACAACCAGTTAATTAGTGAGCTTTAGAGGTGCTGGTAGGCAGATTGTGATACCTCTGGACTAAGCCAGGCGAGAAAATTATTTAGCATTTGCTCCCCAGGCAAATTCTAGCTTTGATAGAAGTAGCTAACAGCTGTTTACAATCAAAGCGGTTATTAGCAATCATGTACACAGTTTTTTAATGTGGGACTTATAATCATCAGCCCTGCTTGGATCCAGTTTTATCTCATAGAAAAGGCCAAGTAGAGGACACGCTCCTAATAAAGTCATCACCCCAGCGCTTCAGAGCTGTAATAAAAAATGAGCAGAAATCTCTAAGCGTGCGTGCATAAAATTGCAATGTGAATCTGTGCACATCTCTCAACTCCAGTTCTCACTTTTTATTTTCAGGCCTCCCTTTGAAGTCGGCCATTGAGAATAGACATCAGCAGAGATACTGTAGGGAAAGGGAGTGGGTGTACGCTGCGTGGAGTTACTCAGCGGTCAGCTTCTTACTAGTTCAGCATCCTCCTCCAGATTTATAGACATTCAAAGTGTAATCATTACCTGACAATATAAATCATGATACTGTCATTCCACTATTCTCAATGTTCTTTCTCTAATGCTCCTGATGCAGGACTTAGTTTTAAATATCTCAACAACTGTTGGATGAGCTGCCATGAAATGTCATACAGACATTTATTGTTCCCAGTGAAAGAATCCTACTGACTTTGGTGATCGTCTGACTTTACCTCTAGCACCATTATCAAGTCAGATAAAGTAGTCCCCTTCCTTTTCTGCCACAAAAGCATAAAGTAAATAGGCCTCTACTTTTACAGTTGATTTTTGTGCAGAATAACAGTATCTTCTGTGTAAAACATCAGCTGGACGTGAAATAAAAGTCAAAAAATGTACCGAAAGAGTGAAATGTGCAGGTATGACTGGGCAGATAGAACTTTATCTTTAACCTTTTATAAAGGTGTTTAACATTAAGCATTTCATTTTATTAATTAGCTAGGGTTGAAAAAAATGGGCTATAATTCTAAAATGAAACGTTTTATATGATAGATATTATAATAAAATGTGTTTCACATGGTTTCATGAGGCCATCATGAATTTTAGCTTCTCCAAAAGGTTAACATCACCTGCATGTTATGTACCGTAGGTAATTTAGCATTTTTCCCATCTAACACAACAAGGATGAATATTTATGGTTTTTTTTTGTTGTTTTTTTTTACCTGCCAAAAATACATTATGTCGACACTAATTTTGGGTTTTCCAGCAGAGAAATGTTGCTGTTTTGAAACCTGGTAAACAGCCTTTCATTGGACACCGATTTTATTTTAATTTGAAGTGTAGCGACTGTAAGCTAATTATGTTATAACAGTGAACGACATAATTTCTCTCATCTGTGAATTTGGCCAAAACCGCCTGTCTTTTATAGAAATGTTCCCTCCAGAGCCCAAACAAACATCCAACCTTCAGTCTTACCGGCCCCTGGGGGACCTGCTGTCAACACCAGTGTTCAGGCCTTTTTATATCTCCCCTCTTTAAAATTACAACCATCAGCTGTCTGTCTGCTTTCATTTCACAGGGCAGCCCTCCATTTTATATGCAGCAACCATTTCACTGAAATTGTTCTGAAAGTAATAGAGATCACTTGTTACTTTTGAAGACGTGGAAATGAATCACCCATCCTGGAAAAGGAGGTAATCCGTGACTCTCAACACTCCCT